TCTGACAAGACTTCCAGCCGCAGACCAAAACAAGACCAGGCGAAGAAGAATCAATCCAAACGTTGAACAGAAATTCAAATGACTGGCGTCACAGGCCTGCGAGCCAAGTTGTAGGACGCCGGCTTATATGGCATAATAGATGCCATCCGTCTTGGCCGGAATTTTTGGGCCCAAGTCCATGGCAGCTTCCAAGGCGTCTCTGCATGTGTACGGAGGTTTCCCGTAGGTTTGAAGCAGGGTCTGAGCAGACCGTTGGTCAAATGGTTCATTGCGTTGTGCAGATGCTGCAGCACCGAGAAACAGGCTTTGTCGAGAGAGTGTGTGCGTTTCGTACAGAAGCCGAGCGAGATCGTGCCCCCTTGAAGTATAACACTTGCAGCCGTTCCACCTCCAAGGCTGGGCTATGTTAACTATTACCCCATCCGTTCTCTGCTTGGCGGGGGAGAACAAAGCTAGCGAAATTGTTGGCCCTAGCCTCTAAGCTTGTAATGATCTTGCATTTTGATGGGAATCCCTGTCTGTGGTTCGCATCGCGTGTTACGAAATAGGTTGACAAAGTGAGCCAACCCCGGAAAGTAAGGTGAATAGAGAGACTCTGTTATCGCGGCCGAAGATGGGTGCCCAGAGTGGAGCATAGTAGCACGGAGCCGGCCGGAGTTGGCTATCGATGCATCCCGCATAGTTCCCCGCAGTTGGAATTAAAGGTAGATGGATCGATTGCTTACCACCCCAATAAAAGGTAAAAGGCACGCCGTGGGCATCCTCTTCTTGCGAGGTGGCTTTTGAATCGACGAAACTCTGAGTGACAGCCGCACAAGAGACAAGATGACAGGCCAGCCATACAACCTCTGGGTGGGAGGCCAGGAGAAGCCGGGTCATGCAGAGCAGTTTGTGACCATTTCTTCCTTTTCTTCCCCTTTCGAAGCTTCCCAGTACCCCGCGTGAGGGGCTGCAGGGCGCTTATCTGTGCTCGAGCTCCTGCTCATGCTTATGCTCATACTTATGCTGATGCTGACTCTCACACGCCAACAGGATCCCGGTCGAAGACCCCGCGACAGGTGAGATCTTTGCCAAGTGAGTTCTCAGCCCTCAGCCTCAACTTCGATGCCCCGTCCGCAATTATTTCCCACACGGGTGAGACTGACTGGCGTCCGAATGCGTGCAGCTGTCACGCAGCGTCCCTGGAAGACGTTGAAGAAACGATTCGTCTGGCACACGAAACCTTCAAGGCCGGAACATGGTCTAGAGCGCCCCGTCATGTTCGCGCCGATGTTCTCGACAAGACGGCTGAGCTGCTCACCGCAGAGCTGCCCTCGCTGATTCCTCTCGAGGTGCGCCAAACCGGACGCGCGATACGCGAGATGCGCGCCCAAGTGCCTACGTTGGTCAAGTGGTTTAAATACTATGCCGCCTTGCTGCGCACCGAAGAGCGTGCGGTACTGCCAACCGTGGGCAAGCTGCACAACTGGATCGACCGTGTGCCGCTGGGTGTCGTGGTGCAGATCACGCCTTTCAACCACCCGCTCCTGATTGCTGTCAAGAAGATAGCGCCCGCCCTTGCAGCAGGAAACAGCGTTGTGGTGAAGCCGAGTGAACTGACACCGCTCACGACGCTGCTGTTGGGTAAGATCCTGCAGAAAGCTGGTGTGCCTGACGGAGTGTTCCACGTGCTACCTGGATACGGCGCAACGACTGGCAAGGCCCTCGTCGAACATCGCCTTGTTCGCAAAGTCGACGTCACTGGCGGAACCGTGGCCGGGAGAGCCATTGGCTCGATTGTCGGCGGCAATCTGGCGCGGTACACAGCGGAACTGGGAGGCAAAGCGCCGCTGATCGTCTTTGAACAGGCCGACGTAGATGTCGCAGTCAATGGCATCGCATTCGGGTCCTTCATTGCTAGCGGACAAACATGCGTTGCCAGTACCAGAATCCTCGTCCAGGAAGGGATCATGCAGCCAGTGTTGGAGAAGCTGAAAGCCAAGGCCGAATCCATTAGCCGGCGGATGGGCTCACCGAGCAATCAGGAATCCATGATGGGCCCGCTGGTGTCGGCGAAGCAATTGTCAAACGTAGAGGCGCTTGTAAACGAAGCGCTTGCTGCAGAAGGCGCAGCCTTCACTGGCGGCCGTCGCATGTCTGGAACCAGTAGCCTAGATGGAACCGACTTTGCCAAGGGATACTACTTTGAACCGACGGTGCTGGTGTCTCGTGCCGAGGGCGACATCCTCAAGTCGCGCATCTGGCGAGAGGAAGCGTTTGGGCCGGTGGTTGTGGTGGCGCCGTTCAAGACGGAATCAGAGGCCATCGCACTCGCCAACGACAGTGAATTCGGGTTAGGAGCGGGCATCTGGACGCGGGACGTGGCGCAAGCGTTTCGAGTGTCTGAAGAAATCGACGCAGGCATCGTGTGGGTGAATACGCACCATCGAAACGATCCCAGCAGTCCGTGGGGTGGCGCAACGAGCGCGAGTGGTGTTGGCAGCGAGAACGGTATCGATGCATACCAGGCCTACACGACAACCAAGAGCACAATCATTAGCTATGCGAGCCCAGAGGAGGCGCTGGCGGCAGACGACTGGTTCCGCGAGGGCGCTGGTGACGTGCGATACGGATAGACGGACCCTCGATAAGTAGACCCTCAATAAACGAAGTGTCGCCCATCGGTCAATTGACCAATGCCAGCTATTGAGTTGCGAATAAGAGAGTGAAAGGGAGAAAAAACGAGAGAGACAATGATGTTCCTCTCATGTTCGGGGATGAAGTGCTCGTTTCAGAGGACGAGAACCTGTCAGTGCGTGGTCGCTTGTCATGATCCCGCGGCATGCAGGCCGAAAATCCGTCATTTTCGTCTCGGACCGCAGGTGCAAGCGAATTGTTGGAACGAGTCAACGAAGCAGACGGTCTCGCTCAAATGGAATCCAACGTGAGTCGATTGGAAACAAAGGATGTAAAGAGAAAATGTTGCTGTCGGTTGCGATATTTGTGAGAGTTGGCAAAAAACTTAAGGTCCATCCAGGATTCGAACCTGGGCCTACGGAAGGTTCTGAGAATCAGAATCCGACGTCCTAACCAACTAGACTAATAGACCTGCGAATGCAAAATGCTCCTTAGCATCCCGTATATTAAGCTTCCATCTCTGTCTGGAGGCAGCGCCGTTTGGCGGCGGCTGGTCGCTGCGAGCCCTGCGTCGATGTCGCTTTGTCGCCTCTTCAAAAAGCCATCCATTGTGCGGCTCAAAATCGCGGAAGAGACGGATGAGCACCGAAGCAAGGCAATTTTTGATTGGGCGTCCTGGGTTGGATCGAGTTTGACGCAAAGTGCCCAAAGTCTCGTCACAAAAGTCTGATGATTGATGGGATCTTTGATGCCGTTACCCGTGCCGCTACCCACGGCCAGAGGCATCGTACCCAAACGGGGCGATCGCAAAGAGTGATTGGCTCGTCTTTTTGGTTTTGACATTGGCAAGCTTCGTCAACGGCCGTCCAAGGGTTGGTTCTGTCGCCGTTTCTGTCTCGTCGTAGGTAGTCATATCGTTCTGGAATGTTGCTCGTTCGGCTGGACCTGTAGAAGGGAGAATAAGGTAGGAGATGAAAGCTTTGTCCCGGTCCTTACCTTAGGTATTCACCTCGTCCTGTTCCTTCTCCCTCTCCGTTAGCTTAGGTAAGGCAGTTGCTCTGCACTTATCCCGTGCTTTCCTAACCGACCTCACTTAGATGCTCCGTACTTGCCGCGATAGTTAGATCCATTCGCATGACATCATCCGAACGCCATCCACTCCATTGCTGTAAGTAGGAAGGTGTGGGCCAGAGCTTATTCACGAAAAGGAAAGCAGTCACATCAGACCATTCGGAAAGGAAGGAACTCTACGTTCTCACCTTCCCTGCTTCAATTGGACAAGAACATCTTGCTTCCTGTCGCGAACTCTCTTTCCCCGACGTTTACCCCATCGAGACATCCAATCGTAGTCGCATTGGCTTCAGCATCGACGTCCAACGTTTCTACCACCTGCTTTACACGCACCTTACCTTGCCTCAACTTTCATCTTGCTCAAAGCAAGGAGCACCTTGAAGTCAGCCCTGCTTTCAGCATTGGAAAACCATTGCTCCGAGCTTCACTTCACGTCGCCGGTCGCCGGTCGAGTCTCCCATACTTTCCAATCTTAGCGGCATTGAATCAGTCCCACGTCAAAACATGTCGCGACCGAAACAGCACATCGTCTTTCTGACGGGGCCTACGGGCACTGGCAAGACGACGATAGCAAAGTATCTAACAGAATCGCTACGCATGACCTTTATCGAGGGCGACGACGTCTGTGCCCCTCCTCCCTACATCCTCTCCCAGATGAACCACCAACCCCACCTTTGCCAACAAGCGCACTGACACTGACACACATTCCCGATCTCGTGAACAGTACCACCCAAAAGAGAACGTAGAAAAGATGCATAGAGGCGAAGCTCTCACCGACGACGACCGCTGGGGCTGGCTTGACGCCCTACGTGACGAGGCCCTCAAGGAACTGGAGCGGGACCACCAGGGTGTCATCGTCACCTGTTCCGCTCTCAAGCGCGCCTACCGTGACGTTCTACGCGGCGCCTCGCACCCGGAGAAGGAAATCTTTGTCCATTTTGTCACGCTGCACGCGCCCGAAGAGGTGCTCTTCGAGCGTGTCAAGAACAGGCATGGCCACTTTGCTGGATCCAACCTGGTGCACAGCCAATTCCAAAGCTTGGACCCGCCGCAGGCGGACGAACCGGACGTCGTTGGCGTTGATGTGCAGCCGCCTGTGGACGAGGTGAAGAGGGATGCGTTGGAGAAGTTGAAGGGCTTGCTGAGCAGGTGAAGACTGTCTTCACTAAGTGACAGGCATCACGCAGAGAACCGAGCAGTCACTGGGGAGTACTGATTTATATATGTACAGTACTTGGAAAGTCGACCGCCTCAAGAGCTGGCTGATCTCGACCAGACAATGTAGCTCAGGAACGAATGGCGAAAATACTCGCGAATGACCTGAATCCAACCATCACTCCGTCTCCATGCAGCAAATCCTCCCACTTGGCCCAACAAACATGCAGCTAATTATCCGAAGCAGAAGCGCTCCTGTCGGTTGCAGGTTCAATCCAGAGAGAAGGGATCATAAGCTCAACAAGACCTTCGAGCCAGACTAGATGGGAGTATTCAAGAGCCCAGTATAAGTCTGCTGGATCTGCTCTTGAAGCTCCTGCCGCTCCCCGATATCTCCAGGCTCACGCTCAGAAACGGGCGGCAAGCGATAGAACTGCGTTCCGGGCCGAACAATAAGGTTGTCGAAATTCAAACGCGGCTGGAGCACAGGCCGAGGAGCCGGTACCCCGCCATACTCCTGCTCCCGCGCCGGAACGTGAGATCCGTGATACGGCAGCTCCGGCCGCGAAGATGCGTTTCCGACGTGGCGGTGCTCGTCCTGGACGTGGTTGGGGATAGAGTCGCCGGCACGACGTTTGGGCAGCGATATCAAGGGACACCGAGCCTCTTGCTCGCGGAAGTAATCCTGGGCTTGCGAATACCGCAGGTTGACGTCGTGCGCGAACGGGGTGTGCTCGTCGATCCGGCGACGTGCCCAGGGAGGGCCAAAGTTGTGGTCGACTAGGTGGAGGAGATCCTGGGCTCGCTCCGGCCGTTGGGGGCAATCCCATTTGAGGACGGGTGCTGGGCCGGGACGGAGGCGGGGGAGATGAATTCCGTCGCTGACGAGGGCGTTCTCGTGTCTGCGGTGGGAGGCTGATGTCGCTTCTGGGAAGAAGAAGGTCCTGGGACGTGGTGCCTCGATGATCTGGGCAAGGATACCTTCTTCCTCAGGTGTGTCTTCCTCATATTGGCTATCCTCGTGATGGCCTGGTTGCTGGTACTCCCAGCCGCCGGAGACGTATGGCCGAGGTTGTGGGTATATGATCTCGCCCTCGCCCGCGGGGCGTGTAGTACGGTTCTCCATTCTGTCGAGAGGAATAGGTAACTCTTGTGGTATTCGCCGATGAATGAGAAAGATCAAGGCAAGGGAAAGAGATGAAGAAGGAGGAAGAATCAATGTGATGTCCAACTTGCTATCGATCCGACTGTATTGCCGATATGTCCAAGTGGTGTAGCAAATCTTTCTACTATCACCGAAAGAACGAAGAATCATGGACAGACAGTTGAGTAGATCGATGTGTCACACTCTAAACCCAGATACAGCCCAAAGTCAGTCTTTTACAAAGTTCCATAGACAAAGCTTAGCCCAGCCCAGCCATACGTACGCCGACCAGCCACGATACCAAAAGCCCTAGAACTTTCACGGCTGCAAATACGGCACATTCATGGAGTAAATCTCCCATCCAGGTTGGTTGCCTACCTTGTGCCCACTCCGCGATAGCCTCAAACACCCACTTTTCGTCTCCGGCAAGGTACTCCAGTCCAGAGCCAACCCGAGGCTAACTGCCAAGGTATAAGAAGACCCAATGTTTATCCATCTCTGCCGTCCCGCGTCAGAGGCGAGAAAAGTAAGAGTCCTCGAAATCTAGTTCAGGCCAAAAGGGTTCCAAGCCTTGAGAAGAGACCTGTGGGTTAATTTCGATTCTCCAGGTTCCAAGATAGGCGGAATTTTTTGAGGACTTCATAGTATTAAGTATGACACCCGTTGGTCCACCGGAGGCGTTTGCTTATGCTTTCTGGGCTTGGGTGTGTGTAATGACGGTCGTATAAGTGACAGACAGCTGTGTAACGTCGTCCAACATAGAAACATGTAAGTAGCCGACAACCGCCAAGGCTTTTTATCCTGAAAATCAACACGAATTACAGAAACCGAACGATCAAGAGTGTAGTCAAAGTGGTATTATTAGTAGAGCAATCTATAAGCAAGCCTGGCTTCCAATGCCAATACGCCCCTGTCCCTTTTCATTATACATAATTACATACATACACGCCCGCCTTCCGAAACATATGCACAGATGGAAGAAGCAGGCAAAGCTAACCGATTGTGATGGCGATCCGATTACAGCATCAAGGCAGCAAACATAGCCGCGATACCGGCAACGAAGAAGCTGCTCTTCAGAGTGGACGCAGCAGCGGGCGCAGGAGCGCTTGTCCGGGCGGGAGTGCCGGTAGTTGTGGAGGGAAGAGTCGTCTGGGCGTTGACAGATCCGGTGGGGGATCCAGAGGTGGAGACCAGTCTCGTCATGGTCGACAACGTGCCATTAGCATGAGTGGTCGTGGTGTTGGCGGCGACAGTCAAGGACGCGACCGGGGCGCTCGTGGTGGGAGTCTGGACGACGGTGGTAGTGTTCTTAGCACTCTGTGTCGGGGCATCGGACTGCTGGGCCTTGTTCTTATCGTCCTTGTCGCTGGACTTGTCCGGCTTGGGGCCGGCGACGTTACCAACATCACCAACACTGCCGGAGCTGCCGCTCTTCTCGCCGGCACCGATGATCTGAATGGTCTGCCACTTGCCGTCAGAGCCCTTGGAGTACTCGTACTGCTTGGCACCAGCCTTGTCGCCACCAGCATAGTCCCAGACCTTGAGGGAGCGGTAGTGACCGGCAAAGGGAGCCTGGTTCCATTGGGCAAGACCACCAGCCCAGTCGATGGTGCCCTGGGCAGTGCCCTTTCCGCCAACCCAGGTACCGAGCTTCAGCTGCATGGGAGTTTGCGGGTAGTTGCCCTCAGCAGGGGTGGCGGTGCGGTAGACCTTTCCGTCAATGGAGAAGACGATGGACTCCTTAGTCCACTCAATGGTGTAGGTGTGGAAGCTGGTCATTGGGTTGAAAGGCACCTCGTAGTAGCGAGCGCGGGTGTAGTCGTTGACGCCGAGGGCGTAGAAGTTGGTTTGGACGTGGGTCTGGTCAGCACCAACAAATTCCCAATCGATCTCATCAAGGGCGTCAGACTGCAGGACAATGCTAGTGACAATACCGCGACCGGGGGCGGCCTGCAGTTCAACTTCGACCTTGCCGAAGAAGAGGTAGTTCTTTGAGGTGAGGGTCGGGGCGTTGCTCTCCTCGAAGATGGTCATCTCGCAGCCTGTGTCGGCGGAGAATGATAGGACTTTGGGGTTGTACTTGATGCCGCCGTCGACGATGAAAAATGACTCGAGATCGTTCATGTTCTTGGAGGTGCGGAAGTCATAGCTGGCTTCGCCGCCGAAAGCGGTGTTGGCAGGGCAGGCTGAATGGCCATGTTAGCATCGTCAAATGGGTGAGAGATTCCACAATTTAGTGTAAGTGGACGAGGGAAAGGATAACGTACTGTCGCCCTTGACGGGGTTGCAAGCGGAAAAGGTCTGAGCAGAAGCCAGGCCAGCAGCGGCTAGAGTTAAGGCTGCGTAACGCATCATCTTGGGTTGTAGTGATGGAAGAGTTGTGAGGAGGAGGAGGAGGGCGATGACGAGGTTGAGGCTGTGAGTGGTTGTCGTTGAAGCCAAACTTGCTGCAGAAAAGGAGCGGGAGCAAGGGTAGATATCGACGTTGAGAAGTAAGGTAAGGTGAGGAGACACAAGACGAGTAAACAACGACGGACGGTGGTCCGAGGAAGAAGTCCCAAATATAGAAATTAAGGAAAGGCTAGAGGGATGGAAGAAAGGAACTAGCGCACTGGGCAGGAGGGAGGCCAAGGAAGCAGAAAATGGTGAAAGGACGGCACCGGACGCTGTGTCTCTAAGTTTAGGTCGAAATCGCCGCTCAGGAAACAGTAAACTGGAGGCTGGCGGATTCTGGGCGACCGAAAGTGAAGAAAGTGAATCACGAATGTACAAAGTACCCTGGTGTGGGGTGTAAGTGGGCGAGGATGATCACGAGCAGAGATGAAAGCAGGCGGCAACGGTGAGGCCGGGCACCGAGGAGAGAGACATTCCCACCTCAGTCATTGAGAGTAAGACCACCGGGCCTCAGTATTACGGTACGGTACTTTACACACCAAGACAGAGACGAGAGAGGCTGTGTCTCTTTGCTGCTGCATTAGGGCCAGTAAGCGTGAGATGACACGAAGAATCGCTGCTTAGTCTGCTTTTATTTCTGGGCGCCTTCCCTTTCGCTTGAACGAATCCGCGCTTGCCAGGCGCACCTTCTTCACCTATTGGCTATTTAGCGGGAAGGAGTGCAACAGATGGGAGGCTGGGGACCTTCCTAGTGATGAGCTAATGCAGGGTCCAAGTCCCTTGGCCGCAAAAGACAGGTGAAGAGATACATGCAGTGATGTGCACCCTCGTCTTCTCTCCAGCCAGCTGGTTTGGCTTCAGGGACCCTCAGTGGCTGCCGCAAGCGGGGACTTTTACATCGATTACCTCAGCTTCCTCCCTCTTCCCATTTCTGCACCTGCACCTCCCTCCCTCAGTCAGTCTCACTTGCCCAAAGTCGAGACGGATACGGAGTACGTACCGCATTCTTGCCGTTCAGCTCGTGTCCGGTCGCGCCGTTGCTGCCACGCCAAACCCTCTGCATCCAGCTGGGTTCCTGCCCATCTCTCGTGTTTGAATCGTCAGATTGGCGCCGTTTCCGTCCCAAACATCCCTCGTCATGTTGTTTCCTCTCTAGCTCAACTCTAAAGTCTCCCAACCTCTTCATTCCTCGCAAACCACATCACCGGTTCGTCTCCTGACAATATCGACCTGCCAGCGGCGCGTCCATGACGCCGTTGCCACTCGACTGCAGACGTCCATCACCCCCTACAACATTTGCAATGTCCCATTCCCAGCCCTCGGTCAACATCTTTTCCCCGTCAACATCTTTTCCCCGTCAACAATGTCTTACGCTTAAACCGACATGAAGTCTGAAGATCATCTTGACCCACGCACACAGACACAGTCTCGGCAATCTTGGGCGCAAGCAAGCGAGGCCACTTTAATTTCCAGTCGACTACCTTAGCCACAGTTGCAAGCAGCCACATAGCATCGTGCCCAGACCTAGATCTCAGGGGATCGTGGCCCATCTACACCAGCCGAGGCGCCAAGATGGTTGGCCGTCTCGTATCTCAGGAATAGGATGCGTCCGTTCGAGTTGCAACATTTTTTCCTTGCGCATATGCTACAGGCGTCAAGTGAGTAGAACAATGACCCATTGCATCAAAGTCCCCAAAGATGCTTCACTTGGCTTCTCCGGTCCATCCTTATTCATTGTGTTTAATCTGCTTTTTGCATTTCTTTTGGGAGCTCCGTCCTAGCGGGACTAAAGACAAACTAACATGGAGCAGACTGCATCTTTTGCCCCCCTTTGCACGGCCTGAGAAAACACAATCTGCAACAATGGACTTGTCCCGTCGCCCCTTGCATCAATCTGCATCAATCCATCATAAGTCGTCTCATAATTGGCGCCAAGCGAACCTGTCCCTCAACCATCCACCAGCACATCCTCTGTGTCTTTGTGTATCCACGTCCTCCCGACGGTCTCGAATCAATGTGGTTCCCTTGGGAAGAAAATTTGGAATGGTAAGAAGTGAAAATTGTATAGACAAAACACCCAATCGTGCCCTAATCGCTGACGATCATCAGATCCGAAGCAGAGACACTTGGACACGACACGCTAAAGAAACCCAATCGCTCTCGTCAACATCATCCGAAACTTGCTCCGCTTAGCAGGTGTTGAGCATGGAGGTGAGGGCAGTCTTCTCGGCAGAGGTGACGGTGAGGGCCCAGTAGCTCTTGACCGCAACCCAGGAGCGGGCGTAGGTGCAGTAGAAGCTGGTCAGAGGGGGCTTCCACGAGTCGGGGCTCTTGTCGCTCTTGGACTGGTTGACCTCGTCCGTGACAGCCCACAGCTGGGGGCGGGTGAGATCGTTGGCAAACGACTCACGCTTAGCAGTGGTCCACGATGCGGCACCAGACTGTCGTCCCATGTTAGCATGCACCTTTAATTCTAACATTGCGCACAGAGCAGACTTACGATCCAAGCGTTCTTCAAGGGGACCATGTGGTCAATATCGACATCGCTAGCGGCGGTCCAGGTGGCACCGTCGTAAGGGCTCTTCCAGGTACCGCTGGTCGCGGAGCAGGCAGAGTTGACAACGACGTTGGTGCCATCACGCTGGAGCACAGTCTCGCGGGTGTTGCAGGTGCCCGAGATGGTGTCCCAGGTGGGGAACAGGTCACGGTCGTAGGTGCCGGTGTTGGTCCAGGCGGCAACAGTCAGAGCAGCAAGCTGGGTCTTGGCCGAGGCGGCGGTGGGGATGCCAGGCTGTATGCAAAATGTCAGAAACGGCTTCGGCAACAGGCAGCCACAAAGAATCCGGACTTACGGGAGTGGGCATCGGCAGGGGCTCGGCGACGGGGTTCGGGGCCGGGACGGGAGAGGCGACGGCCGCGCCGGCGATCATGAACAAAGCAGCAGTGACCTTCATGGTGACGGTAGCGAAAGGGTGGATAGATGAGACCGGGTGAGAAGACAGGACTGGGATGGAGGCTGGAGTGATGTGGTGAACGGGTGGCTTGGCACTGACGATGAAGCAGAAACGACAAACCGAGAGCGGGAGATCTGCCGTGACTTATATCCTCCGTCGACGTCCTTGCGGTGTATCTCGTTTGTCGTCAAAAGGACTCCCTCATCGGCGGGTCGCGAGAGTTCCCAAGTCTGCGTTTCCCTCGCTTGTACAACGTCGAACCCCACCTTCATGTCGTTTGCAGCTCCGTCGAGCCAGTCACCACGCCGTCCGACCCCACGATTGTCTACCTGATGTCTTAATCTCCAGCCCGACCCTCCAGGAACCCGCCGACGATGCGGCATTGAGTCGATGAAACGGCGCGCTGTTCTGAAAAGGGGCACTTTGTCCGGCCACAGTACGACCCAAAGCGACCGTCTCATAGGGCTTTCGCAGGGGGGACCACAGGGTTCCGTGGGCGAGCTGACAGCTCCGTGTGCCTTTATCTCTCGTGTTATTGGCGGGGTAATCTAAACATTTGGTCAACTTCCCGGTCTTTGAGTGCCGATGCACGGCGCGCTACGGCTCCCGCTCTCTCGTCAACCTTAAGCCTGGTCCGTCCCAAGCTTCCCAACCTTAACGCCAAGCTCACGAGAGTCGAGAACCAGCCACTCACGTCTCCCGGCACCGGCACGTTATCTTATCGGTCCCTGTCAATCACCTGCGAAAAGCGACATGGCTTGTCTGCCAAATCCTGGTCGTTCTGTCAATCTGTCTTCCATCTTGGTGCTGTCCGCTGCACGTCAACCCCTCCATGTCCCGGCTCCTTCAACAATAGCGCACGGGGTCTTTCACGAACCTTCCTGTTTGGGGGCCAGCTGCCGATGATGCGTGGTCAAGACTTCACGAGGAAGCCTGCCCTTGGGAGGTGACGGTCGTGATAGCAACCTCTCAGGGTCTCGAGAATCAAAACGAGGCAACCCACGGGCTGCGGGCTCGCAGACGTGCAGCACACAAATAACGAAGCCTAATGTCTCACGCCAGACGAATAGAGGCAGGTCGGCGGGAGGGTAGATCCGGATCACCACTCGACACCGCAACGCCGCAAACCTGGAGAAGCCATCTCGACCGCTGGTTGGACTACATTTACGACAGCCAAGCAGGCCTGCGCAAGCGCTGATAGCGATCGTCATCCCAAAGCGGTGTACAACATGGGCTCGGATTCGCTGCTTGGCCATTAAACATAGTTTCCCGCCATACCTCGAAGTAGCGTTGCCCGTCCCCATAGGCTGGCTTTCCCAGAATCCCATTACTCGTGCGAGGCGGACCTCCCCAGCATGGCAAGACGCAAAAGAGCCCACATCCCGACCTCCGATCGGACCTTGCATCTGAATAAGCTTAAGCGGCACCGAGTTGCAACTTCACACACACGCCACTCATTATCATGGAGAATATCTCGGCCGACTACTATCCCCCGCCTAGCTTCTGTGTCTTATCGACAACCTGACAGTTTGATTGTCTCTCAGAAGTCAAATCCGCCTTCGCCCATACCTGTACATCCGGCCTTTCCGCCAAACCAGGCACTCTGTCGCCGTCACTTGGATATCAGTCAAGATTCAGAGCAACTTCGAGCCTCGGCAGCGATAAGAAGATTGCAGGGGAGGGAGATATCCCGCAGAACGTAATAAGCTTGACCAAACGAAGAAGGACCACTCACCCCGACACGCCCTGCCGAGCACATGCCCACCAGCTCGGAGCCGCAACCAGTAGCTCCTCCACACGTTCCCGTCGCACAGCTGCCTACAGCTCCGGGCCCCATGTTGACGAAGCCTGGCCCAGCGGGATACATGGCACTCGTTGTCACGGCGGCCAAGGCCGATGCCCAAGGCCCGTCCACGGCGATATCTTTCCCCCAGAATGACGTCTTATCTTCACCGCGAGGTCCCATGCGCTTTACAGAGTCTGCCTTGAATGTCTTGCTTGCCTTTTTGCGCGCCTTGGAATGCGTTTCTTCTAGTCTATTCCTGAACTCAGAACGCAACGGACGTATCGTTGTTCGCTGCGCTGTCGTCTCGTTGGTGTGCACCGCCGGATGCGACGAGACATGCGCAGACTCGGCGGCTGGCGGCATGGGCACATTATTGGTCTTGGAGGCTGCATGCCATGCTTCGAGAACTAAGGTACATGTACGCTCAGCAGGGGTTCGAGAAGTAAGTGTGGCTGATTCTAAAAGTAACACAGGCACACATGGGGGCGCGGGGAAGTGTAGTGGTTGCAAGATGCCTTACGCTTTTCCTCCTTGCCTATTCCGAACATCTTGGTCGTGGGCAAGGCCATCACCCTGACGGCTACAGATAACGCATCCGCAGTCAGTAATCACGGCCAATTTCATTAGAGCTATCACCATCGGAGTGCGCCGAGCAGCGAGGACTTGCGATATCACGACTTCTGGCTCGGGCTGGCGAGATCAAGGTGACGGTGCTCTGCGGTGGTGGTACTGATAGGGATACTCACTTTCACAGTACCAGCATTTGCACTCCGAGTAGATCTCGCCGTACCTCTCCTGGTACATTTTACTTGTCCACTCAAAGGCTGTGCTTAGTCTATCCTCGTCAACTTTGTCATTGTGATCTACAAAGGTCCCCGTCTTTGAAAGTGTGAAGACGAAATAGGACTGAGGAGAGAGCTGGTGCGTGTGCCACGCGAGGTCGACGTCGAGTGTCGGGACGGCAACTTTGCCCTCCGTGGGCGAGGTAATAGCGATGATCTCGAAGAAGCGGGCGTATTTTCCTAAAAGGTTTCTCACGATATCCCGCGTTGTAGGAAAGTGTAGCCATTTGAGCTGCTAAGGTCAGTCGACTGGCCAGCTCAGTATGTGAAGAGAGGAAGCCCTCTTACCTTGCACATCTTTTCGGTAAATGTTGCTTGGCGCATCACGCATCCTACGAGGTCAATAGAAAAAGGCGACGAGTTCTCCCAGTACCGCGACATCATCTTCCTTGTCTGTCGTTTTCCGTCTAGACTCGGACGGAAGGTTGTCACATCTTCGTGGCCGGGAAAGTTCATTACTTCACGTAGGTTCTTCGAATCTGCAAATTTACCAGTGAAGTTCTCTTCCATGGCATCTCGCACAGCCATCATGCTCGGCCGCATTTTGCTTCCGGGCTTGAACATTTCGAGAATGTGGGCAAAGAGCCCGCGACGAGCGAGACGCGTGGGGAAGAGCCGGTCTGGGCATTCCCCAGACGTATCATCTGAGCCGTATTGTAAAGGTTTCGGTAGTCCTGTATCGAGGTCGAGGATTGTTCCCGGTATGGCGTGATTGGAATGTATCGAGGCCTGGATGTCGTCGCGAAACTTTGCAGCACGGAGAGACTCGTGGGTAATTTTGATTCCGCATGAAGGGCATGCGTGGGCTAGGCGCCCGTCGGCGAGGCCTTGGCCTACGACATCGAGTTGTCTTGGAAGTGTTGTTAAATCTTTGACTTTATGGCTGGCGGGATACTGAATCTAGAGAGTGGGACGTTCGGCCCGGACTGCTAAAAGGATGGAACTCACTTTGCAACTGAATAGCCCGGTGGCAGTCCGCATGTCGTCCACGGAATGGGAACAAATTTAGAACACGCGGGGCATGGGACATCTTTGGCGTCTGGATCATCTTCGTTGCGCCAGGCGAGATTCGTGTTTGCTTCCCAATGTGCCTTGCACGCGTCCGAGACGACGTAGTCAAAAGTTGGGCCGATAACGGCGGTGTTGATGATGGACCAGGGGATTCCTGCTGCCCAGAAGGAGTTGTGTCCGTAGCGGAGGCAGTCCTTTGTGATGGTCAGTATTTGGACGATGATTGCGATGGCGACAAGGGGGAGCTACGGACCTCGAGGTAGAGTCTTGGGTTGAGCATGTGCGCGTGCCAGACGAGTAGTACATCTAGAGGTAGCAGCATCTCTTCGCGCCAAACCATTGGATTCGACTCGGGGAACCCTTCATACCGGGCCCGAGTCTGGGTTCGGTGCTGTCTACTATCTCCAGTCTCACCGTTACCCTCCGTTTCGCCCTGGCCTGACTCCTCGCCGTCGGACGAGGATAACGGCTGGCCAGGTTTGGGTTCAGCGACGAGCATGTCGCTCTCGAGGAGCATGTTCGGGGTGAAGGTTCGCCACCATGCTGCGTAGCGGTCGACTGCGCGGCCGAGGTAGATTGCCCACCTCTTTTCGCGGAGTCTGATCAAGATATCCAGGTCTAGTTCAGGGTCGACTCCGGTGTCCGGATCTATTGGCGCTCTCTCGGTCTTGTGATTGTGCTCTTCGCTGCTGTTGCCGCTATCATCACCATTGCGAGTGTCGGTGTGTTTCATGTAATTAGTGGTAGTAGTGCTGGCCCGCGCATCCCAAATATCCCACAGGCCATCGCAGTACCCGGTTTCCGTCTTGAGGCGATTGAAGGCTGTTAGGAGGCGAAGGTGCGCTAGGCATGCGTCTTGAGTCGGGAAGGATGAGAGAGGTGGGTGGGTTTCAGGTGGGAGGGCGAGGTTGAGGCCCGAGGCGATGCCGGCTAGGACGGAGGGGTCCGGGTCGGAAGGATCGGTACCGTAGGACAAGGGAGGGGCCGAGGCGTCGGGTCCGGATAGGAAAGCGGAGCCTGGTTGTACGATGGCTTCGGATGCGGACGCGGGTGTGGAGCCTGGGCCGTCTTCCGAAGGGGGAGGAGGAGCCGGTTGGCTCTTTGGCTTTCTCTTCCACATTACTTACTTACCAAATGTACTTGGAAAGGGACCTTCCGTAGGTCGTTCAATTCAAGTTGGATTAATCGGCGCGTTTGTTTGGTATTCTTGTTGAAATGGGCCTGTCGATTGCTTATGAAGAGTCATACGCGACTGTGTGGTAATTGACCGTGTCGGTGAGTGAGAATCGAGGGGCGACAAAGCGGTGTGCGTTTCTCAGTCCGCGGATAGACGCGGGCCCCCCTTTGAACCCCGAGGTCTTCCTTCTTTTTGCGAATAGGCAATTCTAAATTGGATTCTTTGGAATTGGAGGATTTGATTGGCGACTACCCTTTAACTCAACTCGATGCTGCACTGCGCCGCCGTTGGAGTCGCGAGTGGCTTGTGTATCTTCGGTAGGTTTTGCGGACGTGATCGAGACAGTCTCGCTGCGAGATCTAATCGGCGTTGAAACTCTCACCGAGATGTCCCCGACGGTGAGGTGAGTGCGAGGGAGATTAGATTGCGGTGGTGAACTGGAGTACCTAGTTTATGAGACAAATCCATGATTCATCCCCTACAGCGTACATGCATGTTCCATTGTCGATCAATGATAAAGGGCCGTTCGGTCGGATCTCGTCGGGCGTGAGTGTGCGCGTGTGGTTTGGTGTGCTGGCTCCAATGACGGGCACTGGTTGAAAGTGCATCAGACCCCGCAGGTGGGATTCGTCGCGGGGGAGGAGTCCAGTCCGGAAGGATTCGAATGGTAGAGACATGGTGACGTTGAAAGCGGATTCTTTTTGCCGCGTGAACGAGCCAAAGCGAGTGGTGGGCAATTGGAATGCTTGGCGATAAGGCGTTGTCTTTGAAGCTTGAAAGTCACGTCAAAAGATGAGACGGGCAATTTAGGTATTCTTGATAGGTATATTGAATTCATTTTGGTATATTGCATCAAATTTCATAATGTGTGCGGTATGCCCGCTTCCAATGCCTCAACGCCGTGCCACGCAAATTCATTAGATGAAAAATTAAACCCGAGAGTACCTCACTTCCCCAACCATGCTGCAGCTGTAGCATGATTGAGTCGGTTGGGAATCATAACCCTCCCCGCATTAGACTCTCTCCTGGTGAGAGGTTCCATTGAGGGCGCTCTTAGGCTGGAGGCCCTCTCCCTTCTCACTCTGAACGCCACCATCGCTGGCGCTGGCATCAAGGTCTGTACCGGCCTTTTGGCGGATGCGGTGCATCTCCTCGGCAGAGGGAGGAACCCATTGGGTGCTCTTCCACGGCTTGACACCCTCCAAGTACATGGTGTCAATTTCCTCCAAAGTGCGTCCCTGACCCTCGATGACGAAGAAGTAGACAACGAAGCCAGCAACCAGGTTACATCCGGCAAAGACGTAGCCGTATCGGAAGTCAATGGCACCAGTGATGAAGGGGGAGAAGAAGCCGATGAAGAAGTTCCAGATCCAGTTGCTGGCGGTGGAGAGGGACATGGCCTTGGCGCGGTATCTCGACGGGAAGAGTTCGGCTTGGATGGTCCAGATCTTGAATAGGTTAGTTTGTGGTTGGATAATACTTATTAAAAGGGAGGACGCTTCATGACTTACCATAGGTCCCCAGGTGGTGGCGAAGCCCAGAATGAAGAGAGAGGCGAAAACGATGAGCACGATGCCGGGGCCGACAGTAGCTTGAGGGTTCTCGCGATCCAGGCTGAAGTGACCAACGGATGCAAAGATCAAGAAGCAGATAAACATCCAGCCAGAGCCAACCATAAGCGACTTGCGTCTACCATAGTGTTCAACAATGTAGAGACCAATGAAGGTGGTTCCAAAGTTAATGGCGTTCAAAATGATCTGCGTAATGAAGGAGTTGATGTTCACAGAGGAGAAGATAGTGGTTCCTGAAATGAGACGAATTAGAACCAATAACTTTGAGAGACGTTTGATTGTTGCTTGACTTACCGTAGTAAAAGAAGTAGTTGGCACCAGTGAGCTGCTGGAGCATTTGCAGTCCACAGCCCAAGGCAATACGCTGGGCCATTTTAGGGGCCTTGAACATGCCAGAGAACTCCTGGACAGCATTGCCCTTGATCTGCGACTCAGCCCGGAGCTTGCTCTCAATCTCCTCGAGTTGGATGTGGATGCTATAGTGGTTCTCGGGAGCGCCGTAGACTCGGCAAAGGGTGTTTTTGGCACGCTCAATGTTGCCCATGCGGTAGTCATAACGGGGAGTTTCGGGGAACGCAAGGATGCCAACGCCGAGGATGATAGTCCAGAGCCAACCAAGACCAATGACGATCCGCCAGGAGCCCGAGCTGTGTTCGAGATGCGTGACAGTGCCGTAGTTGCTACATCGCTGTTAGTTATCTGCTTTAACAGTGATGTGGTGGGTGTGCACTTACAAGCAAGCGGCGAGGAAAATGCCGAGGGTGATGAAAAGCTGGTAGGCGCAAACGAGGGCACCACGAATCCATGGCGGTGCGGTCTCGGCCTGGAACATGGGAACGATGAGACTGAGAGCGCCAACACCGAAGCCAGCGACCAAGCGGCCAACCATTATCTGTTCCCATGCTCTCTCGGCGGCAATCTGGATGACGAAACCGATGGAGGTGATGAGGCACCAGAAGGAGATGGAGTACCGGCGACCAAACTTGTCGGCGATGGGGGCGGCGCACAAGGCACCGATGAGGGTGCCGATGGAGAGGAGACCGACAATCAGACCGGAGCGGACGTTGCTGAACTTGATGGAGCCGTCGGCCTTATGCTCGCCGAATCGGTCGAGAAAGTCGGGCATTTCCAGAAATCCGGAGATCTGACCCGTGTCATAGCCGAAGACCATGCCACCCATGGAGATGAGAATACCCATGGCCCATGACCGCCCCGAGATGCGCTTCAGCGGGGAGTAGTCGAGGTGGGCGAGGTCCTGGCGAGCATCGCTTGCCTTCTCAGAGGCAGGGTTGTATTTGTCGAACTCAATCGTCGAGAACCCCATGTTGGGCGACGATTTGTGTGGTGTTGTTGGTAGTGATGTTGGGTGAAGGTGATGGAGATCTGTACCAGTGATGGTTCGTCCGAGACAGAGAGGGCTGTGTTTGGGGAGGACATGGCGGGCAGTATTATATGATTGTTTCGTCGATCGACAGACGAGACGAGGATTGAGAGCCGCTCGCAAGCGCAGTACGCTTGTGCTGATGAATAGGTGGGCAGAGTTGGGGGCGTCCAGTCTCAGTGGGCTAGGGGCGTGACGTCAAGAGAGGACCGAGGCCTTGGAGTCGGTCAATGTGCGAGGGAGACCAGACTCCAGAGACTGCAGAGTGCCCGATGACTTGGGATGGACGGCGGTGCCACCGTATGCCACCGAGGTGTTGCCGTCCGGGGCCCGGGGTCTCCAGGTTGAAGGAATCGGCCCGTTCCCCATCTTTTCTGGTGTCAGGCAGAGAGAAGAGCCTTCAGAGATGAGAAGGAGGCCGAGGGGACGAATATGGAGATTTGGTGGATGTCATTGGATGCGTGGGCGAACTATGGAGGCCTGATCCAGTACTTCTGTGGTAGTGTATTCGTACACCAGATTACCAATGCGGCTCTGGGGATGAGAATCATGGGATTCTTAGGAATTGTGGAAACAGACCAAGAAAACCAGTGACAGTGTTGGCCGGGGATAACATGGTCTGTCGATTGTTCCCTGGCACGGCGTGGAAGAAAGTCGTGAGATTGAGCAACGGCTGGATGACGTTGGTGGACGTGGTGCGTTTTGTGGGAAAACCAGGGGGGGCGTGAGATGATGTAAAGATGCCGGATCCGCCCAAGGCCGTTTTACAACGCAAAGTATCTTTGGCGCATAAACTTGGTGTGCGGTACCAAAGAAAGCCTTTTTTGTACAAGTATCGGTACCGGTACACTAAGAGAAGGTAAGTAAGATGCAGGGCGTGCCGGAGGAACCGGGGCCGGGGTACACTACACGAGCAGGTGGTCGAATTCTCTGGAGATTCTTTCACGGCACATTCGGATTGCAGACTTGGGATTTGAGAAGTGAGCAACTTTGTTTTTTGATGAACTGCGGATGAACATATGGTTAACGACAGACTTCTTCCATATAGAGCTTGGTGGGATGTCGTGGTGAGGTGAGCAATTCACAACACAGGTGACTCTTCTCTTCTGTCCATACGTTAAGTTCCTTTTCATCCCACTGAGGTACCAAGTACACAAGTAGAAAGAGGGGCGCTGAAATGAGGCCATCGTGATATGACACGGAATGTATCGGGTGAGCCATTGTTGGTGGAAAGATACATGAATTCAGTCCTTCCCTGAAAAGACGACGGAATGGTGCCGCGGCAGAGGGACGGCAGGCGCTGCCGGAATTGCTGCCCACGTCACTGCCAATTGCGCACCAGTGAGAAGGCACGATGACAAGTGGGACGACACGAAATGCAGTTGCGTTGCCAATCATCGCCAAGCTGCTTCCCGGCCGGGTGGATCGGATCTCGTGCCAAGGGGCCACTCATCCCAAGCAACTCCTCAAGGCAGGTCCCGATCGCTACCTTCTTGCCGAATGCACTTGGTCCCTTTGGCCCTTCTTTCCCTTGCAATTTGAACCCGAAGTGGTTTACTGCGTATTACCTAGTTGCCAAGTGAAGGCACAAAATGAAAGCCAAGGGCAAGAGAGCCGCTTCCTCGAGTCTCGGTAAAGTCTTGGATGATGAGAGACACAGTCAAACAAGCTCTGCCAAACGGGGCCCAAGAAATCTTGATTGAACCACAGCACTTCCTCGGAGCCCCAACCCCTGCCTCACATCCTCCCAACTTCCTTCCTCATCAAAACCAGTACGTATTCTATTCAATTCAATTCAGCCCCGCCGATATCAAACATTAGATGACGTCGTTCTTGAAAAACACACGGAAGGGGAAAAAAAAAAGATGTAAAGAACCAGAGATGTTGGAAAAAGATATCGCCGCGACACCTTCACGGCCCACCTCCGGCTTTCCGTTCTTCAGAGCCGTCGTTGCTCTCTTTCGGCCCTTTTCTCCCCTCAACCTCCAGACGTCTCCAGAGTCTCCAGCAAAGCCCCCAATATTCTCCCGAAATCTCCATTCTTTTGCCCTTTCTGCTGCGTGCGCAGCGTGTCACGGTCTCTCTCTTCTTTCCCCAGTTCCAGAAAACTCAGAGTCTCTTGCCCTATTCTACAGGTCTAACCGGTCTGTCGGTCGCCGTCCGAGGGAGAGCCGACGCCGATTCTCCCCATCCTCCATCCCACCCACCCGAACCACGCAACCCACGCCATCTTCCCCTCGGGGCTCCCAGATCTCAGGTGTTCTTTTCTCTCTTCAATGGATCACTCGGGGCCCCTTCCGGGGAACGAGATGTGAATCAAAGGGACCTCACACCGTCCCCATTGTTTCGGCCTCCGCCACGACGCCGCCGCCGACAACGGCCAACCACATCACTATCGCGATCCGTCTTCCCCCCGCACACCTTTCCAAGTCTCGACTATTCTTTGGTCTCTCCGTTCTCGTAAGGGGAGTCGTAAGAGGAGGTCATGAGGCTCCCATGGGGTTCGGTGATGCCTAAGAAAAAAAGTATCGTGCCTCGGCTTATTCGTCTCCACAGTTATTTTCGTCAGTCACGCACTACCAGAACCACCACGGACCATATTCCCCAGCACTGTTAACCTCGCGACATATCGACGATGCCCAATCTCCACTGTTATCACGCGTCACTTCTATCCAGAGAACAACCAGCTTTCCAGCCTATACGAGAGGAAAAAAGGATTGGGTCTCGATTAGGAATCAAAACTCGACAATCAGGGGACGATCCCTTCGCCCTAAGTGACTGATTGTCGGATCAGCCACGTGCGTGCTCCAACACTCGCCTGTCAGTTGCACCAGTTCATCTCCATCACGATCCATCCAACTGTTACAGCCATACATACATTTCTTGATAATCGCCGCCGTCCACTTTTCTCGGTCGCACCGCGGTATCTCTCTGCATGGCTATGCGCACCTATTATACGGATATATTATTGCACCTCACGACCTCACGACGGTGCGCACGGTTCCGGCTTCTCCGTAAACCTCCCAGGCGTTACTCTATCACTGAACTGCCGGGGCGTCCTTGGTAGTGGTCGCGGGAACGCTGGGCCCGCCGTGCCTCCTCCCGCAACAATCATTCTTCCCGTTTCAGCTCCTGAGCCCCCAAGGCTCTCCCTGCGGTCCCGACTAGTCCCGACGATCCCCGACAAAATTTCAATGCTGCCGACACAGCACATCGGCACCTTCAGACGCGTCCAAATTGCAGACCCAAGCGTTACGTGATCTGGGTTGAGCGGATCGAATGCTGTTATACGGCCTACCACGTGGACTCTAAGCCATTGACCCCCGTCGGCTTATCAGCCAAAGTGGTGATCCGAAAGCCGTGTCGCAGCCCTTCTTGTGGGTTGTGGACGTTGTAGTCCGAGATGGCAGTGTGCGCCGTGACTCTGTTATCCCAGAGAGCGACAGTTCCCTCTTCCCACTTGACGCGGACCTGGAAGTCCTGGCCGTGATTGATATGCTATCTCTCTTTGGTCAATATGGCTTCCAGCCCCGGATGGTGGTATCACGAACCTTGAACAGGAGTTTCAGCAGCGCATCTGATTCCTCATCTCGAAGGCCAACAATTCTCTTTGTGAAGCCTGGGTTGATAAACAGCGCTTTCTGGCCAGTGGCCTGCGACACGAATGATGTTAGCAGGACGGACTTGATCACGAGCTACAAGTTGTGGCGACAGTACATACCGGATGAATCCGAACAATGGGATGTTCCGACTTGACCGGCTCTCTCCGCACAAATTTGCCGTCTCGACGACCGTTGTCGGCTTGGGGAAAGCCGCTATGTTCTGCCCTTAACCCTTCGAGAAGGGATTGTATCGGCCTCGACAATCGCGCATACGCCGCCGTCTGAGAAACCCAAGCTGTATCGCCGCCCGTCTCAGGCACCGAGAGAAGTGTCAGGATCGTAACGCCCGGCGACTGGTGTTCATATGACACGTCTGAGTGGTACCCGATGGTCGAGAGCTTGTTGCTCTTGCTTCGGTTGCGGTACTCATTGTCTGGGCCCAGGTAGATGTTGTGCAGCTCGAGATGGTCCTTGACGTGCGCGCCGACGGGCTGGAAACTTGTCAGTAAACTCGCGAGCGAGATGGCAAAGTCAGAGGGTCACGAACGTGGATATGGAGAGGACCAAAGTATTTCCCGAATTTCTTTTGCTCATCGATGCTGATGTCCTTGAAGTCTTGGTCTCGGAATATCACGACGCCGCGCTCCGCGATGAGAAGTGCAAGCTCGTCTTTCTGTCTGTCATTCAGCTGAGATAGTTGCAAGCCTCGGATCTCGGTGCCAATGACTGGCGTCAGCTTCGTCGCCTTGATCTCTTCGTTGTCTTTGGGAAGGAGATTCAGCTTCTCCTTGTTTGCTACGAGCCCGCGGTCGTTGAACTCGAATGGCTGCAGCGGGGGAAAGGATGTCTTTTCGTCGTACACCGGCAAGTATTGGGCGTATCTGTACTGTTGTCATCGTCAATCTTGTTGCTTTGATATGCATCGAGTGATGTATCGATGGCATACCTGATCATGGATCTTGTCGTCGTATGCCAAGGTCAGCTTGCCGGGTGGCGTCTCGGCCTGAACTTGAGTTGTGGTGGTTGTAGACATTGTGAGTGATTGCTTTTTCTTCTCTCTTCCTTGCTTCTGGGTCCTCGGTCCGACTACTTCCATCAACTGTTGTACCCATCGTATATAGCGGCTGCTTCATTGAGCCTACTTAAATATAGCTTCTCAACCGAGGGTGGTCTCACAAGAGTCAATCGCGTCAATCGACGTGATATGGCGATTGCTGAAGCCATACATCCTTTGGCTCGCGCCATTGCGACTTGGGTGCGGGGAAAGTCAGGTAAGCAGCATCGCTGTGCAATACCACCCATTTTACTGGACGCGACATCCGGAGGGGGTTCGGATGTGAAGCTCGCATTCATCGGCATATTCCAACACCACAGTCACTAGGACCTACGCTGTCTAATGAGGACGAGTGGAATGGTTAGTCATAGTCGTATGGCTGCTATGTATTCCTGGTAGGGACACTTCATCCTGTTGATCCATCGGCACCATTTGACGTGGTTTTCGTGATTTGTGAAGAAGATGGCATCAAGTCCGATAGTGCCCTGATGCCAAAGATGACGCGGGACCGCTTCGGCGAGGGTGGGGTGCCCCGCGCCGGCTCCGGACAACGTCCGGCTATACCGGGAGAGCATCTTCGGTTTAGTGTATCGTTCAAGAAAGGAAAACAGCCCTCGAAAGTGGAATTGCAGTCACCAGCGAGTTCCGTCCAGACAAGGCACTCTGAGGAGTCGCAATTCTGGGTCGATCCTGTCTTTGGGTTATTGAAGTGCTTCGTTCTTCGGCACCAACACCGTGACACGTTCGGAGTATCGGGCAGCCAGCAGCTTAGTTTCCAATTGATTAGCTTCTTCCTAGGGCGATTGTTTGTTTCCCCCACTGTAATCACACAAATCTCTAGACCTGATATGTGATTCTAATCCGTCCGAAGCGGCTCGTGTCGCTGGTATATAAGGTAGTATCCTAGGTATCCTGGCAAAGACCTACAAGGTTCGCGATGTGATGCAACCATCGCTTCCCCGGACGCAAATGGGGCAAAATTCACGCCGACCATCCCAGTTCCTCATAGAATGGTTTCATCTGCACCTCGCGACCGAGGAACTCCAACAAGGTCGTCATCTCGGGCTGTCCGCCCCCCTTCTCCAGCACGCCGTACCTATACTTGCGCCCTGCTTCCGCGCTCATGGGGTCCGCCTCGAAAATGGTGGAGAAGATGTCTTGGGCGTAGACTTTTGAGCTGTTTGCCGCGAACGTAAGTTCGGTTAGTGAACTTGTCTTTGTTGACGGGGGTATATCAAGATCCAGGAAAAGGTAAAAGAGGGATAGTGCAAAACTCACAAAAAGTACCCGTAAAACCCGGCATCGTACTCGTCCATCAGATGTCCGATGTTAGTATATCCGTGGCCCCAGTTAGCGTCGTCGCCTGACAGAAGAGGCGGATCGTCTGTGGGAACAATTTCTCGTCGGAGATTATTCCAGAGCGTCGTGAAGTCCACGGCGGCTTCTCCCTCCATAGCAGGGGTAGCAGCTAGATCCTCTTGCGTGATGGTGGCCGCAGGCAACTGATGCACAGCCATATCGAAAACACTAATAAAAAGCTGCTGTAGCGTTCCAAGTCCCTGACCTACGGGCTTCGCGGCAACGAGGCCCTCGACGACGGACTCTAGGATCCGTTCCGGCGGCTGTTGTAGTCCTTCTCCTCCTTCTTCCTCTGCTTCTCCTACTACGCCCCTGGCAACCTGCTTCCCCCGCCAATCCCGCAGACACTCCTCAGAAAGATACGAGTAATGCCGCCCAAGCTTCCGCAGCTGCTCCGCGATCCAGCACCAGTTCTCGAGCATTTGGGAGGGCGCCTCGCCGAAGTCGACGACGGTGCCCATGGGTCCATGGAAGCGCGCGAAGGAGGTGCGGGAGACGAGGTCGTGGATTGCGTGGCCTAGTTCGTGGAAGAGGGTTACGACGTCGGCGTGGCGGAGGAGGGTTGGGAAGGACGGGGAAGAAGGAGGCGGGAAGGAGCAGAGGAGGGCTGTAGAGGGGTATGTGCGGGTTTGATCTGGGTTTGTGAAGCCCTGGGAGATTGTTAGTCTTGGTCAGAACTAAAGAGAAGAGAATGTGGTGGTGAGTATCTGGGATGGGAAAAGGAGAGGACTTACGGGTACGAGACTGAAGTTCGCGGGGTTCCCGTACTTCCCATTCCGATGATAGAGATCGAGGTAGAGATACCCCAGGAACCCACCCCCTTCACCAGCAGAATCCCACGCAGAGAATAGTCGCACATCCTCATGCCAGACGATATCCTCCCCCTTCCCCGTACTTGACAAGGCATCCCTCGCCTCCCCGCCAATAACTTCGCAAAACTCCATCCCAAAAAGCCTCTCAAAGATGCCCAGCATGCCCTCCACGGTCTGCTCGAGCGGGAAGTACTCTGCGATCCGCTCCTGATCAACAGCATACCACTCCTTCATCAACAGGTTCGTATAATACGCCGTGTCCCACGTATACAACCTCCCATCATAAATCTCGCCCCTCTCCTCCTCGACATCATGCCTCTTGAGCTTTAGCAACCGTTCCTTTTCCGCTTGTCCGCCCTGGACTAGCTTCTCGCGTAGAGAGGAGAGGAAAGAGGTGACGCCAGCCGGGGACCCGGCCATTTTCTCCACCGTACTGAGGGTCGCGTGGTCGGGGTACCCCAGCAGACGGGCAGCTTCGTGGCGGAGGAGGACGACGCGACGGAAGATGGTGATGTTTTCGTGGCAGCGGGTGTCGTAGGCCAACCGGGCGCGGCGGCGTGTGTTGGGCCGGTGGGCGGTGCGGAGGAGGTGGGAGAGGTGGAGCGGGATCTTGACCCGTAGTTTTCCTGCCGTCTCGGGGTTTTCGTCGTCCCCTTCTTCGAGGCGTGCGAGGGCGTCGGGCGGGAAGCCGTCTAGTTCCCGCGGGGTGAACCATACCGAGACATCTGCCTCTGCGAGGTTCTTTGAGAAGTCTGCCGTCAATGTCTCGATCTCGGCACGGATTGCGCGGAAGTGGTCCCGTTCCGAGCCAGCAGGGATCCGGAGACCATTTTTGACGAATTCGCCATGTTTCTTGTGGAGATAGTTCCTCGCTTCCGGGTTTAAGTAGCGCGTTTCGGCGGCGTCGTTGTAGACTGTGTCGACGAGCTTGAAGAGCGCTTCGTTGTTGGCGGCTTCGAGCTCTGCGTCGCGGAGGAGAGACCGGGCTTGGGAGGAGGCGGAGCGGGTTTCTTGGTCTGGGGATACTGCGTTGTGGAAGAGGAGGAGGGAGGATTTGGAGTAGAGGGCGTTTTCGGCGTGAGCTAGGGGCAAGAGGCTGTTTGCGTAGGTTGCGTCCTGGGGTGAGATTGTTGATGGGATGGAGGTTTGGGCTGCGCGGTGGGTTGAGATGAGGGTGTTGATTGTGGTGAGGATTTGGGATGGGGTTGTTGTGAAGATAGGGGGTGATTGTGGGGGGTTGCGGGGAGGGGAGGGGGCCATTGTGGTGATGAGTTGAGATTTGGAGGAGGTTTGGATTGGCAATTGATGGCGAGGGAGTGGCGTGAAGCCTGAGGTGTAGGAACCTGATGCCAAGAGCGGGATATCGTGATCTTTTGAGTCTGTGGTGTTTAGGCAGCGGTTTTGCTGGTTTGGCGGGGCATCACCCACTTGTTGGTTTCAACTTTTGCGATTGCGTTGGTACAGGGATGGTATGCGAGGCGTAGGCGGGTCGCCGGCTGGTCAGCTATCTTCAGCGGCGAGACTGTTGGACCTCGAAAGGATCTGACAGAGTAAAGTTTCGTAGATGCCTTGGGCAGAGACCCGGTGCCATCACGATGTTGACCAAAGATTGGATGAATACTCAGTTGAATGCAGTTTCAAAACACCACACATCGCTAGGCATCCAATATTATCAAGGTAGTGACATGATCTGAATCTCGTAGGCAGCACTTAAAAGATAGCGTCCGAGTGAACCGACCACCTTACATGCAGGACTAAGGTGCCTCATGTTGGACTAACCTGCAAGCAGTCAGATCCGGGCAAGGCCCGGATAGAGCCCCCGCCCGTTTTCGGCATGATTGGCCGATGGGCTGTGCCGAGATCCGGCCGGCCGGGGCGGGGAAAAGTCGGGGCTCAAGGGGTCGGACAACGGAGACCGTCTCGGCTGTTTGTTTTGATGAAGAATTAATTCAGGCGCTCTATGGCGACTGTCTACGAAGGATCAATTGATTAACCCCACTAGAAACGAGTTTTCTTCCGTGAGGCAATCTGGAATGAAGCGTCCACGCCGTTGTCTGGGTTGCCCAGTCTGTAATTTGCAAATGAACTTGGCCATGATGGCATATTACAATCGTACTTAGATTCAGTCCATGGCCTTTATTTGGGAGTGTCAAGGCACTGACAATGTGAATACCTATCATCTGGAAGTAAATGTCACCCTGCTTCTAGGAAGATTAGGCACACATTGGAGGGCCGAACGCAATCCCCAACCAAAGCGCGCCAGCGTTCGTGTTCCCCAACAATGTCAGCATCCTACGCCAAGGATTACAGTGTCTTGGGCCATCCTACTCACCTTTACGCATTTTTTGAAGCTTCTCAATTGGATTCTTACTGACTAATTGCGTCGGTCGGGCTGATGTTCCGGCCACCGACTTGATCTGACATCCTCACGCCACTCCTTTGAACTTACAAACGCAATCGTTGATTCATCTCGTAGAACATAGCATCCACAGGAGACTGACTTTGTTTTTTCCTCTCTCATAGCACCAATCCTTAGATTATAGCGGCGTCAACATGGCCAGCATCTCTTCGGGCCTTGCAGTTGTCTACCCTGTGGATGAGGGAAGCGGCAAGTTCGGAAGCGTAACACCCTTGCAACGAGGCCCTCTCGACGAGAATCACCATCAAATCCTCTCACCACCGCAATTCCAGGAGCCGCCCATTTCTACCATCCGCACTCCATCCATTCAAGATGAGTATCTCAGTAACGCCACCGACGCCGACCCGCCTCTCCCCTCCAACCCCACCACCGCCGTCCCAAAACTCTCAGGCACCAGCATAACCCTCACAATGACATCCCTCTGCCTCTCAGCAACCCTCTCCGCCCTCGACATGACAATCGTCACCACCGCCGTACCCAACATCGTCGCCTCCCTCGACTCCGTCGCCGGTTATATCTGGGTCGGCTCCGCCTTCATCCTCGGCTTCACCGCCGTCACCCCCGTCTGGGGCTCCGTCGCCGACCTCTGGGGCCGGAAACCTATCATACTGCTCGCGCTGACCATATTCCTGGCGGGGAGCCTGCTGTGCGCGCTCGCGCCGCATATGGATGCGCTGATTGCCGGCCGCGCGGTGCAGGGTGTTGGTGCGTCGGGGATGGGGGTGATGGTGAATACCATCATCTGCGACTTGTTCTCGTTGAGGGATCGGGGGCTATATCTTGCTGTTACGTCTGTTATTTGGGCTGCTGGGAGTGCGGTTGGGCCGGTGCTTGGGGGTGTGTTTACTACGCGATTGAAGTAAGTTCTCCCCGGGTAAGATCCAAGTGTTGACTTCGACTGACTCTTCCACTCCTCTTGTTAGCTGGCGATGGTGTTTCTGGATCAATCGTAAGCAGCCCCCAAATGAAGTAGAACACCCAACGGAAAACTAACCGTACTCAAGTGCCAGTGGGTGGCGTTGTCTTCATAGTCCTCATCTTCTTCCTAGACCTCCCTTCACCCAACACACCAGTGCTAGCAGGCCTCAAAGCCATAGACTGGACAGGAAGCGCTCTCTGCATGGGCGGAGCCCTCATGGTTCTCCTCGCCCTCGACTTCGGCGACGTCGTACATCCATGGTCCTCCGCGACCGTGATCTGCCTCATCGTCTTCGGCGCCGTCGTCATTGGCATATTCCTCGTAAACGAGTGGAAATTCGCTGCCAACCCCGTTCTCCCCCTCAGACTTCTCTCAAGCTGGTCGAAAGCGGCAGCGTACAGCGTCTTCGCCTTCAACGCGTACGTCTTCATCGGTATTACATACTACCTGCCGCTATACTCCCAAGCCGTGCTGGGCGCGAATGCGTTGACGTCGGGGTTGTATATGCTGCCTCTAATCGTCTCTTGCTCGTTGTCCGCGGCGTTTGCTGGGGTATTTATTCAACGGACGGGACGGTACCGGATGCTCATGTACGCGGCGCAAGTACTGCTGATTCTCGGTACGGGTTTACTGATCAACCTCGAATTCGACAAGAACTTGGCGAAGCTGTTCACGTTCCAGATCCTCACCGGCGTCGGCGTGGGGTTGAACATTGAGGCGCCGGTGCTGGCGGCGCAGGCTGCGACTACGGTGCGTGATACAGCTGCTGTGGTGGCTACCATGGGGTTTCTCAGGTCTATTGCGACGGCCATTTCTGTGGTAGTTGGTGGGGTTGTCTTCCAGAACCAGATGAAAGCTGAGAACCCGGACTTGGTTGAGATGATTGGTGGCGAGCTAGCTGGTCAGTTTGATGGAGAGAATGCGTCGGCTCATGTTGAGGATATTGCTCTGCTTGCGGCTGAGCAGCAAGTTCCTGTGCGGCAAGCTTACTTCAGAGCGCTGAAGACAGTTTGGATCATGGTAAGTGAGAGCTCTCAGAGTCAGAACATTGCGACGTCCCATATTCTCGATAGCCTCGAGAAATTGCCGTTGCGCTTGCGGTCCTTTGCTAACAGGAGCGCGCAGTATGTCGCATTCTCGGGCCTAGCGTTGGTGCTGAACCTCTTCGTATCAGAGCATCACCTGAGCGATGAAAGAAAGGCAGCTGTTCTCGGCGTCGATCGAGGAAACCCGGGCTTGTTGGATCAGCCGGCCCAAGGAGAGGAAATACCGTTTGAGACAACTGGCAGACAGCGAGACAATGTTCATCAACTCAGAAATCGGGCCACATGAGAAAGAAGTATAATTCGAGCTCCTCGAGGGGAGTGATTAAAGCAATTAGATTGACAGGTGCCAGCCCTGAAAACGCCTTGAAGCGTGTGGACTCTATGTCCTGCGCTGTCCCTAAATCCCGGACATGATTTTAATACAAAGAAAACTTGTCAAGTTGTGACCAGAACCCCGTTCTACCTTCCCGTTTCCCCTCTTCCCGCACGCTGACGGCCGTTATGATGTACAAACTGTTTTATGAAATAAGTGGCGGTCAGAAGTTTCTTCTTCGCGCAAAGGCCGTAATCAAGTCTCCAGAAAGCTTCACCCGTAGCAGTGCCACATGGTCAGGACTTCCCTGCCAACGACGACTCTATAAGCTGTCTTTCCGCCAAGCCCCTCTCCCAGAACTCGGAACCCTCGGTCAAATTTCGCCGCAGGGTCTTGGCGCTGAGATGCTTCGTGAAGCGGTCCACGGCTAGAATCACCAAGAGGAGAGCCGCCACGGTAGGCAGCGTCGCGCCGCTCTTGAGGTAGGCGAAGATGAACTTCTCGGACCCGGCGCCCGCGGCGATGCCGACGGCGAAGAGGGCGGCTACACCGCGTGTCGCGACGGCGGCCTTGTCAAAGATGTTGAGCGGACGGTCCTTGTGGCGCGTTATGAGAATGAAGACGGCGAAGAAGGCGACGACGAAGAGGAAGGAGGACCAGTAGTAGATGTAGACGGTCGAGTAGGCCGGGTGGGCAATTTCGCCGGGGTCCTCGTCGCCGTCCGAGTTGACGCCGTTGTAGGACTCGAACAGGACGCCCAGGACGCTCTTGGTGAGGCGCTCGAAGCCTGGGGGCACGAAGAGGGAATCAGTGCCGGTGATATTGGCCGGGGCGCAGATATCGGTCGTGTTGCCGATTTTGTAGATTTCTTGGTAGACGAAGGGAATGAGGTTGCGGATCTCGGCGCTGTTTGGCATGTTGAGCTTCTCAAAGGCCGTGGCGATGGAGGTTGTGAGGGCTTGGCCGTCCTGGTGCTCGTTTACGCAGGCGTCGCGGACGGTGGAGAAGAAGTCGCTGAAGTAGCTGAGGACTTGCCAGGCGAGGGCAATTTGTTGGGAGCCTTCGACGACGCCGATCATACCGAGGTGGAAGGGGAAGTGGAGGACGGCCCAAATTTGTTGGCGGACGGTGCCGAATTTGCATTCGGGGGGGTTGTCGAAGTAGAGCATCCAGTTGAACATCTAGAACGTTGAGTTAGTTGATCTACGGGTGGAGTGTAGTGTGAACGAGTGACATACCAGAATGAAGACGATGCAGCCGACGACGAGGCAGGCGTCGAGCCGGAGACCGGTGTCACCCATCAAGACGCCGACGACCTTTGTGGCACCGATGGCACCTTCACCAATGATGACCAGGGTGAAGAGACCCATTCTCTCCGTCAAGTGGGTGTGCTTGAAGCTGAGGTTCCTCCAGATGGACGACAGGCCGAGGGTGATGGCGACCTCGATCACGAGGATGATGTACCAAACGTAGTAGATGCCCAGGCCGTTGCCGGACTCGGGGGAAAAAGCCGGCGTCATGGAGTAGAAGGCCCCACCGGAGAAGATGAAGAGGACAATGGTGAGAGACAGCGGCCAGTTCAAGGCCTTTGTCTTCTTGCGGACAAAGTGGAGGGCGACGGAGTACTGCGCTACGAGGAGGAGGCGGGTAGCGAAGAGGATGTTACACAGGAGTTGGAAGTTCTGCATTGCATTGTTGTCAGTTGGGGTACTGGATCAAGATTTCCGAGGCTTCCGTCTCCGTTGTCAAGATCGAGATATAGCGAAGGTTGAAAGTAGACATACCGCATTGTTGTGCTCTTTCGTACCGGGACTGAATGATGACCCAACGAGAGCGAACCCGACGAATAAGCAAAATTGCAGAATCTTGCACATTCGCTCGTATCCCGAGTCGATGGAGAACCGAACATCGTGCAACGTGATCTGGAACCAGGTGAACCAGATGATGGCGAAGAAGCCAAGATAGGCGGCTAAACTGGACAAGTCGGTGATGCTGTGCGTCTGCGTAAACGTCTCGAGGTTGGCGACAAAGAAAAGGTCGGAGAAGAGCTCAATGGTGTTTGCATTGTGCCGGACAAAGAGGCGGATCTCGCCCGTGTCTTCGTCGGCCGAGGAGACAGGCGACTCGATCCAGGTGAGAGGCGCGATTTTCTCTTCTTGGAGGTAGTCCAGGCCCCTGGACACAGGAAGGATTTTCGTTAGTTTGCTGCATGATGCGGGATGGGGGTTATCGAGATTTGGGTTGTTGGTTTTGGCTGCCCTGTCACTCTCGCTTCCCACTTCCTTCAGGTAGAGAGCAATAGGTGAGAGGGCGCGTATTGGATACGACGTATATTGACTTACCAACTTATTGATGAGCTGTCAGAGTCGACCCGACGGACCTGGCTGCTCGGGAGCTTCGCCATTGTGTGGGCGGCGAACAATGATGGCGTAGGACGCCTTGTGAAGGTGTGTTTGGATCGCTTTGAACGCCTTCTTTCTCTCTTGCGAGTCCGAGGGGTGGGATAGATGTTGAATTGATGAAATGCGAAAGGGAGGGGAGGGGAACAAAGAGTGGTTAACATGGTCTGGAATCACCGGAGAAGAAGGGGACCAAGGGGGTAGAGGGGCCGCCAACGGCCAACCGGCATTGGCAGCACGTCAATCAAGCCTTCAGCCCTGTGGACTTTGTGGTTCCGTTTGTCGTTCCCCGAAGATCCGATCCATTTTTTTGCAGCTGTTTAATCATGAATGGTTCTCTCCATGGTGGAGATCTTGCACCGATACGTGTATCACAGCCCCAGGTCATACACGTATTGGGGATGACCAAACCGCACTAGCGAGTCATCTTCAATGACAATTGCCGTTTCTCGAAGGGAAACGATTAGATATTGGCTGTGTTTGGTATTTTAAGGTTCTGTCCTTACCTAGCGGTATCCACAAGTGCTGCAAGCTTCGCTCTCGGTCTCGGTCTCGCCCCATTCAGGGGTCGTTGGAGGGAGTTTCGAGTACCACAGAGGGAAAGGCCTGGTATAATACTAGGTGCTTCCTCTCAATCTTGCAGTATCGGAGTGTATAGACTTTGGCCCCCAGATTATCGACAACGACTAGGGACGAATACGAATTCGACGATACAGCTTTTAGGAAGTCAAAGAATTATTACCAAAAACGGATTATTGTACAGGACCAACATGAGGAGCGAGAAGAAGGCGTAAGAGATGAAAGTCGTCGCATCGATATGATAACTTCGATAAGGAAGTGCCATACGTTAGGTCCGCATGCAAAAGAATGGTTCGAGGGACAGTAAGGTGAACAGCGACAAGACATATGGAAGCCTCTCCGAATGTTCTTGCGCACTTGCTTCTTCCAGTAGTTTGAGTCGGGCTGATGGTAGGTCTAAACTCTCTCCTCACCGAAGGTCGTCGAAAGTAGCGCAATCAGAATGACCCCCCGGCCTCGCTGTCCAAATCAAGTCGCAGTGATGCCGGCTGAGGTTCCACTCCTCCTCTTTCCTTTGGCGCACGCAAGAAAACGAAGCTTGTGTCACTTTCCACGGCAATTGCGGAATGCTCTGTTTTGTCAGCTTGCTTCTAAGACAAAGCAAACCGAATCCGCAGACGCTCAAGTCGTTCGGATAGCTCAACATATGTAGTTCCACTATATTTCCTTCGAGAAAAACCTGACCAAGAATATTCAAACTGGTTGGCGGTTTGCATGAAATGTTCAAATGACGGTCGTACATAGCTTTGGTAAAGCCTTTGAGAAGAGGTTTCATTTTGATCGGTCCGATGGTGCCGCTTCCTACAGGTGCTATGATGATTTGTTGAGCTTTATCGGAAATATGCGGCAAAGCTATTGAAAGCAATTTATGCGACAGTCTACTGCAGATCTTTTTCAACGAAAATCACCGTCGTATCTAGACTCTTAGTCACTGAGAGCCTTCGCAATGACTGACGAAACGGACTACTGAAGGTCTTCACCATTGGCATAACTCCGTGGCCATTATGTTGAGGCGAAAGCGTCACAGTGCACGTACATTTTTGAGGCGGTCGTCATCGAACACTGTTGCTCTACGAAAACTACCCTGTCAGTCTGGTGCGATGTTGCGTGAGGGACAGAAGGACACTCCTTTGTTCAGGGGCAGTGGTTGGGGTATTGGTTACACGGCGTCTTTGCGGCGGTAGATTGGCAGCGGCAGCTTGACTGAACATGTCGTGTCGGCTTTCTTTGTGAATAATCTCTTTAAATGGAGGGACTAGAATCCGGTCCTGGTTTTTTCCAATTATCGATCAGCACAACACCGCTGTCTCTACCAACAGAGTCTCAATCTCTGTTTATGTTATGTGCTACCTACGTCTAGAGCCTTCCGCGACAATAAGCTACAATTGATCGAGTATGGAATCATCCACTACGCCTGGTAACGGACCTCAAGCAGACAGCAAGGGAAATCTGATTGAATCCTATGAGAGCAATGTTACTCAAGTCGATGTCAAAGTTGATTTGAATGACTCGAGGACAACGAAGACCTTTTTCGTCAAGATCTCATACGGCGAAACCAGCAGAGTCATGCTTCTCGGCGAGTGCAAGTCATCCAAGATCATTCATGAATTGATGGCAGACTTCATTCCAAAGCCCTTAGAGTACGGGAAGTTCGAGAAAGCAGATATACCCACATACTTCTACATGTCGGAATTTGTAGATCTCGACACTACAACGGCACAAGATCCTTCTGAGTTCTGCAAGCTCCTGGCTGAGATACACCGGAAGAGTCAGACTCTGTCGGACAAGTTTGGTTTCGGCGTCACGACCTGTGACGGCGACCGTCCGCATGTTGTAGAATGGGAGTCAGACTGGGCTGTGTTCTATCGGAAATTGTTTCTCCACACGCTTAACTTGGACATCGAGAGTAATGGCACTTGGCCCAAGTATGAGCGTGCGGCGCACCGAGTAGCCGATTATGTGATCCCGAAACTACTGACAAAACTCACATGGGAGGGGCAACCGATCAAGCCCAGTCTAATTCATGGCGACCTGTGGGAGAGAAACACGGGTATCAACAAAGAGACGAACCTACCGATGTTGTTCGATGCCGGATCGTACTTCGCCCACAACGAGATGGAGCTGGGGCACTGGGCTTGCGAGTTCTCGGAAACCTTTGGGAACAAAAAGTACATGGACCGGTACCTTGAATTCTTTCTCAAGGCGGAGCCCGCCGAAGAGTTTGAGGATCGAATTCGTCTTTACAGCCTTAAAGGGGGCATGAACTACTCTGCTGGCTATCCTGGCAGCCAACTGAGAAGTTCGTAAGTGCTGTCGCCTGTAACATCATATATGGGGTCTTGGAAGATTTGCTTACGAATCGCAGGACTTGCAATAGCATGCTTTACCTCTGCGAGAAGTATGCCCCGATCGACGGCATTGGTAAGTACGATAAGTCCATTGGTCCGATAGAGACAGGAGCTAGGATTGTATCCCATGAGGAAATTAGATGAATTGATGGATGGGTTTCCTTGCCCCCCACAAGTGTCGCGGCTGTAATATTTCAAAAGGCCCCTTCCCCCTTTCCGTTTCAGTACTAGGCATGGTTTACAGAAATTGATCCAATGGATGCGCTTGATCGTGATTGAAAGAGCCCAAAGTATCAAGCTCTTGATTGTATTCATATTCCTTGTGTATATGTGCTCAGAATACTCTCCCAGTCCTTATCACTCCAAATCTGTTGATCCGCGCCTCCGTCTGAAAACATGAAATCCGAGAAACTCAGATCAGTCTCCATTTCCACATTGCCATCAGTCTCCTCGACACTGGATTGCCGTGGTGTTGTCTTTTCCTCTCGTGAGATTCTCTTCACCATTGCCTCAACGTCAGAGAGCAAGACATCGTGATCTTTGGCCGCGGGGTTGCCGACGCGAGCCATTTCTCTAAGCAGTGCTCTTGTCCGCGTGTAGAGTGCTACGTCGTCTTCGGTATTGGGGTTGAAATCTTTCCCTTCTTCGATGGAGACCCGCGCGAGTGCGAGGATTGCAAGGCCGGAGAATAAATGTAGAGATTCCCAGTATCCGAATTTCGCTGGGCAGACAAGCGTTAGTCCTTCCTTCTAATCAAGGGGCATTGTAACAATGCAAATGCTTACCAATCTTATCATAGTTCCAGAGCCCAAGCAAGATTTTGCAATTATTCCGGGCGGCTTGAAGACACTGTATCTTGACTGCTCTCATCGGATCATCGGTGTCTAGTGGTGCGTCCGAGCCGGTGAGATTTGGCGGGTTGTTCAATCGTCGCTTTTGAACGATCGAGGAAAGCTTTTGAAGGTAGAGGGGCCTCAATAATAAGATGAAGCACTGGATCATTGTTAGAGCCCAAGTCGACAATTTATGGAGAAGAAACTAGATCACGAGCTCACCTGATGGTACCGCATGTAGGTGGATGCAAGAATTCTGCCATGAGGTGCTTCCATCAATCTTGTAGGCAGGCTCTCTTCAAACGTGAAAGCTACTTGTTGCGGCAGACTTGATCTCCACTCCTGCAAAGTATCGAGACATGGCTTAATAATCTCCAGTCGACGCTCGTCATCAACATCAACGTGTTGAGCCGCCGTTCTTACAACATTGCGCTTGATCTCGCAGAGCTGAGTTTGCATGGTCAGAAGCCCCGGATCAGAAAACTCCTCAAGGTCTTCAGCGTCTAATCCGGCCGATGACGGGAGTTGCATGCCTTCTGGCACACATGCCACGGCGGCAGCGACACCAAGCTCGGTTGATATCATTCTATCCATGCAGTAGGATGTCCACCACAGCCTCTTCCTGTGCTCATTCATAACGCGCACTTGGCGTCGCTGGTCTGAAGCCTTGGGCAGAGGATGTGGCTTGTGAAGATGCAAGAGCTTGGCCAGTGCAACACTCTGGCTGGCGTACGAGTAAGCCGTTCTACGTCGGTTGAGTGAGTAGCAGTAAAACGCCTAGACATGTTGTCAGTGGTTTGGCATTGGTTGATAGGCATATGTACTCACAATTAAGCAAAGTGCCTCTACATCTTCTGGCACAGGCTCCTCTGCAGACATCTTCAGAAGCATTAGCCCTTGTTCGAAAAATTCGGACCCAGGAGGTGGCGGCAGTGTTTGCGACGTTGACTGAGAATGTGGAGGCAGAGTCAAGGGAACAGCTGCTCCTTTTTGAGCTGGACTGGTCGGATGCTTTCCTGCGATTTCCATGTGGATAGCTGAGGACATTCGAGATCGATTCCAGCTCTCAGCGAGGGCCAAGACAACTGAGACCCTGCATAACCAGTTGCGATCGTGGGACTGCGACTGCGGGTCCGAGTAGGTCAAGAGGATCCTTTCCCGGAACCTCTTGCGGAGGAACCAGTGATACTCGCTGAAGCCTTCATCAAAGGCCTGGAGTAGGTGGAATGCATATGGTCGGGGCGGAAGTCGAAATGAGACTTCAGATTCTGTGCATCGCATCAGCAAACATTTTGTTGGTTGTTGCGAGCAACCGACGTACGTAGAAAATCGAATTTCAGCCGAGAATATGTGTAGCTCTCGGCATTTGTGCCGGTAGACTCCTTAGTCTGTTTGCTGTTTGGATCATCGGATGTTGCTGTCCACGAGAGTTGTCGGAGCCTCTTCACGAAGAACTCTGCACTACAATCTTCCAGTTCCTCTTCCTTGATAATCTGACTAGACTTGGGCGAGAGCGGTATCGCAAAGTCATTTAAATCCGTACGGACCGACTCTGGCGATGAGATTGTATCTCCCGATCGTTGCGCCACTGCTGGCTGTCTCTCGAGTCTCCGCAAATAACTTTGAGGGACCGTGATGTATTTCTCTCTTACGGGGTAAACGCAGGGCCTCCCCCGGGTTTGACATCGCTCACATGGTGCTCCTTATGGGCGTCTCAATCAGCACAAAAAAGAAGTTGCAACTGAATACAGCAACGTACCGCCATTGCACTTGAGCTTTTGGGTATGACAGGCCTTGCAGGCTACTGCGCTTCGACCTCTTGGCGTTCTAGTCATCATCACAATTATTCTCACGATATCTCAATTGGTCTAACAAATTGCAACGGTAAAAGGACAGTGGTGCTCCATAAAGAACTGGACTCGATCTAAAGGGCTCGTCGGATCGACATGCTCCTTTGCCTAATGTCGTTTGCCGGCGGTATCGGAGGTAGGAAGGTCCAAGACGATGGGCAATACGGGGTAAAGAGGAGGGATCCACGTTGACCACGCGGACTGACATCGACGGTGCGGAGGTTCTTACTGATAACGAACATCCTCCAACCCGTTTAAGTAGTTGGAAGTATGTTTGCTGGGTCGTACAGAATGATAGCGGCGGGGCGGCATGCATCGGCCCCTGCTAGTTCTCATGTGTTATGGCGTAGTGCTGGGATGTGTCGACTTGCGAATTGCTATTGGCGTTGTCTGCCAGGACCAGGCTCTATTGGATGTTGGTAGGTATTCGAAGCTGGACTACGAATCCTGCGTTGCGAATGGGAATAAGGAGGACTGCACCACATTCAGATACTTTATTTCCGAGAAGACACAAGCAAGTGTTAGGGAGCTTTGCTTGGATAATCCATCCCCAACCTATCATGTATGCATGTCTAATTGAAAATTGGTATAAAACCAGATATTAGTCAGAGGCGACTCCATGTCCAAGGGAGTTTGCCATCGCCAACCGCATTTCGGCCTTTCCAACCTGATAAGTCTGAGATATCGCGGAGCGGCCATGGGTGAGGATCTTGAAAATCATCGGGAACCTTTCCAAATTTCCAAGCCCACAGATCCTGCCATTCCTTACCCAATTTCCCCTCGAGCATGTCGGCGACGTACTTGCCAATGATTGGGAGGAACTTGAATCCGTGATTTGATCCAATCGTCGCGACGAATAAGTTCTGAGTTTCGGGATAAGGGCAGATTCTGAAATTGAGATCACCGGCTAGGCCGTCCCTGAGAACTGAGTCAGCATTGAGGAATCGAAAGAAATGGAAAGGCCAACAACATCTTCAGGATGATGTTTCAATACGTACCAACACATTTTGGAAGAGATGAACGGCCGGTCAGCCAGCTCTGGAATCATCTCTCTAACAAAGGTACGCATTTCATCTTCGACTTCCTTGGGACACCCATCGTCTGGATAATCCCCCAGAGAGTGGAGGATAGAAGCCCCTGGAACATATCTGTTACGATAATTCGTGAGACATCTACAACTGCATAGCTTGATCAAGCCATTCTCATCTGGTGGAAAGATGATGCCTAGATACCTCGATCAGTTCGAATGCGCCATGCCACTCCTCCAAGATCAACAACCAACTTACCCTGCTCGAAGTCATCGATGATTGGCATATCCTTGTACTTTTCGATCTCGTGCGGCTCCAACTTCATCACACAGATGACTGACGTCTGTGCCACCACTTCTTTCTTTGCGTCAACTAGAGTTGCGGTATTGGCACCAGTGGACACCACAACTATGTCCGCCACGTGCAGTGTCCCGTCTGCGGCCAAGACACCCTCGCACTTCCCGTTGCCGTCTAACACGAGCTTCTTGGCATACCCGGACTCTCCACAGATGTATTTGACCCCCTGTGACTTGGCGGCGTTTGCCATTCTCAACAGAGCTTGTCCGGATGGCACCTATTTTCCCAATCGTGTTCAGTTTGTTGTCACTTTGCTACGTTGTCGTCCTCTAAGTGATATCATTTGGCAGAATGGGAACTTACCCAGCCAGCCGCAGGACTCCACAAGTTGGTCCAGTCCGGGAACTCCCCCGTCAGAGCGGGCCACCTCGTTTTCATCTCCCCGGCCGTCATGAACCGCACCCCCTCGCGACCCGCCTTCTTGGCTGTCTCCATGGCGCTATTGAGCCATCCCCGCGTCAGGCCGTGGCCCGCCATGACCCAGCCGCTCTCGCGATACATCCCTGCGAAGATAGATTTGGGGTCCTTCCACTCCTGCATGCTCTCCATGCCTAGCTTCGCGTATAACGGATTGGGGTAGTCGGCGCGTACGACCTTGTTCAGGTCGGTTGCCGCAGAGTCTTTGGAAGGTGCGTCGAAGCGATCAAGCACCGTTACGTTTTCATAGCCTCTTTGTGAGAGATGGTAGGCTGTAGAGGTACCAAAGACGCCTCCACCTACAATGAGGATGGATGGCTTGGCCATGTTGGAGATGAGAATATTCTGAGAGATTGCGGAATGGACAACGTCGAGTGCGTGATGATCTTGGTCTTTACTGTTTAGTCTACCCTCAATTTGCTACCTTTCTAGCTTGAAACCACCTCTTGGACTCTTATAACCAAGCGGGAGAGTCAAGTTCGGCCGGTGATGCAAAGACCACCGACCAAGAAGCCGAGGACCTTTCCTACGGCCGCACGCATACGGCGCAGCCTTGGGCAGAACATCCGTGCTTCCCCGGGAACCATATCGGTGGGACGGGGCCGACAAAATATTCCCAATCAAATCGCCACAGTGACCGCGCAGCAACCCAGAGCCCTTGTCAACCGATGCCTGCTAACTCGTGCCAAGTGCGCCACCCCTTGATTCCACTACAGATCCAACGGGCGATAACGCCGTGAGCCATCGGCCTCAAGATCCGTCTCCGCGACGAAATGACGAGAATGTTTTGTGCGTGTGCGCCCACCAGTCGGGTTCGTGGCGCCGAGTCCATGGCCGAGCCAAGCAGGGAATCAATGGGGCACAATGCCGGAGGGGACTCAGGAGACACAAAGGGGAAGATAAAGAGGGGATGATTGGCACCGCATCACTCTTGGAGTCTTGTGCGACAACCACATCACAATACGTCTTCGGATTCTCAGCTTTAGCGGCCGAATGATAAAGTGACAGTTTTCTTGTCCCAGTTGCTTTTTTATCTGTCCCCCGCAATCTGCGACTCTTAAACTTTCGTCCATGGCCCTTGGCTTCAAAACTACGGCATCCTTGCATTGACAGCCGTTACAAGGTGGATGCTGTTCAGGCGACTGACAGCTTGACATTGAGCGGAGACGGTCGCATTTAGCCTGTTTTTCGCAAGGCACCCTCGTCCTTGTTCAAACGGGCACTTATCTCGAGAAGAAGATACCGATAACCTCTTATCACGATTGGAGGCGTGATCCGGGCTGGACCTGCCAGAAATCCGATTGTTCAACTCCCTTCGTCAATAGGTCAATTGTGCTTCTTTACAGACCTTTTTCTTTAGAAACTGACGGCTTCCTGAGATCGAGGAACGCAGGTATATATGTATTCCAATTGTGTCTGTTCTCTATGACGGCAGCTTGAAAGAAACGCTATTCCTGTACCCATTTATTTTCCTCATACCCCTGGAGTTTCCGCCGAGGGGCAGAGATAAAGATGTCGACCCAAACAGAGGAAGCGAAACCTTCTGACCTGCAGAAAGCAGCGATGGACTTGACATCAGACAGCAAGTCTAGTTCCGAGGGGCAGACCACAATATGGCCTGAAAGAGAGTTGCCGGAGCTTCTCAGAGACTTGTCAGAAGAAGAGTTGAGGAGGCTTGAGAAGAAGTTGATTAGAAAGGTTGACTTACGGATGCTGCCTACAATGATTCTGATCTATATCATGAACTACCTCGACAGGTCAGCAAGTTGCGTGCGCCGGATCACTTGATTCTTGGACTAACAACCTTATAGAAATGCCATCGGATCGGCAAGGCTGGGCGGTTTGGAAAAGGACTTGGGTCTGACTGGCAACGAGTTTCAAGTAAGCTGAAGCTCAACCAACTGATGGCCTTCAAATCCAGAGGCTTGTAGCTAATTCGGCGACTAAACCAGACCTGCGTTTCGATTCTTTTTGTGGGGTACATCCTCATGCAAGTACCTTCAAACATGTTCCTCAATAAGATCGGTCGCCCTGCGATCTATCTAACGGGATGCATGTGCGTTTGGGTAAGTTGGACCTAAAGCTGTTTCTGTCTTTGTCGCGTTCGGGATCGACCGGTTAGATCTCACCGCCGCGTTGGTTAGCGAACCCATGGCCGCATAGCGTGGGTGTAACGTGACGCATCACTTACAGTACTGGTTGCTGGAATTTCTTCATTCGGATCTCGGTTTGTGTAACCATCCTTCAACAGAGCATCATGCTGATGATCATGCAAACTGCCAGGGTATATTGTGTGCCTGCAGCGGCGCAACACATAGCTTCGGCGGTCTGTTGGCAACCCGATTCTTTCTTGGGTTTGTTGAAGCAGCCTTTTATCCAGGTGAGTCAAGATTGATACCTTGTCCGCATAAAGGTATCGCAGAGAAAGGAGATGTTTACGAGCTTGTGACATTAGGCTGCCTCGCAACTCTCAGCTCATGGTACGTCCGTAAAGAACTCGGCGTCCGTACCGGATTATTCTACAGCGGCTCCATGCTTTCGGGGGCTTTCTCGGGTCTTATCGCAGCCGGCATCACGAACGGCATGGACGGCGCCCGCGGCCTGCTAGCCTGGCGTTGGCTCTTCATCATCGAGGGATCGCTCACCGTCGCCATTGCCCTCGGCGCGTTCTTCGTGCTGCCAGACTTCCCTGCCAACACAAAGTGGCTGACAGACCAGGAACGACAGCTGGCCATGTGGCGCATGGAAGTCGACGCCGCGGGCGAAGAGGACTGGACGAGCTCCTCGTCACAACCCATTTTTGACGGCTTCAAGATGATCTTGGTTGATCCCATCAACTGGATTCTTGTTGTACTTGTCTACGGCGCCGCGTCGTCGATTTCGATCAACAGTTTCTTTCCCACCGTCGTCGCGAGTCTCGGAAAGGATCGCATCACGACGCTGCTCCTTACTTCGCCCCCTTACCTCCTGGCATGCATCGTTTGTGCGGCAGTATCTTGGAACGCTGACCGCATGAACGAGAGGTACTGGCATACCGTCGCCCCGCTGGCTTGCTCGCTCGTCGGATTCATCATCTCCAGCGCCGCGACTGGCATTGGACCCCGATACTTTGGCGCCATGATAATGCTTCCTGGGATTTACACTGGCTTCAATATGTCCATGGTCTGGACCGCCAACACGATCTACCGACCCACGGCGAAGCGTGCCGCTGCGGTGGCATTCAACAATGCGTTTTCTACGCTTTCGGGTATCTATGGCTCTTACTTGTACCCCAACAACGCGACGCCGAGATTTGTCTTGGCTTTCAGTGTGAATGCCGCGATGGCGTTGATGGCGATTGTTGCTGCCACTGTGCTGCACTTTGTTCTGAAGAGAGAGAATAAGAAGTTGGAGATGAAGGAGCAGGAAGCTGAGGCTGCTGGCCAGGCGCAACTGATTGGAAAGGGCTTCAGATACGTCATCTGAAGGCGGAATGCTGGAATGGATCTACCACGAATATTTCTCTCATTGAATACACTCGTACACCCTTGTCCAACTATTAGATTTTCTCTTTCCTCTTGCTATCCAGCCCGTAATCTCGCGCAATTTTCTCTGCGGCAAGTTGCCCAATAACATAGGCGACGATCTGAGGATCTGTAGGCATCAGTTAGCAATGAGAAATACGAAACCATTAAACGCGACGTCAAAGGTGGGCTTGTGTTGAACTCACGACCACTGTCGACCTTTTGTTAGCAACTGTCTTGTATCCATGTCTCCTTGGAAAAGATGAGAAACATACCTAGGTAGTATAGTTGTCACACTCAAATCGGCAACCCGCAAGCCGTTTAAGCCATGAACTCGAAGGTCTCCGTTGACGCAGCTGCCGTCCTGTTCGGTCTTGCCCATCTTGACACTGCAGGATGGGTGCCACAACCCCGCTACGTTCTCTTGGATGAAGTCCTGGACGAGCAGTCAGCGCAAAGCACAACTACGCTTAGTTGCCTACCTAAGCTTCGAACTCACCTCAATGTCTTTGTCGCTGTCCGATTTAGGTGCAAATATCGGTCTGACAAAGTGGTCCTTCATCGTGTTGGTCTTCAGGAGATTGAGTCCTTCCCTGAGCGCTTCTCGCAAGTTTACCAAGTCGAAGGGGTTGCTGAGATACTTCGGGTCAATCAGAGGGGCGTCCTTGGGGTCGGCTGAAGCCAATCTGATTGTCCCTCGAGAAACGGAGTTCATGTTTGCGACGAAGACCGAGAAGAACCCGTCGCTAGACTGTTCGAATGCATGATCAGGAGGAATCAAAGGTCCAATCTGTAGGCCAATGTCAGTTGGGAGACATATTTTGAATCCTGGCAAAACTTACCACTAGCTCATAGCTGGGGACACCGCTCTCAAGCAGATAACCTTTCACATCAATGGGCAGCTTCTTGAACTCTGGGGACTCGTAGGCCCGGTCATTCTTGAGAAAAGCATGCGGGACGGATGAGAAGTGGCCCAAAAGCGGACCGTTTCCACTTTCTGCGAGCTGCTTCACGGCCTCCTGATACTTGCCTGGGTCCGAGAGTCCCATCCTCTCAGTGAAGCCGGACTTCATCTGGAAGCAAGTCACAATCATGGGGTGATCCGTAAAGGATTTTCCCACTCCATCTAGGTTCTTGACCACGGGAATCCCAAGGGCATTTAGGTCCGCCTGAGGGCCGATGCCCGAGAGCAGCAATAGACGGGGGCTGTCGAGGGCGCCAGCCGATAGAATAACCTCGTTCTTCGCTCGAACTGAAATTTCCAAGGTCAGTGAATCCTCGCATACGAAATGAGCTTCACTTCGTACTTACTAAGCGAACCATTCTCTTTGAGAACACCCACTGCGCGATCCTTCTCAAAGACGATTTTGACCACACGACTCTCGGTCAGGTAGGTCAAATTTGCCGGTACGTTCTTTTCGAGAAAGGCAGATGCACCGGTAACCCGGACACCGTTTAGACTGGTGGTTGAGTTCAGAGAGAAACCAATTAGGTCACCATCATTGGGATCTAGGTTGCGCTTGTGCTGTCATAGGGTCAGCATCCCCCTCTACTGCCTTATCCATTGTCGTCTGGTGTGTCCAAGAACTCACTCCGAGGTCAACTCCAGCATCGATAAAAGCCTTTGTTTCTCGTTCCACGTGTCCAATAGAGACGTCGATAGGTCTGTTCCGTGTCAGAAAGTCGGGTCACTACAATAAGTGGTGCCATATTACCCAGAGAAACCGTGGTACTTCGGGTCGGGCTTTACATATTCAGCCCATTCCTTGGAAAGATCGTTGAGGTGTAGGTTTTCCAGCTTTGATATGTCAGCTCAAGAGAAAAAGAGGGTGCAATCTTTGTGCAAGTGTCAATTGTCTTGCCTTCTTAACCCTCTCGATGACGGATTCGAATCCCCAAGCATCATCACCCGCAGCCGCAGCCCAGGCATCGAACTCCGCGCGCGCGCCAAGTGACCAGACCTGGAAGTTGGTAGCACTCGACCCTCCTAGGCCCTTGCCACGAGCCTGCGGCACCTCGCGATTTTTTGCATGCTCCTGCGGCGTCGAGGCATAGCCGTAGTCGAGACCCGGCTGTGCAATGGTGCTGAATCTTTCAGCTGTACGTCTGTACTCGGGCTTGCTGATATCGCCGCCACCTTCCAACAATGCAACACTGGGCTTTGATGCCGTGTTTGCGAGGCGAGACGCAAGGAGACACCCCGCTGTGCCGCCTGATCGTCGTTTATTGTTGTTAGTGCGGTTTCTCCTCTCGTGAGGGGTTCGTTGAGATATCCGAGGATGAAGAGGCGTGACCCCTCACGGCAACCTTGTCTCTAGGAACATTGAACTTACCACCGACGACTATGAAGTCGAATTCTTGTGTCATGGTTGAAAGTTAAAGATGATTGAAAGAATGATATTGCAAAGCTGTGTTGCATCGAGCTGTTTTTGAGTCAAAGTTCACATCAGCCAGCTTGCTTTTTTATACTCTGACGAGCTGAGAAAAGTGTCTCTCGTTTATACACACAAGCCGCCTGACCTCCGCACCTAAGACTCTAGGCTGAGAGATCATCTCTCTAGCGGCGAAACTATCGGCAAGTGTGCGCGGCATCGCATTATTTTCCCCTGGTTTCCATATAGCCTTACGCGGGGTCGCGGGGCGGTCTGCTGCGCCGTGGGCAGCCAGCGAAGGAAGCTTGACTTGTATTGGTGATCCTCGCACGTCCAACGCGAGGTTGGCATTTCGCCCGATGCGATGCAACTCTTACACTGCGACTCTGAGGCGTGCTGATGTAACTTAAGTTCGCAATATCTAAGACCTCATTGGTCAAGGTGAAGGGGTCTACTTTTCCGACAGCATTTGGGACCTGTGAGGATGGCATTCTCCAAATCATTTATCACTATTTCTTAGGTACCTATGTGGGTTGCATTGTACAATCTCGACCGAATGAAGCGGCTCAACAACTCAGCAGCTTTTATCTTATCGAGCCGCATTGTTTAGTGAGGTGAAGTAAGTAAAAAAGAAAAATGAGTAGAAGAATATATTGATAGTGTCTAAAGCAGAATAGTTGATACCCAAAATCTAAACGCCAGTGAGCCAATGTCCTTGGCTATGCAACCCACGCTATGCCCCACCAAATGACCTTCCATGCCTACGCTCAAATGCTGACTATCATGCTCCATACAACAATGCATATTTACATAGCCATCCCAATCGCAGCCCACAATCGTCACGAGTCTAGTTCTCGGGCGCGCCAAAGATCTCGTTGAGGTCGCGCTTCGCGTTGCGCTTGATGCCGCACTTGTTCAAGCAGGCGTCGATGCCGAGCGCAATGTTGGCAGGGATGTGCTTACGGAAGCTCTCAAGGTCAGCACCGTCGATAGTCTGCACGCCGCCGAGTGTAGCAGAGACGACATCAGGGCGGAGATTGAAGAAGGCCTGAGCAACCTGCTCGACACCGGGGTCGACATTGTTGAAGCCGGCGACGAAGACGGCATCCTCGCAGTCGGGGTTGAACTCCTGGTGGATCGCGCCCTGTGGGAAGACAGACATTTGGTACGTCTCCATGGTGTTGGCAATGGGGTCGAGGCCGTTCTCGACGACAAAGTTGGTGACGAGGCGGCCCTTGACGATCACATTGAGCTCGGTGGCGCGGTTGTGGACATGCGCCGTGTTCATGCCGCAGGGGCCGAGGAAGCCGAGGGTCATGGCGGCGCCGTTGCCGATGAGGGCCGGAAAGGTCTTTGCCGTGGCGGAGGTGGAGAAGCCGCCCTTGCCGCGAGACTCGGAGCCCTCGGGGGCGCCGGAGTCATTGAAGTCGAAGACGAAGTCGCCGGGCTGGTTGAGGAGGCGGACGCGCTCTTGCTGGGTCGGGGCGGTCATGAGCTTTGTGATGAGGTCTGCGTTGCCGGCGCGGGTGTTGACGGGGACAATAGGAGGGAGGACATTATCGATAGAGCTGGAGTCGGTTTGGGTGGAGATGGTGGCGGAGGAGGAAGGGTGGTTCGGGTTGGTGGTCGGCGCGGCCAGAGCGGCGGCGGAGAAGAGAATGGAAGAGAGAACGGCGGAGGTGTACATCTTGATTACTTGATATATTTTGTTGCTGTAGGAATGACAGGCAAGGTATCCGAGCTGACAAAGGAGACAAGGAAAAGAGAAATAGGAAAGATGAAAAGCGGAAAGCGAACTCGTTTGCTTGTTGATGTTGTGATGTGTGTGATGATAAGAGGAAAGAGGAATGAAGAGGCGTTCGATGAGGCTATTATATAACTTCATCGCGACACAAAAGGATCGCAGTATTGTGTACTTCATCAAGTGGCCGCAGATGAGCGTCAGCCTCATTCAAGCCAACAAGCATACATCTTCGGTCTAGGTTGGTATTTCCCACGATATGGGGCACAGCATCCTTCTGCTGATGGCTTTGGAATCATACCAACATAGGCTACACCAACGTAGCACTCATTGTCCAGATGGGTGCAAAATGTCAGCTAAGTTGTTGCCTCGCTGCTGAATTCGGAGTCACGCTGCTGACCTGCAATCTTAACACCCTAGCCACGAGTCCGGAATATCGCAGTTGCAGGATGGCAGCTGCATGTTTGTGCTGACGGCCCCAGGGCTGACGTCGGCGGTGCACGGAAGGCGTGCCATTCTTTTGGGAACCTTCTAGGAAACAAACAGCGAAACGTGGTGGGGAGGGACGGGAGTCTGTTCGTCCGGAGGAGTGCTGTCAGCATTTAGTTGTTGGTTGGAGCTGCCAAGTAGGGCTGTGGGATTCGGTCGGTCTATGTTTAACTGTTTGTTTCTTACCCTTTTGCTTCACGTGGTTCTTATCAGTCAGGGTGCCTCTAGTTTTACAGACTGATCGATGTTTTTCAGTCATTTTTGGTGATCACGATAGTCGAAGTGCTCCTGATACCCCATGGCCAACCCACATCAGCAGATATTCACATAGTCAACTTTGGTACTGGAAGAGCGTTACGCTGTCTTAGCGGTGCTGAGAGGTCTTCGGCGTGTGCTGAGCACTATTCACTACCTCAGGAAACTCGCCTGACACGCCTGGCAACATGTCCAACACCACACAAACACGATCCGAAGAGCAGCAGAGAACCTAGTATTTTATGGCCAACGCCTGCATAATTTTCCCGGTACTTTCAGTCATTCAAGGAACAGTTGGATACATCTTGGAGATTGTAGACCTCATGTTGACGGAGAGATTCTCCTCCCAACACTGGTGGACCAATGATCCCTGTTCCCAACCCAGCCAACACCCGCAGTAGCGCTTACATGATTAGAACAGGCTGCAGAATTTAGCTGTCCGGCGGGGAGGCGAAGCAGCTATGGTAAGCTTAATAACAAGCTGCGCATTCTAATTTCGTCCAAATTTAACCCTTTGTTTATTCATCGGCTGCGCATGCAGGTCGCGAACTCTTCACCCACACTGGTTCCTTAGGCAGCATCGAACGAGCTAGCTCACTTCCGGATGCGTGGAAGTCCTTTCCCACGTGTGCTTGATAAGATGCGTCCGGATCAGTTGATACTTACCAGCGTGACGATGAGGTATCGGGCAATAGCGATGATACTAATGGATTGAGAAGGAAGAAGTAATGCTGCATTAGTGGATCAACGCCTGAAAGGCACGTTCCATGGCTAAACTCATTGCGATGCACCGAGAGACTTTCTATTAGATGCGATATTTTAGCTGATGTCATTCCAGATTTTATGCAATTAAGGAGCTTTTCTCTCCACATCAAATCTTTGGGTCACAAGATAATGAAAGATGGCCGAGTCCACACATGCCATCACCTCTAATCATCAGGGTCATTGACCGATAGCTCAAAGATCCTTTATGGGTGCATCCCCTTCGGTCTTGCCAGTGCCATACTTCTTCACCTTGTTCTTACTGGCATCCTTGTCCGCTGCGAAAGCCTCAACTTCTTTACTATCCATAACCTTGATGACGTTGTCAGCTTGCCACTTCTTGAACGAGAATCCAACGCCCCTAGGATATATAATCAGCTTGATGAGAGCCGGTCTTGATATTCGTGTAGAGCTTACTCATGGCTGTAGTCCTTGTCATTGGCTTGGTCCTTGTGGTACTTGACCTGAATGAAGTCGCTATCGACGGTGCCGGGATCCAGGCTGAGACTGACAAGCGCATTGATCGTCGCAGTCTTTGGGATGAGCTTAAAAGTCCAGCTCTGCTCATTCCTGAACTGAATGAGATCTCGATCGTTCTTAACAATCTCATAGCCCTCGTTGATGCTCGCATTGAAGAGCTTGGGTAAGGCGAACCACTGCCCGGCCATCTTGTACCGGTCGTTGGCGTAGACGAATTGGTCATCATAAACGCAGTCAGCGGTGTAGCGCTTCACGCGCTCGACCGTGGGCTCCATTGAGTACAGTGCGATGATGTCGTCGACCAAGCGCTGACGCGCTGGTGAGAGGGGGATTGACTTGGACGGGTTGGGGTGGTAATCCTCGGTGGTCGAGGTCTGGCGGACTTCAAACTCTTCACCTGGGGTGGCAGAGGTCTTGCCGGGGAAGTTAATGTGTCCGGAGTCTGAAGACATCTTAGTGGTAGTATGTAATGTACGATGAAAAGCTCTCGGAGCTTGTGAACAGGCGAATGCGACAGATTGTGTTCTGATGGCAAATCGCGACATTGATGACGGTCTGTCTATGGGCCAAAGGGACCTCATCGACAGCGCATATTCACTTATAAACATCCGACGAAGGCCTGTCGAGAGGACACATCTCATAATCATGACGCGCTCAACTCACCGACAAAGACATCCTAGGTACACTCGCTCATCTTTTTATGAACATAACCACGTGTGATTTGTAGTCTGACGCTCTGAGAATGTGGCGGTCATGTCAATTATGTAGCGCTGACGTCAACATCTCTGTGTCTTCAGATGGGCCTAATACGGACTGAGACCATCATCAAGCGATAATTTGAATCCGACAAACGTGAAGAACACTGATGATTGAAATGTACGAAGACTCCAGATTGAAGTTTCTGGCCACGAATTGCAGTGATGCACTTCTTCCTTCCGTCCAAGGCTACTAGATATCTTTCAAATCTACCACGTCACCTGCCCGCCAACTCACATTTTGACCAGCATCACTACCTTCCTTCCACTTCCACCGAACGATACTCTGCTCCCCTTTCTCTACCAAGTCCTTGATCCATTGCCCAACCACTGGGAGCATCTTAAAGCCGTGACCCGAATCACCTGTAGCCAGATACAGGCCCTTCTTGCCGGGCACAGCATCAATAACATAATCCGAGTCCGCCGTATCGGCACACCAGCAGATGTGCTGGTCGATAAAAGGTCGGTCAGCCAAGCTCGGAAGCGTTTCCTTGAGCAGCTTTCGAATACGAAGCACATCAGCCTCCGGCACGAAGTCGTTCTTCTCTGGGGGCGTGGACAGGCCTGTCGTTGTCAAGTAGTTGGTGTATCCTCCTCCACTCGGAGACAGCTTGAGGATCCCTGTGCCGGGTTCTGGCTCAAAGAAGAAACCCAAGTCTCGAGCGTATGTGACCGATATTCCCTTCAAGTGCGCTGCTTCTTGCGGCTGGAGTTGTATGTGCAGGACGCTCCATGCCTTTGCCGTGACTTGACGACCGACTGACGGGAGTACGTTTCCGAGCGAAGCCCCGACAGTCAGAATCGTTGTCGTTGCCTTGAAGTCTTCGCCGGAAGTTGCGCGGGCACCTATGCATCTGTCCCCTTCGTATATGAGACTCGCAACCTCCTTTCCAGTGTGGATTTCAACACCCTGAGCTTTGACGTATTCGTAGACCGCCTCAAGCGCGTTTGCAGCATGCGCGTAACCCGCAAACTGATTGAAATATCCTTCCCACCCCTCCATAGGTCCATCCAGCGCCGGCGCAGCTTTGGCGATATCCTCCCTGGTCTTGATCGGGTCGATCCTGCCTGCCCAAGCTGGATGCACCCGGATACTCTCGAGAGATTTGGCCAGTGTCTTTTTCGTCTTTTCCGGCGCTGCTGCTGAGTTGGCTAGGAGGTACCCCGTCTGGTGGTAGTGCGGCGCGAATAGCTCATTATCGGCCCAATCCGACATGGCCTGCAAGGCCAGCTCGGTGTAGAAAGGGTCTTCATATTCTGCGCGGACAATCTTGTTGACGTCGTTGCCTGCCGAGAGAGACGAGGGAACTGATGTTCCCTTTTCGAGAATCGTGATGGACTTGTACCCGGCCCGGGAGAGGTGGTAGGCTGCTGACAGGCCAAAAGTACCAGCGCCAACGATCAATATTGAGTCTTGCAGGTCAGGCATCTTGGCTATTTCCCTTTTTGGTTCATGGCGAGCAAAGATTAACAGCCAGAGGACTATGGCGGAATGATGTCAATTTTGAGTTCCGCGAGCCAGGTCGCATTCAGCTCCGACGTCGGATTGACGGCCGCTCTACCGCGCTGTTCGGAGTTAGGCCACCCCACGGCAAAGGTGTCCGAGATAAGAAGTCCACCGCGGGGAAGTGGAAACAACAACCCCAGTCCGATGCCACGTTGTCGGCGCCCTCACACCGAAGTCGAACCGAAATCCCGTCCATGCCTATCGTCGCTATCTTCGCCCACATCTGGTGTATGTATCTGCGGGGTAGAACGATTAAGTCGGGCTTCCTCCGCTCAGGCTCGCAAGATCTACCCCTAGTTGTTGTGATACCTAGCTTGAGGTTCCGAAGCCTTATCTGTAGTGCAATACTGAACATGCTATGAACATGTCATAGCCCCGTTGAGGGTATCATCAACTTTTCGTTGACCCATACAGAGGAAATCTCAAGTACCTCTTCGTTGTGCCGTGACGAAAGAGATATTCCGAACATGGCCGACTCCAATGGCCCGGCGCGTCGGCGGAGAAGCGGGGACTTTCGGGCGAGAAGTGGATGCCGCACCTGCAGAGGTATGCAAACTCAGCCGTATTCACGGAGTACCAGAGCTCAAACTACATGCATCACAGGCCGCCATGTGAAATGTCCCGGTTCGTTCCCATAGTTCTACTGAGAGCTTAGAATCCGGTGAAATCCTGACCGAGTCTATAGAACAGCGTCCAATATGCGATCACTGTCGGCGCTTAGGACTAGTCTGCCGATATGAGCTGAAACTTACTTGGCAGGCAGCTTCTGGATGCGAGGTGCAGCATCAGAGCTCCTCCAAGAGACGATCACGGACATCAAATATTGATGAAGATACTGAAGAGTGGATGTTTCTGAACAGCCATATAAAAGACTTCAAATATGCGCCTCCCAGGATTATCGTCAACATTCCGATGCATGCACCGTCAACCAACAGTGCACGCAAGGTTCCCGTAGACGGTTCCACCGGATTTTCTCTATCGCCATCACACTTCGGCTTGTCTTCACTTGGTTTGAACCAAGACGAGGCTTACTTATTGCGTTACTTCGACAACTTCATAGCTCCACGATGCGTTGTGAGTTGTGACAAAAATCCGTATCGTCAAATCATTCTCCGGATTGCAGCATCATCGCCAGACGGCCCAGTCTTGCAAGGTATCTTGGCCGTGTCGGCCCAACAAATGCAGGCACTGGGTCATGCAAAAGGTACTTTTCGAATCTGGAGTCTCAGAAATCGAGCTCTCGAGCTGTTGCGCGGCTACTTGTTTGCTTATTCGGAAGTGGAGAGGAATACGACTACGAAATGTATGCTCGCCCAAGAAATCATGGCTTCCACTTTGATGATGTGTTTTTTTGAGGTGAGTTATTCAGACCAGGCTGTCTATGACTAAGACATATGCATGGACTAATCGAACTCAGATCTTACATGACTGCTCTGATTCTTGGAAGGTCCATGCCAGTTTTGGTAAATCATTCTTGAGACATGAGCTGGCATCAGGCCACACCATGTTATCGGGCTCCGAAGAACTCTATGGCTTCGCGGCCGCCTACTTCGCATATCATGACGCCCTGGCATCAACTGCTGGAACGAATGTAGTGATGCAAGACAACAATAGCAGCCTTTGTCATCTCTTAGATGGTGAAGAATCTGTGCTTGAAAGCCTTTCGGGTTGTTCAAGGCATCAAATAGCTTTGCTATCTGAAATTCCTGACCTCACCAGCCAGTCTTCCTGCCAAGATGGTATCCTTGAAAGGTCAGCTTCCTGGAATCAAAAACGAGATGCCATTGAGAGAAAGCTACACCTAATGAAGGACACATCAGTTCCATCATCGAGCGAGTTGTCATCAAAGTCTGCAAAAGATGAAGCCCCCTGGCTAGTCCCAGAGCTGAAGAGACTCACATGCCTATTATACTTCCACGCACGAGTTGACGAGTCAAACCCCTCGGATCCACACATTATTAGACTCACAGAAAAAATCTTGGAACTTCTGCCTCATGTTTCCCTCCAAACAAACACTGTTCTTTGGCCACTCTTTATAGTTGCGACACTTGGAGTCCGCTCAGAATCCGATAGCGACAGGAAGTTTATACTAGAGCGACTGCACTTGCTACAGCAAACACGACAACTAGGGAATGTCAGAAAGGCCAGACAAATTATTGAGACTGTTTGGAAAGCGCGCGACATTGGCTCTTGTGGTGGGAAACAAGGGTGGGTTATTCTCGAAGGGCGTCATGATGCCATGAGTCTGGCTTGAGTTAAGTTCAATGTTCAATTGGGGTACTCTCCTTCATGAATTCTTCGTCTATTTTCCCACTCCATTAACCACATTTGAAGGTTGCGGTGTTTGTCTGACATCCTCAGGTTGTGTATCTGAAGTCTTTCTGCTCCTTGTCCGTGATATCGACAAACCCGTCGACAGTCCCTTCCTGCAGCTCTTGAGGCTTGCCGTACTTTTTGTCTCGTCCCTTATTCTCCCAGGCAGCGACAAGCCAGTATGAAAGCATCAGCAACACAGACACAGCATAGCTTGTCAGCATCGCGATAATGGCTCCTGAATACTTGGGTGCCTGCTCAGCTCGAAAAGTTTGGGGTCCAATCAAATTACCGGCTGCGTAGCCAACTTGGACCAGACTGAAGCAGACTGCCTTCTTCGTCTGACCTGCTGTGTTGGCCTGTGGAAGCGAGATCCCGACGACATAAGGAGCTATTGTGAACTCTGTTAGGAAATATTCTTCCAGATCTTCTGTAACAACTTACGCCAATAGAAGTACATGAAGTACAGTCCGACCATTTGTGCTGCAATATTCGATCTCGGAAAGCCATGCACCAATCCAGTGCCCAAGATTGGTAGCATGAGAGCTATGCACGCCACCAACGTCCTTCGATTATGCCAACTCGCGGCAAGATAGCTAAAAGCCCATGCACTAGACGTAGCTAGAACGCCAAACGGCATGGTTAGCAAGCTCGCCTCGAGCGAAGTGAAGCCGAGATTGTTGATGACGATGCTTCCAAAGTTGACGAGACCGCCGTTTGGGATGTTGATGAAGATGTTGAAGACAAAAATGATCCATATCTTGATGTCTAGGAGGGCCTCCCATACTTGGTCCCATTTCCAGACCTTATTGGAGATGCCGGTGCGGTTGGCTGCGAGACGTTTCGTTGCATGGTACTTTTCTTCGTCAGTCAGGAAGCGGGCATTCATCGGGCTATCAGGTAATGTGAACCAGATGAAGATTGAATAGAGGACGTTGATGGTTCCGGTAATGAGGTACAAATACTGCCACTTTAGGAGAGGGGCCGAGTCTGGGATCTTGCCTACGAGCCAGGCGAAGAAGCCATTGAAGACGGATGAAAAGTATGCAAAGATGACTGGAATGCGCAAGTAAGTACATGCTAGATAATGGCTCAAGAAATAGTTGAAGACTTACTCGCATTTCTCGGAGGCTGCTCCTGTTTCGTATAGAAGCTGGATACGAGGATGGTAAGGGATGGCGAGATGGCAGCTTCAATGAAGCCCATGAGAAAGCGCAATGCCATGAATCCTGACCAGCTCCGGCATGGAGCATGTAGCAAGGCCAAGATAGACCAAAGCAGCGATGATCCACAAAGAAACTTTGCGGGTGGAAACTTGAGTACAAGATATGAAGCGACAACATATCCGATCAATTGCTGTTTCGGTTAGCCTAGATACCAGACCTCGAGTCAGTACAAATTGATCGTTGCTTCACTCACACCTAGAGGGAGAACGCTTCCAAGCCAGCTGTATTGTTGGCCAACAAAATTGTTGTCTGTCTGAAATCCGTAGAGAGACGCCGTTCCCATTTGGACTTTGTCGACTGCACCAAGAGTTGCGGTGAAAAGGAGCTATGAGTTCTCATCATCAGATTGATGTCCTATAGTTGGATAGAGACCTCCAACCCCCTTACCAAGGGAATCATCCAAGCATCGATCTTCTTGACAATCCTTTTTTCCATCTCAGGCGTCATGGGTGGGAATGCATCGGCATTAGCCAGGAATGAGGCTGCCTCGTCGAGGACTCCATCATGGGGCGACTTGAGGATCTCAGACTGGCCCTGCGCAGTAGAAACGCTGGGCTGGATGCCATTTTCATTGGCATGACCGCTTGGGTCTTCCTTCTTTTCGGCCATGTCGCTGGGGAAAGTAATGCAAGCTGCTTGGTGTCTACCAGGTGTGAAAGAAATCGGTCAATGATGGGGGGTTCGGCGGTAGAGCATGAGTCTACAGACGACAGATGATCTTGTGCTCAGGACGTGGCAAATATTATAGACGTTGGAGGACCTATTGAGACTTATCATATGTCTCTAGAGTGTACATGCTGCTTTATCTCGAGTTTGATGCACGAAGCTACTGTCTGTCAGCAAACCTAGCAATGACTATCGCTTAACAAGGCAGTCCTACACCTAACTTAGCCAATCTTGCAGTCAACTCAGGCGTAATGTAGGTATATCAAAAGAAGCATCGGAAAATGTTATCATTTGGGTCACCCAGGCCCGGGTTGCGGCCGCATGCCTGTCTCCACTCTTCAGTCAGTCGTTGATAAGATTCGTACACGAGGAAGGCCGAGGCGACGTGCTTAGGGTAAGGTAGCGTTGGGGGATAACTTATCACACCATTCCATCCTCTCCAAACTTCGAATTGACATACCCCACATGTGCCGCTCAGTATGCACAAGCTGCAGATCACCGGCATGCATGCAACGATGTCCGTCAGTGATAGGGGCGAAGCTGCATGGCAAGCCGAAACGACGGCCTCAAAATGGGCCTCGTATCACGCATCATCGGGTATGTAAGTCCGATGGCGATAGCGGAAAGAAAGTGCTACCTTTGATACTAAAAGTCAGGCTCTCGTCAAACACGAGGACAATTTAAATCAAACCGGAATCTGGCACTTATCATTTTCCTCTGAAAGACTTTCTAGATTACTTCATTGCTGTTTAATGAGGCAAGCATGGCGAAAGAGTCGACTTCGTGTAATATTGAGCCTAAAAGCGTCAAGTTCGCAATCGGTATGTTGAGAAGTACATGAAAAGCGCATTCATTAAAATCGTTTAGCTCACATCATTAGATCGCGGCGGAACATTTACAGATGTTTGGGCATCGATACCGGGTCAAAATGATGTAGTGCTGAAACTACTGTCGGTAGACCCGGGCAACTATGACGATGCACCAGCAGAAGGTATCCGACGTGTCTTGGAACTGGTATCAGGCACAGCCATTCCTCGAAGGTCTCCTATTCCCAAGGTCCTCATTCGTTCTATTCGCATGGGCACCACCGTGGCTACTAACGGTAAGTCACTTTCTCTCAAAGTTTTACGTCCACATATATGCCGATTGACACTCGCAAAAGCTCTACTGGAGCGGAAAGGAACTCGACATGCATTTGTCGTTAATCAAGGTTTTCGTGACCTCCTTGACATCGGCTATCAGTCCAGGCCGAAACTCTTCGACCTGGGAATCCGCAAGCCAGAGCTTTTATATGATGAAGTTGTTGAAATCTCGGAGCGCCTCACTGTTGAGGCGTACGATGAGGATGCTTTCAAGAGCAGTCGCACCCAGCCCAAAGAGTCCCCAGGTCTTTTTGTCAGGGGCATGACCGGAGACTTACTACGAATAATCCGACCCCTTAACGAAGATGAAGTCCGCCAGAAACTACTGGAGATCCAGTCTAAGGGTATCGAGACGCTAGCAATCTGTCTTGCACACTCTTACATGTACCCAGCTCACGAGAACAGAGTTGCCGAGATTGCAAGTGAGCTCGGCTTCGGCCATATCTCTACATCGTCGAGCGTCGGCGCAAACATGATCAAGATGATCTCTCGCGGCAGCTCAGCTTCAGCGGATGCATACCTCACGCCGGAAATTGTTCGTTATGTTGAGGGGTTTGCGAAACAGTTTCAAGATGGTAATCTCGATGACATTTCGTGCGAATTCATGCAGAGTGACGGTGGCCTCGTCAGCCACAGAGCGTTCAGTGGACTTCGCGGTATTCTGAGTGGCCCCGCCGGTAGGTTTTCTTGAAGCTCATTAGTGCTGGTTGATGCTGATCATATGATTTGTTAGGTGGTGTTGTCGGCCATGCCAGAACGTCATATGACGGGAAGTCCCCTATTGTGGGCTTCGACATGGGTGGAACATCAACAGATGTCAGTCGGTATGGCGGCTCTTTGGAACATGTCTTTGAGTCTACTACGGCTGGTGTTTCCATCCAAAGTCCACAATTAGACATCAACACTGTAGCCGCCGGTGGTGGAAGCATGCTCTTCTGGCGAGATGGTCTTTTCAAGGTTGGGCCAGAGGTACGTTTGCCCGTTCTTCACGTCGATGAAATTCTACCTTGTGTAGACACTAAAATTCGTTTGTAGAGCGCGGGCGCTCACCCCGGCCCTGCTTCATACAGGAAGGGCGGTCCTTTGACCGTGACTGATGCGAACCTATTGTCAGTTTCCCAACAGGTTATCTTGGAAATATGTATGCTAACAATGTTCACCATAGTCTCGGTCGGCTCATTCCTAGTTACTTCCCCGCTATCTTCGGCCCGGACGAGAACCTCCCTCTCGATTCCGATATCGTGGCAAAGAAATTTGAGGAGCTCACGAAGACGATCAATACTGACACAGGACGCTCCATGACACCACACGAAGTCGCGATAGGCTTCATTGACGTCGCAAACGAGTCCATGTGTCGCCCGATCCGTGCCCTGACTGAAGCTCGCGGGTTCGTGACAGCCGACCACAACCTGGCCACTTTTGGTGGCGCTGGCGGTCAACATGCTTGCGAAATCGCCGAGAAGCTAGGTATCGGACGCATAGTGATCCACAAGTACTCAAGCATCCTTTCGGCATATGGCATGGCACTTGCTGAGGTTGTGCAAGAAGCTCAAGAGCCCAGCTCTGAGACATTATCTGAGGAGTCTTTGCCGAGGTTGAACGATAGATTATCTTTCCTCAAGGAAAAGGCTACCAGCGGTCTCTTATCACAGAACATCAATCAATCGGCAATCGAACACGAATTCTTTCTCAACTTAAGGTACAATGGTACAGACACTAACTTCATGATCCTGAAGCCAGATGACGATGACTGGTTGGCGGCACTTGAGCGAGAACATCTACGGGAGCTTTCTTTTACATTTCCCAGAACAAGAAAGGTCCACGTTGACGACATCCGCGTACGAGGAGTCGGAAGGGCGGAAGAGTCTAGCAGTGATAATGCCCGTTTGGTCGAAGAGCTCAAGTCGCTCTTTTTCGAGAATGCCCTGAAGATCGAAGATTGCATTGTACGTTCAGCTCCTAACAACGAAGTATACGTTCATTGGCACACACGCTAACAACCTCCCAGACTGAGGCGTTCTTCACCGCGGGAGGACTACAATCTACCAAAATCATCCAGCTCAGCAGTCTGCAACCTGGGGCCGTGATCATGGGTCCGATGATTGTCATCGATAACACCCAGACCATTGTTGTCGTACCCGGGGCTGAAGCCAAGATTCTTACTTCTCACGTGGTGATTGATCTCGTCGGGAAGGCTGGCAAGAGCGATGCAGTACAGACCACCGAGCTGGTCGTTGACCCTGTGAACTTGAGTATTTTCGGACATCGATTCATGAGCATTGCGGAGCAGATGGGTCGCACGCTGCAGAAGACCAGTATCTCGCTCAATATCAAAGAGCGACTAGACTTTTCTTGTGCAATCTTCAGTCCAGTAGGTGACTTGGTTGCGAATGCTCCACATGTACCAGTTCATCTGGGCAGCATGAGCTACGCAGTCAAGTATCAACATGAGCTGCATCGCGGTAGCCTCCGTCCAGGCGATGTGCTTGTCTCCAATCATCCCGAAGCTGGAGGAACCCACCTTCCAGGTCCGCTCTCAAGTATGATTTGAAGAGGAAGTTGCGGTTTACTGACTGGCCCCAGATATCACGGTGATAACTCCAGTCTTCGACGAGGACGGCAAGACGATTTGTTTCTACACTGCATCCAGAGGTCATCACCTTGACATCGGTGGGTCAAAGGGAAACTCAATGCCTCCGTAAGTCCAGTCTGCGACTCTGCAATCACGTGTATCAGATTCCTAGCTGACTCAAGACACAGCGACTCTACGGAACTTTGGCAAGAGGGTGCGGCTATCAAGTCTTTCTTCTTGATTCGCGATGGAAATTTCGACGAAGAAGGCATTGTCAAGATCCTCCTCGACCCCGGACTCTTCCCGGGCTGCAGCGGCTCTCGACGCCTGCCGGACAATCTCTCCGACCTCAAAGCCCAAGTAGCAGCAAACACAAAGGGTAGCGTTCTCATCAAGGCGCTAATGGACGAGTTCGGCAGGTCCGTTGTGCACTTCTACATGGCGAAGATCCAAGAAAACGCCGAAGTCTCCGTCAGAAGATACCTATCATCGGCATACAAGCGCTTCGGCTCAAAGCCACTGAAGGCCGTGGACTACCTCGACAATGGCTCACGAATGCAAGTCTCCATCACTATTGATGAAGACGGCTTTGGCACCTTCGACTTCACCGGCACCTCTTGCGAGATGCTCTCTAACATGAACGCGCCGCCTGCAATCACCTACTCAGCCCTCATTTACACTCTTCGTTTACTGATCGGCTCAGACATACCATTGAACCAAGGTTGTCTCGCACCAACCAAAGTGATCCTCCCGAAGAACACGTTCTTGAACCCGGGACCTCAGTCCGCCGTCTGCTGCGGCAATACCCTCACTTCGCAGCGGCTGGTTGATCTCCTTCTGAAAGCCTTCAGAGCCGCAGCCGGATCTCAAGGCTGCATGAACTGTTTCGGATTCTTTGGAAACTCCGTTGATCCTGCTACTTCTTCAGGGGAATCCAGAGATATCAGCTCCGGAGGCTTTGGTTTCGGCTACGGCGAAACCATTTGTGGCGGCGAAGGCGCTGGTCCGACTTGGCACGGCGCCTCTGGCGTTCAGATCCATATGACCAACACCCGGACGACGGACATTGAGATCATCGAGAAGCGTTACCCAATTCTCATTCGCGAGTTTTCCATCCGAAAAGGCAGTGGAGGTGATGGAAAGTTCAAAGGAGGCTGCGGAATTGTGCGCGACTTTGAGTGCCGGGCTCCTCTCACGTACGGCATCATCTCGGAGCGTCGCGTCCACCAGCCGTACGGAATGATGGGCGGAGAGAACGGAGAATCCGGTGCTAATTACTGGGTGCAAAAGACTGACGACGGCGATGAAAGGTGGATCAGCATCGGGCCCAGAGGCCAAGTTGACATGAAGATTGGCGATCGATGTGTAATTCATACTCCGGGAGGAGGAGGCTGGGGTATTTCGGATGAGCTGAGTCACCAGGATGATGAGCTTGATGGAACGGATGGCCCTTGGACAGGTCAGACTGTGTACCCCAGGGCCACAGGCAGTCTTCATGCCTTTGCTGCTGCACAGGAGGCTTCGTCTTAGATCCTCCCATACATGTATGTAAGGTGTGTCGAGGATCATGTTTTACTTGACACCGATTTTCTCAAATATTATGTGAAGACTCGGTGTATTATGCAAAGCGTGGCTTGAATTTGTGAGCAAATCAGGGCGTGGCTAACTTTATCATCCGTCCAGAGTATGGCTCACTAGAAAAAGGAATTGGAGAAACTCAATATCGTGCATTTCAAAACCGAAGATGAATCAGAGCTATGAAATTTGAAAGTCAGTTATGTCCGCCCAATCACTTTCACAATCTAGATCTCGGTCCTCAACTTCCTCTCCGTCCATCTTCCCATGCACACAGGCTTCGCCCACCAACACGAAACAATTAGATAAGGGCTTTTAGGCGCAATATGACAGGGACAGAGCAGCCAATTAAGATACAGACAATATCTCCTTGCCTGGTGTCAGGGAGACATAGCCCAAACAGCTTCTGTTGAGTTTTAGCGGCCTCCTGCCAATATCCTTCCCTTTACCTTCGGCTTCTAGTGATAACTGAATGGTGCTACCCTCTGCCGAAAGCTTTATACCGTCACCTCCCATATCTGGTTTTGAACTTGGTGTCGTGTCTGCGGAAGCACCACCCATATACTGTCTTTCGGTATTCTTCCTCGTTTCTTGTAACGAGTCAGAATCTGGCAACTCTGTTGTAAAGAATCGCCGATTCCATGTAACATACAGTGTAGGGATCGCTCAATGTCATCTGTTGGCTTCTTGCTTTGCCGTGCGGAAAAATCTTTCTTGTGTTTCGGATCAAGCCGTTCCTCCACGTCCCGATGATCTCGGATTCTCAATTCCAAATCCGCTTGTAAGTTACATGCGTTGAGTACTTACTTATGCTTCACTTGAATGCTCTCTAGCAACACTACTTACAAACACTTGAGAGTGCATTCAGGTTGGGTACAAAATCAAAAGTTTCCCTAGGGTTTAGAACTCGAGATATACAGGAGCAAACTAGGCTTTCCGATTATACATGTCCAAAAAGAACTTCCAGGCGAGAGACAAAATCATAGCCGAGTCTACAGCAATGCAGTGCAGGTGAATCTCCTGAAGAAGTTTCCACCTCAATAGATCAGCGGCACCGCCGACTTGATCATGAAACAAAATTCCTCAATGGCTGTTTAAGAAAGTCTTGGGTACATGGAAATTTTGACTGATGCTTACTCAGTCGCCGGCTTGGGCGAGGCATGAAGGCAAGCAAAAGAACGGATCTGTCGTATACTGTGCGAGGCGTAAGTAGCTTAGGAATGTTCCTAATCTTCAAGTCCTTGGCACACCAAGTTGAACAAGATGTTCCGTCAAGCCAAAGGAATTCCAGCCATCCCTCTCTGCTTGATCTCGTAGCCACACAAGACCTACCATGCCGGCACCGTTGGCTCCAACTCCCTCTCTTCCAACAAGTCGCCGGGGCACCACGCATACCCAATCTTCAGCCATTACGACATTGTAATCACTGCCATACCTCGCAGTTGTCTGGAAATCTCTGGAAGCTGAGACTAGTCTTGCAAGATTGCAATCAGCCTCTTGAGATGTCACTCCCTGAGACAACCGCAATACAAAATGCATGTTCGGAACGCCAAAAATATTCGAATTGATATCTATGTGATGGGAACTGTCAGTACCCATGCTTAAAGGCAAACCCAAACTCAATGCTGAACGATCAGTTTGACTGGATTCTTACCGCTATCAGAGGTCGCCTGTTGAGGATACAGAGGAAAGTCAGTTGGCTGAGGGAAAATCTGCATATGCTTATGGCCCTGAGATGATCCGGCATCGACCCCACAATTGTAAATCATCAGTTGGGGCCCCAGGGTTGGCTTGAGTGCAGCCATCACAGCACGTGCAGCCTCGACGTCAACGAAGTTGAGATCTTGCGTTTGAGGCTTGAAGATCCGCGTATATAGGACGAATGCTGGCCGATACATACAACACAGATTGAGCTTCAGTGTATGATGCAACCCTACTTGAGCAACAACGAAGTCGGGATCTGGGTTGAGGAACGGCCCCTTGTCCGCTGTGCGCTTGGGATCATCTCGCTCCAGATACGGCTTTCTTTTCAAAGCTGGACTAATGCGGAACTCGAACTGGTGAAGTCTGGTCAGAAACCTCTTCGGAGACTAAATGCCTTTGAGGTAGAGATTCAAGCTACAGCGCACCTTGAAGCCGTTGTGGGAGACAATCTCGCTTTTAGATTCGTTGTAAAATAGCTTCCCTCTAGAAACCAAGTCGTCGAACATGAGTAGAGACCTTGAGCCCAGGTCTTCTGGCAACGTAATCTTTTCCAATGCCATGTTGACAGCCCGGCAAGATCAAAGGAGATTCAACTGTATTTCCTCAGGTGTCTCGCGCTCGAATTTTGGTGAGACCCGGGTGATGAGTTGGATGAGCGGTCTGAAAGCAAGACATTCTCCCTTCGCTCGGCTCGCGTGGGGGTTATCGGAATGTTAGTGTCCACGCTGTGTCTTGTAGGCCGCGCTATCAGAGGGTTCCCCCTTTAGCAATGCGTGCACTCGACATCAACTCACTGACTGTAGCCTTCCTACCAAAGTAGTCTTCTCAGTCAGAAATGCCCGATTGTGATCCGATTGAACAGAGTGTTATACAAGCGATGCAAATCGCTAGTTTCTATGCTGAAATGCTTTTCACCTCCAGGCAAAGTTTTGCCAGTCGGAATCTGAGGGGTTCGCGTTGCTAGAACCACTGAAGGTCCCATCATTGCAGGCGGCTTAGCTCAGCGAGAAACGTGCTGGGAAGTTGCGGTCGTGTTCCGTGCACGTATTGTGAGACTGGTGAGTTGCGAACGCTAAGCGGATTGAAAGGTGTGCGGCTTGGGGAGTTCCGGGCCTTTTTGGTTTTTTGTTTTCGATGAGATTGAGTTCGAGGTAGAGAACCGATGTTCTGAAGAGGAAACATTGGGCTCTGTTTCCAATCTCAGTGGTGATTCTGTTACCACCTCGACAGTTGTTATGAGCATTCCTACATAAGTATGTCAGAGAAGAATGGCAACAAGCTCTATTCACCTGTGCAACGATCCCCCAGTTTGCGGTCTTTCTGATCACTGAAGTGAGATGTACGGTCCACTTCAATAGCACGCGGAAGTGATGTGGGCTGCACGGTTTTCTCGGGCAGTTCTTAGCCTCATGAAAAGTTCGCCGTGGTGATGTCGCGCATGAATGCCAGGTCCTGGATGCGTGAGAAAGTTGGAGGGCCGCAATTTCGAAACTTCAGAGCCTCTGAATGGTGGCAAATGCCTGTAATTACACGTCAATCATCGCCTTCTCCCGGTAACCCTGCAGGAAACCGCTGCCTAGTGGTCGTATGTTGGGGCTCGGCTACGTTGCTCAGTGGATATAAATAAGCACGCAGCCTCACTCTGAGTCCTTCACTGGAGATCTCCACAGGGCTGGCTGACTGAGCCATGGATGTGATCTTGCAGAACATATTTGGTCTTGTGTGGCGACTAGAGTTATGTTAAATCACGACATCGAATCGAAGATCCGATGTGAAATAAGTTGTTGGCGATGAGACTGAGCGCAATTCAGCATAACAACTTGCGATCCGTACTGAGAGACGACAATGTATCAGCCACTGGATCGCGACGCGGCACCACTCAACCCCAACAAGAGCCAACAACCCAGCCAAATTCGCCCTATTGAAGCACAACATGGGGACGCAGGTTGCGAACCAAAAAGGCTATCGAAGCAACCACCAAAGCGCCTCAGTTTCTTCCTCAAATCCAGTCTCGTCATCTCGTTGCTCTTCCTCGCAGGCGCCATCGCCTTCATCTCATGGCTATGGTGGGCACCCCACCAAGACGTCCGCTGGCGGAAATGGGTCATCGCGCCGAACCGGCTCCAACTAAGCATAACTCTATGTGCCGTCGTCATCCGGACTGCCATAGGCATACTGGCGACCGCGGCCACGGCCATGATTGCCTCGGTCGCGGTCGAACGAAGGGGTGTATACCTCCAAGATGTCGCTCAAGTCTCCGTCGCGCGCTTCTCTAGCGACGGGCCGCTCTCTCTGAGTCTTCTCGCGCTCACGAGCTCATCGCTTCAGCCGCTAGTCCGCTTGGTACTCGCGCTCTTGGCTGTCACGACCATTGCTGCGCAGTTCACGTCCACTCTTCTCGTAGCAGATCTCGAGCAGCGCCGGGTCGTAACTTTTCCTGATTCAGTGTCCAATGCGTATACCTTCATCCCGGGAAACCTCTCCAGCGGTCGACCACCTGAAGCCGTCTCTGGATATGCGCACAACTACTGGATCCAACGACCGCGACTCACAGAAACATTCGCAGAGTACACAGGCCCCGCAGCGGAAGGAGAAGGACTCGATGACACCGGTCCAACAGTCAGAGCATTCCTTCCCGTGGCATCACAGCAGGAGCGCGAGTCGCTCCTCGAGTTCCAAGGCATGGCCAGAGTCCTAGACACACGATTCATCTGCATGAGGCCGCAGCTCAGCAACGTCCGCCCGTGCAACGGCACAGACGGCGTCAACATTTGCGGGTCGATACGGCTCGATCCCACCGTGGACGCGGCGGCTATGGCGGGGCTGTCATGGACGGATGAAATGAACTTCAACTTTAGCTGCCCTGTGACGGGGTACATGGGCAACCAGTACGACTGGCAGATCTGCGCGTACGAGACGCTGAACTGGACGTCCTTTGACTGGTCTCTTCGGAATACCACGAGAATGACGACGATGAGGATTGTCTGGGATGCTGGAAGGATCCAGGGAAACATGAGCTCTGATAGCTTGAAGTCGACGGTCAAGGTGCTGAGTTCAACTGGCTCGGGCCCGTGGACTAGGGAGTCTCTGCACATCAGACTTGTTGACTCTGACACTGTGGGGAAAGACCAGTATATTAACTTCAACATGACGATGTGTGCACAGTTTTACAAGTGAGTACCCTAATCTCTTGAGGCTTGAGCTGTCCCACAACGTTATTCCTGGTGGTCGTATCTAACAACAGGTCCTTCCCAACAGCTACCCGGACTCAATCCAGTATCTCAACGTCTCCGCAACCAGCTCAAGAAACAGAACAGAGCCAACCTACGAGTGGGATGTAGAGCGAGAGGTCTACGACACGAGTGCAGTCCGCAGACAACTCGGCGCCGTCAAGGATGCCTCATCCTTATCCCACGATGACCGCCAAGTCCTGACGATCAGCAAAAATAGCCTAGACTCGGCCGTGACCGACGCTCGCGATGGCTCTAAGTGGCAACAGTATGCCGCCGACCGTAGCCTGGAATGGTTCTTTTCCCGCGTCACCTACGCCCGAATGCCCTCCATGCCCATCGCCTTCTGTCATAATTGCGCTCCCAATCTCGACTCCCAGGATGGCACCAGCGATGTGATCTACGAGCGGCTTTTTGGCGATACCATCGACGAGACGGGATCGCCGGCTCGCGCGATGCAGGCAGTGTATTTCACCCTTGCTCGACTTGTCTACTATGACTTTCTCAGCGCCTTTTCTCCCAATACTGCCGTCCCTGAGATGGACATTGCGGACGTTGTCACGTTTGAGCTGACTTCGATACCGAGGCGTTTCAGGGGGTATCTAGCTGTCGTAGGGATAATAATCGTCTTCTTGGCCTCGTTCGCTGCGGCGGCGGTCCTCTTCACGTCTACGCGATATAGCTTGCCTGAAAATGCGTGGCATACTGTTGCGCAGATCTCGGAGAGCCCTGAGCTGGCAAACTTGCTTCACGACGCGAGAGTTGCCACTGATGACGACGTTGGGCGTCTAGCAAAAGCCTCCAAGTTTCAGCGCTTTGTTGTTCGAGATGGTGTCTTTACTCAAGCTACGGGGGCTGAATTGGATATGGAGCTGGAGTCGAATCAGTCCCGCCGTCGACTGACGACGCATGAAGCAATTCCGTAACGCGCGACGAGAGGTTTTCAATGGATTGAAGTTCATTACCAGATAGCGTAGGAGTAATAATGTGAAATAACGAAGAAAGAAGTTGAAATTTCTGCCTACCATCACAAAGCCTTCGTCGCTTCTGTGGCAGACTTCTTCTGGCTATCATCTCCATCTTCACTCTGAACATCAACCTTCTCCAACGAAGCAACACTATCCCCAGCTTCCCTCAATGACTTCCAATTGAGACCAAAGTCAAGAATGTCCGGGTACTTCCGCACATACCACAGCATCCCAAGGATCGAAGCGATACTCCCAACACTAAACGCCGCCGCCAGCGGAAACCCGATGGGATACCTCGGCGAGTCCGCGGTCCTCCACGCCCGCAGCGGGATAGTGGCATGTCCAACATACACAAGCGTCACCGCGAGTCCAACGATCACCGACCTCGCCTCAGGCTCCTTGCGCAAGATGATAGCAAGCCACGCGAGCAACGCATATCCCCACGCCGCAGTCGCAAACGTCAAAAAGTAGAATGTCATGATTGTGCCCCTTCCACCAGGCCAGGCCGCCAGGACGGAGGTAGCAACGAGCTGAAGCAGAGCCGCGCCGATGGCAACCTGCCACCGCCAGTCCTTCCAGTCGCTCAGCGCGTTGAGGGAGATGTTGGCCACGATGGAGATCGCGTAGCCGCCGAGCGGGATGAGGTTGACGGTGTACACCGAGTACAGCGCGGTTGTGCCGTCCGCAGCCTTGAGACCCTTCAGGTAGAGCAAGAAATACGAGTTTGCGCGCTGAGACCATGCGAATTGTAGGTATGCCGCGAGGAAGAGGTAGGTGATAGGCGAGGTGAAGAGTTTCCGTACACGCGACCAGAGGGCCTTGCCCTTAATAACCTCCTGTGTCGTCGTCCCTGATTTCCTCATACGTGCAGCAGAGAGCACGCGTTCGTCCGCGGTGAGCCAGAGGGCGCGGGTCGTGGTCGGCGCGTCGGGGATGACGAGGAACCCGTAGAGACCCCAGACAATCGTCATGATACCCGAGACGACGAAGAGCCACTGCCAGCCCTCGAGGCCGTGCGCGCCGTTGAGGTTCTTGTAGAGCGCAGCCTGGAGGATGCCGAGAAACATGCTGCCCGCCTGGCTGCTCACGCCAAAGATGGCCAGACGCTTACCGAGTTCGGAGGGGGTGTACCAATTAAAGATGAGGTTCACGATGCCCGGCCACGAGGTCGCCTCGAACACGCCCAGGAAGAAGCGCAGGACGAAGACGGTGCGCGCGTTCTTGGCGGCAAAGGTTGCGAGAGTGATAGCGCCCCAGACGACTTCGCAGAAGGGTAGCCAGAGGGACGGGCGGACGCGGGTTTGGATCAGTTGGGAGGGGACGATGAAGAGGGCGTAGCCGATGGAGAAGTAGGTTGTGAACTCGACGAGTTCGTTGCCGTAAAGGGAGAGGGCTTCTTGCATGCCTGAGACGTATGCTGCTGTTGTTGCGGACTGGTCCATGTCCTTCATGAGGCCTGCGATGAAGGCCCAGGTAAGGAGAAGGACGTCGAGTTTGAGGACGAGGACGTGTTCTGCGTCTTCAAAGTAGGGATGGATCTTGGCTAGCCATGGGATCGAGGGCTTCGTAAGGTTCGGGCTGGCCTCTGCCGAGACCTGTTCGTGCTCGGTCTTTGCCATTGCTGGTGATGCCTCGTGATGTAAATCGGATGGATGACTGTAAGATCCGGAATGTTTTCTCGGGCAGGCTCTCGATGGCCATGTAGTTGTTTAAACAGTGGCTTTCAGGGTCGTATTTGAACTTGATCATTCAACTGACATTCGCCATCGCCGTGCACCAAGACTTCTCCCTGAAGCGGACAGATTCCGACGAGGCGTCGGGACACACCGACGCTCAAGACAATGCTTCAATAATACTGGGCAAAGGATCAGATGGCAACATCACCATCTTTCATGGTGAAATGGGGGAAACGAAGGAACAGAATCGGAAAATAACAAAAGAGTTGGGACAGATCAGCTGCTTTTTCGACAGAAATTCAGATGAACCGTTAGTCAAAACTCTGTTTCTCGTTGCCGAGTCGTAGCGTTCCATGGGCTATCCCAGCTCCGGGGAAGCGTCCGCCGGCGGGCAGGGATACAACGTAAAATGTCGCCATTTCGCCGGCTTATGCCGTGACGCGTCGGTGTCCCGCCGAATGATGGCAGGAGACCTTATTCTGCGTCTACAATTCGACTGTCCACCCCGTGGCGATTGGGAACTGCAAGCACGTTTGTCGGGATTGCGCCGATCGATGAGACTAGACCTGACGCGATAATACCTAATAGAGTCTCATTGACAGTTGAGAAAGCTGATACATATATCGACAGCAGGCGACCGGCAGATTCTACAGCAAAAGATTGCGTGCTTCGCCATTCCCACCATCAGACGCTACACGTACCCAAGTCCAGCCACCATGTCGACCGAACCACTGTACCCAGCCTACCTCCCCACCAGGTCCGACGGCTTCCAGCCGACAATCGACGTGCCGTACTTTGAAGCCGAAGAACCCGGTGCGCGGGCCAAATCCGCCTCCTCCGCCTCCTCCGCCTCCTCCATCTTCCGGGACGGCGGCGGCGCCGAAGTGGAGAACATCACACCCCGCGTCGGCGCCGAAGTCCGAGGTATTCAGCTTAGCCAGCTCTCCAAGACGGGTCTGGATGAGGTTGCACTGTTAGCGGCCGAGAGAGGCGTTCTTGTCTTCGTGAGTTCTTCGTCGCGGATAAAGAGTGATGATAGTCACGCCATTGCCTGGTGAGTGGATAATAACAACGGTCTTTCTAGAGAAACCAAGACTTTGCCGATATTGGGTTCGAGAGGCAAAAGGAGATCGTGAGGCATTATGGACCTCTGCACAAGGTACGACACAAGGAGAAGTCGCGTATACTTGAGCGTCTGCTGATCTGATTGCTCCCTTCTTCTCAGCACCCGACGATGGGATACCCAGAAGGCACAGGTCCAGAATTCCACGTCGTCTACGCAGACGAGAAAGCGTAAGAAACCCCAACCTCATGTCACATCTCATATGGATTTACAGCTACATCACTCACACTTACCGTAGAGGCAACCTCCGCACCCTCCTAGGCCCCCGCACAACCTACGACCTCTGGCACATAGACCAAACCTTCACCCCAAACACCCCCTCAACGACCTTCTTCTGGGTCCTCGAAGCGCCCGCCTCAGGCGGCGGCGACACGGCCTTCACATCCCTAACAGCAGCCTACGCAGCTCTCTCCCCGGCCTACCGGTCCACCCTCCGCGGCCTCCGGCTATTCCACACCTCCGCTTCCGTCGGCGAAGTCGCGCGCGTGGGCACGGAGCGCGCCCTCCGCGAGGCCGTGTCGACGACGCATCCCCTGGTGATCCGGCACCCGGTCACGGGACAGGAGAGCCTGTTTGTGAATCCGACGATTGCGAGGCGGGTGGAGGGGTTTTTACCCGAGGAGTCGGATGCGCTGTTGGGCTTTTTGCATAGCCATGTCAAGAGTTTGGATTTCAGTTGTAGGGTGAAGTGGGAGGCTGGGTCGGTTGTTGTGTGGGATCAGAGGAGCGTTGCGCATAGCGCAGTGCCGGATTTTAGGGAAGGGGAGAGGAGGCATATGGTGAGGATTATACCGTATGGATCGAGGCCTGAGCCGGCGTTTCCTGAGGAGCATCAACGTAGTCGAGAGGATGAGGAGATGTAGTGAATATTGGTCTACCTAGTGATCTGCAGCTACATGGGAGAAGTTGATAGTATCTTCACCATTTGGTAGGTCACATAATTCGAAGTATGGGCAAAATAGTATCTCCTTAGGATACGTACGCGTGTTGCCTATGTAAGTAGACAGTAATGAACCACTTGGCTTGCGAGGGATAGCAAACCCTCAAATCACCTTGCCGGGTTTCTTCATCAACCCCGCACTCTCGATTCTTGTGCCCAAAGTTGAGCCTCATAAAAGGCTGACAGGGATCCAGCATGGATGCGATGGGGTAAGCAGAGTGCGATGATCATACGCATCCAGACCGATTTGGAGTGCGACATAAGTGCGATAAGTGCGGTGAAAGTGCGACGGCAATGCCATTCGTCAACCCCACTACTGTCCCGCTCTCGTGCATGAAAGAGTGTGTCGCACTTACAAGTGCGATGGCCAACCCCGGTCTACATGACAGCCTTATGAGTATCATCGTGAATAAGTGTAAGCCCGGCCCGTTGTCCCAAGCTACCCGACCTTCAACTAGAACAGACTTGTTCCCTAGCTTAACAGGCGGTCGAACGTTGATCTTCACTAGAGGCTCAATGGCGGCCAACCCGGTTGCCAACACCGGATCGCCGGTTGGACCACCTGCTGCGCCTTTGCCCTTCAGCCTGCAAACGTCGCAAGATGTGAGAGAAATTCAAGAAGAGTCCAACAAAAGAAAGAAGCCACCAAGAAAGCTGGACAGCGAAAAGTGCCAGCTTTGCAGGCAACACAAGTTGAAGGTATTCCGGTCCCCTTCCAAACGCCTACTTTGCCCTGCCTGTACGACAGAGCGCTTATGGCTTCGGTCAGAAAATTGCTGACAACCGAGCTGCCAAGTGCCTTCCTCAACCTCGAACATGGCCGCAAAAGTGCGATCGCTGTCTGTCGAAAGGACTGGAATGTTCGCCTGGAGAAGTCAAGAAAAGGACTAGAAGACACGCCCCAGGCGAACAACAGTCCGAAAGCATGATGCGTATCCCGAGCGACCGGGGATCCCACAGCCAAGATCATGATGGCTCTAGAACTTCGTGGAACTGCGAAGATCTGTAAGGCCCATGTCAGCTTCTTTCTTAAGTAGAGGCTAATCATATGAGATAGGATGGATATGCTGACCGCAGTCCAGCTTCTCAACAGCGTGTACGAAGTTCATCATCACCAGAGAACCTCCTTGCTCGATATTCTCGATTTCCAAGAGACACCCTGCCAAAGCCATGGACCTGGGGCCCAGGCACAGCTCGATGTGCCCTACGTCTCGGGTCTCCATCAGAGCCTACCACTTCTCAAAGACAGGATATCGATCGCGCTCAAGACGAGGCTCGGCCACGGCAAGACTTCGTGTCTCGCGGAGAGGATGTTGTTTGAGAACACTCTCACTGAGCTACACAGCAATTTGCCGAAGCGTCCGATAGTAGATGACCCTGGAAAATTCCATCGACTACTCATACGCGAACAGATCTCCGACCTGATGTTCCGGTCCAGATCGAGCATGTCGGAGACTATTACCTTGAAAGCGATAGTCTCACTATCCATCACACTTTCTTCGAGACTTCCAGTTCTTTTGAAGAAGTTTGATCTCTACGACTGGTCATATGTGGAACAGGGTTTCGGCCCAGAATGGGAGAAGTTGGTCCCTCATGCGGTTGTTGGGTGCCTCCTCTTCGGTCCGGGTGACCTCTACTCAGACTCGCAGCCGTATGCGAAGATCTGGGCCCACGACATTCTGGTGAAAGAAGGCGCGAAGTACCCCGTACTCGCACGGGATCTCGCACTCATCCCGCCCAGAACCGGCACCTGGTCCCTGAAGGAGCTTGCCTTCCTCACCACCCATGTCGGACCGGACCTCAAGGACAATCAAGGGCTGACTCTCGTCCACGCCGCTATCTTGGACCGCAGGCCAGACATCGTGCATCAACTTCTCGAGCCGGGAGGCGCCAAACCGTGGCACCGAATATTCAGAAGACGCTTCTCGCTTTTCCATTTCGCGGCCTCGGTGGGATGCGAGGCGTGCTACGCGGAATTGCGCTGCCATCCTGAAATCCAGCCGGCGGAGGAGACGCGGGACCGGAACGGAATGCTGCCCTTGCACGTTGCTGCACTTCGCGGGCAAGTGAACGTGGTGGAAGCTATTCTCAAGGCGCACTTTGACGGAGCGGAGGAGAACGAGGAGTACGTGAATCGAGAGACGTCAGAAGCTGGGCATACTGCGTTGTATCTCGCGATAGCGCGGGCCGAAGATGATGCCACCGCTAAGTTCTTAGCTATGTACCCCGGCGTCGACTTCCTCGTGGATCGCCAGGTACGACAGACAGCGCTTCATGTCGCGGCGTCTCGCAAACGACACGGACTATTGCGGTTCCTTCTCTCTAGAGCACCCGAGCATCAGCTCAATATGCAGAACGAAGACGGTGAGACGGCGTTACATATTATCGCTCGTCATGGCGACCGAGAGACATTGAACGCTGTCTTGGACCTCCCCTCAATCGAACTTGACGTGACGGCCAACGACGGATCAACGCCACTGGTAGACGCTGTGACGAGCGCGAACATGGAGGCGATGGAAGCTTTGATCGGGTGTCCGGGGGTGGATATCACGGCGTTACGGCGGCCCTTGGAGCCCTTTGGCTTCTCCGCACTGGAACATATTTTGCAAGAGGCGGACGGCAACGATGGTTCTGGGGGGTACATGGAGATTTTGGAGTGCTTGCGAGTGCGTTGTCCTGAGCTAGAAGACGATCTTTATGAGGCATCGATGGCTGAGATGGAGACGGATGACGGTGATATGGTGGTTGAGTAACCGTGCGAGGTGGATATCAATCCGAGCAAGGCCGTTCTAGGCTGGCAAGGGAGGTGCCACATAGATTCGTACTGCAGCAAGCCATACTTATGACTGCCAGCGTACTATCCTCGATATAAGCTCGAATCACGTGAAGTCCATTAGACGTAGCCTTTGAGGCCTGTCTTGAAGTCATCGCCACATTCCATCATCCGGTCAGCTGGGATGGGCAGAGGAGCTTGCTGAAGCCTGATAGGTTGCAGGGCACTGACGACACTGGTTGACCCGACGGCGCAGTTGCAATATCGCTAAAGGGCGAGGTTTTCGCCGGGGTGGTTGACTCGGAGGGCGGGGATCGAAGCGGACGAACCCCTGGGTGTTGGTCCCACCGATTGCTCATGGAGCGATGTAACGCCGAATGCGAAGGTTCAGGGGAACTGGGTGGCGGAGGAGAGGGGCGGGAGGGGCAGACACGAGGATGATGGTATCATGGTTGACAGTTTTCGGTGTCAAGTTGGTGATGGTTCGGTGCCTTATCTGGATTCGTCGTTCCTGGGACCCTGAGACGTGGTTGGGGAAGTGGGAGACTGAGATGGTGTGCAGTGACCTTCTGCAGTCTGGACTCGGTTTAAGTCAGCGAGCACGCAAGCAAGCAAGGCGCGGGCGACAGGACAGAATACCCGGACGGAACATCTGGTGCTTCACTAACGGCATCGTGGAGCATTCCAGGCCGGATCGACACAGCGGGTCACATTTTGGGAGCAGCGTTCAAGTGGTGAGGTGTGGTGAGGTGGTCGAACTTTGAAGGCCCGTCTCGAGTCTCGAGTCTGGAGTTTTCCGACGAGCGGTGGATTACTCGACAACGGGCCGAGACGGACGAACCACCCAAAAGAAAGCAAACGAAGACTTGGGAGTTAGTCCTCTAGGCCTCCACCGCCAACGCGTGGTGTTTGTTCTTAGTGAGGGACCGGTTCGTGGGGAGGCTGACGGTTGTGGCCGAAGGAGAAAAGAAAAAACGTGACATAAAGACGGATTGAAACGGCCTGGTCAACACAAGGCAAACGGCGAGAAAATTCACGACAAAGAAACGACGGCGGAGCTGAAGAAACCAACAAAGTGCAAGTGCGCGAGCCAAAGTTTGGAAAAGCTGGGAACAATGGCCGCAAGTGCAGGAAACTCCACCGGAAGAGGAACGAAACTCGGAGCAGACACCAAGAAAGAGAAGCAACGACCGGGGAGCCATGAAGCTTGGGAAAGAGCAAAGTGGGAAAGGGCAGGAGAGCACATGGCGGGACAGGGAAGGCGTCCCGGCTGGCGCCATATCGTTGGCTGCGAATGCGTGGAGAGTGGGACCATGTAAAGATGAGGTGGATTGATATGGTGTGGGTACCAATCCCACGCTATTGATGGAAGAGGAAACGATGGGCAGGAACTGGCAGGGAAGGAACGAGGATGAACCGGTCTATCGGAGGACCCGTCTCTTTTCCATCTTTTCCCATCTTTCCAGCGCTTCTCAGTGGCTGAAAGATTCTTGACAAGTTTGGGAGCGAGCGTTGGATGCATCCAGGCGCGACGCTGAGGGTGACATTCGATATGCATAGCCCAGACCTGCACCTGTCTGCAGTGCACCAGTGCTGCACCTGCGGCCCCAATTGTTAATTGTGCAAACTTTCTTGGATTGGTCCAAGATGCCCAGCCCAGTGCTTCAAAGTTCAGGGCATTGCTCCCTCCCACGGAATCCACCCCGTCTGCAAGTTCCAGAAGCCCGAGCACCGTGCCCCATTCCCTCCAGTCTCCATCGCTCCAGAGGAAAAGACCAACTCTTGCTGCACCTGCCACCTGCAGCTTCCTGCACCTGCTCCTTCCACTGCAAGTTGACACACCACACCATTCTTTCCCGTCTCCTCTCCTTCTTTCCCTCTCGTCTTCCGTGCCTGCCAACAACCCGTAACAGCGTTATCAAGGTTCTCTTCCTGCAGCTGCAACCGTATCTGTGACTACCTTTTCCATCTGCTGAATCCGTGATTCGTAGACGGTTCTTTCCCTGCACGAGTCGTTCTTTCCCCTCCTTTTAAAGTACCTCACGAAGTACCTCGGTGTCTCCCCCTTCCCTTCCACACTGGCAGTTCCCTTCTCGGTCATCCAATCCTTTCCCTTGCACCTTGTCATTCTCTTCCCTTTCCACCACCACCACCACCACACCACACGGCACACACCTCAACCCTCCGGCCCGACCTAAAGGTACCTTTCCTCCAACTCACTTTACCACCTTGGGCCAAGCCGCCGCCGCCGCCATTCTTCCAATCTTTTTCTATCTATCCCGACCAACCCAGCCCAACCACTCCAGACCGGATACAACATCTCCCTCACTCGCACACACACACTCCCACCCAGTCCACTCGTTCCAACACAACTTACCTTAATAAACCAAAACCACCCAAGAGGTCTCGAAGCCCGGCGTTTTGACTACCTCTCCTTCCCTCGCTCCCGCACCGACTCCCAACAGTGGTCACAGACACCAAGCTACTATCAGCCACAGAGTGCTGAATTAGAAAAAAGAACAAATCCAAGAGCCAAAGCCCCCGATCACGGCACCACAATCAGACACCTGTTGCCAAGCAGCTTTCAAAATACGACAGACATCTTACCGCAAACGCCAGTCGGCAAAAAAGGGGGGATTGCAACACATCCGAGCCACCAGAGACATCTGTGTCACAAGATTGCAACCTCCATTCCACCCATTCCTACCGCGACCGATAAGCTTTCCGTCTGATCTGTTGCGCCCTTACATTACGACGTGCGTCTGCCACCGTTCACAGACTTTATCCTCCCGTACATCACGTCCCGTCATCTGTACTTGCACAACAACCTCATCCCAAGTCGAGTCAATTGAGTTTGCCTCGTCCCGCCATCAACTTTGAGCAAGATCGAGCTCTCCAACAACACCCAGCACAACAAGCATTCCATACCTTTACCGATCGTCTTCGCTCGAAAACTTCGTCACAATGGCTCCCGGTATCCTTGAACGAATCCAGCAGAAGATTGAGCTCTTCCGCCTGGAGCAGCGCTACACTCGTCGCCGTCATCGTCGCTCGACTTTCGTCTCCAACGCGGTGTACGTCGACGGCGAGTATGTCTACCAAACTCCCACCTCCACCGGCTCCTCGTCCGCCGGCACGACCAGCAGCAAGGAGTCCTCATCACCACGGGTGAATGCCCTCCACCATGCCGAGCCTGCTTCGCCTACCGTCGCCCCGACACAGACCGAGCCTAGCAAGAAGCGATTGAGCCGCTTCGCTTCCATGCCCGGTTTCGGGTCCTCAAAGCAGACTCCCACCAACGACTGGAGGTCAAGCCGCGTCAGCGTCAGCGAGATCCAGCGGTAGAAGCGTCTGGCCTACGCTACTTGAATCGATCAAAGAAGAAAAGCAAAGAAAAAAATATAGTTCCGAAACGAACGATATATAGATCAGGGTGGCAATCTCACGACGGCAACATGATAACTCTCGGGGCGAGTCTTCGAGGTTAGACGACGACGAGGTTTTGCTCAAAAGCAATTGGCATGTTGCACTTTACGACCATCTTCCGTCACGTCTCTTAGCGGCGCACTTGCATGAGCATTGGGGGGCCTGCTCTTGTTCTTCCTTTTTTTGTTTGCTGGGAGGTTTGCATTGGCCGACATGCCAACTGCATATTTGCACCTATTGCCCCCAACATTACCAGACGCTGTGTGAGAATCGCACCGGCGCTGCTCCTTGCTTGTCTGGACACATTACACCGACTTGTAATCTTGACTGCTGCTCGGGACAGATACCCATCAGCTTACCGGCGTCGTGCACGCACCTTTTCTCCTGTACATATCCAATGGATTATATGACTACATTAAACACTCTTGTCTCAGTGCCCCTACTTTGTGATGTTCGCGCATTGCTAAATCAGACGGCCACGTTTGATGAACGCAGGAATTTGGTGAGAAATTGCAAACGCTGCATGCCGTTCCGTGTCTCAGATTCTTGGTGGTACCGGCAGTGATCGGCCGCGGCTCGAACGGCTGCAACTCAAAGGCATGCAGAGAATTCGGACGATCGTCCCGAAAACATCGGCGACGCTTGGCTGTCTGACCCGGTATTGCTCGGAGGGGTTGGGCGAGACCCTGAAATCCCAAATCCCCTTTTTGCGGGGTGGATCACTGGATGGTCCCCAAGCTCCCGACCGGATCCCGCGATTTGATTCTTGGGTGACCCTTGGGTTTTACTTGAGGGAAGATGGTACGGAGTATAATCACATCAAGAACAAGGGTGCCCCCTCAAACAGCTCGTCCCATGACGAAAACTTGCGACCGTGCTTCGCTTCCCGCTGTAGTTTTTCCACGAGACGAGCACCGTCTATCATGCTTACCGTGCCCAGTTCTTCGCCGACCGCTTGCATCCCCGAGCACATGAAGTTTGTGATTTCTTGGTCGTGGTAGATGAGGGCGGATTGTATTCCGCCGATGACCATTGGCCAGATGACGAATTTGTGTAACAGCCCCGCGCTGATTGCAATGGAACTTGATGGGGTGTTGTTATTGTTGTTGTTGTTGGCTTGCGAGGGTTGCCGCTGGATTCTTTGGGTGAAGAGCACGCGGAGGCTTGCAACGAGGGTGCTATATGCTGCTGATTCCCTTCTTGCAAGATGGGATAAGACTTGTTCTGACCAAACAGTGCTTGATCTTGGTGCGGTCCCGAGGCCGGCGAGACTGTTGATGGCGTACAAGGCGGCGGCGCTGTGATATGTCGTCATTAGTGCGACCCAGGCGTCTTTTGTTTCTTGGTCCTCGCTCAGTCTGCTCGGTGCCAGCGAGACTTGTGCGGTCGCCGAGATCTCTGCGGCCCATTTCTCTGGCGGTGAGGTATCAAGATAGTCCAACACAGCAGCCAGGCTTTCGGGGAGATGCTTCGCCGTCTCTGGGTAGAGTGCCCTCCGCGCCCGTAGTCCGTTGATACGGATCAGGATCGTAGCCAGGTCGTTGGGAACCAGCCTCCATGGGTTCCGGGCGTTGGTATCAGAGTCTTCTTGAAAGATTGCTTCATAGGATTCTTGTCTTGCGAGGATCGTGCTGACGACGTGGACTGATGGTAGTGAGAAGTTGCTGCTGCTGGTGGTGATGGTTTTGTTGATGGCGCCGTGGGTGGACGTGCCAAATATATCAAAGATTGCGAATTGCTGGAGGAGGCGGCAGAGTTCTGGGTCTGATTTTGCGACGGCGGCGAAGGGGCCGTGGGTGAGGATTATGCTCCAGGCGCCGGTGATGTGGGATTGCCAGGGGGCGTAGGCGGAGAATTGGATCTTTGGGGGATGTTAATGCTTTGCCGTTTTGAGGGTATGTATGATGGGAAGGTGAGGACGAGAGAGATGGCGAGAAAAAGAGGGGGGAAAGGGGGGGGGGGGGTCACCTGGGATGTGAGCATCACCATGATGCCGAGGAGGATACTGGGCCCCGGATCTTCGGTGTTGTTTGTTGAGTCGTTCCTGTGAGGTTGGTGATATGCGCAGAGTTCTTGGCCTAGGGCTTGTAAGGCGGCTGCTTGTGATGCAAAGTGGACGCTCTTGAAGTCGCCTGCTGCCATGAGTCTGGATAGTTCGGATCTATCGCCTGGTGCGGATGCATTTGGTCTGATGGAAGAGCGGAATGCGGAGGTAGCGAGAGTCTTGTTATTAGTTGATAGTCTGGATAAGATACTTGATGATGACGATGAGGGCTGCCCGCTGATGTGTCTATGGAGGGCTGCGATTGAGATGTATGTATTGCGGAGGTAGGAGGCGAGTGAGGCTATTTGGTTGGGGGAGATTTGGTATGGTGATGTTGATGTTGAGTAGGGGACTAGGTCTGGTGCTACGTGGTGATTATCTATGGACGAGTAATCAGTTGGTGATCAGTCGAGCAATGACACGAGAGTGAATATGTGAAAGCGAGATTCACGCAGTGAAGATGTGAAGATGAGTGAGTGGTGGGAAGTGGTGATGAGTGAAGGGGCGGTGATGAATGAGCGAGTTGTAATTTGTGTGAGTGAGTGAGAGTGAGGTTCACTGTACGGGCGAAGCTTTACCACGCGGCGAAGGTGTTTACCCACAGTACTCCATGGCATCAGCCGCAATCCTCAACTCCATCACGGATCCAGCCGTTCTCGGCGATCGGCATACGATGCCAAGGACCGACGCCGGTGGGCTAGTGCTACCGGTGGTGCTGCTGCTCCGTGTCTTTCCTCGGCTACGGTGACTGTCACTCTCGCGGTGACCCTCCGCGTCCGGCTCCCGATCCCGGACCCGGACGACAACACCCTTTTGCGTCAGGACGAGGGGGTCTCGGAAGGCGATGGGCCTCTTTTCGCCGTAGCCCGGGCACTCTGTGTGTGCGATGATGCATTTCCGGCATGCGGGGACGGAGGAGTCGCATCGGAGGCGCTTTTTGCGGCAGCGCCAGCATTGAGGGCCGAGGGTCATTGTGACTCGCTAGATGAGGAAATCTAGTGGTGGCGCGTGGAACAGACAGGCCTGTGGCTGACCGTGTTGAGATTGTATGAGCAGTTCTGCGGAGATTGGACCAGGCAGTGTTTGTCTCGCGAGATTATTTCATGGTGATGTCTACTTCACTGCTCTGGATAAGATAGACGGCAGTGGTCGTGGGGGGATAAGTCCCCCCCCCCCACTTCAAATGATTAGGTTTCACGTTTTCGGCATATGGCGACGGTGAGTTTGCGCAGAGCGGCGATGTCGGCCCCCGGTTAAGCCCAATCAACGGTCCATGGACAGCCCGAATCGGAAGCGTGCACGGTATCGGCACTTTGCCTAAGATACAGGTGGCCGACACGGCGACACGGGGCTTATTGCCTGTATTCGCGGCTTTACTGTGATTCGGGCTGCATTTAATTGACGAGAGCCAATGGCGATGTGATCATTGCGAAGTGGGACGACAGCAAGAGAGAGCACATTCTCATGAGGGCGACACTGTCAGGAATCGACGCCGACGTGAGGAGTTGGCAAACTGCTATGCCAGATAACTTCATCCTGGCGCCCGTCCATTGGCATTCTTGGCTAGCATTGTATCGTGCCTGTGAGACCTGCTTATGGCCGCTGCCGCGTGGTCCGTGGATCGTAGTTGGGACAGCAGCACAGCCTCGCAATCTTGGTTACAGGTCGATCGAGAGAGTGCCCGTCTAATTTCACCCACGGGGGAGACTCGAACATGATCGACGAAACAATTGGGGACGGCGGCCGGTTTCTGTGGCTCTTGCGCATGCCGTGTTTTCCATGATGGAGTGACGCAATATCAAAGTGAATCCAGACTTTAGGATTTCTCAACTCTCTCGTCAGGCTGAAGTCCAGCCCTGCGATGCTGATGGAGTCGGATGTTGTGAGTTTCCCGGGGCATGGCGCAGTGGTACTCGTTGGGTGACAATCTGGAGAGCTGACGACTACCCCATTCTTGGCGATCAAATACCCCTGCTATTTGGACCTGGATTTGAAAGATCTCAACAACAGTGACGAAGGTTGGGTGACCAATATGGTTTGTATCATTTTACACCGTACGTACTAGTCGAGGTTCTTGTCGGACATTTACGGAGTACCGGTCTAGAGAGGCTTTATGACGCTCTTCATGCGACCTAAACTCGGGGATCATGTACATGCAGAATAGTCCTTGACTACATGGTGTCCTGCGCAGACGATACAGAAGCTGCGAAAGTATAAAATATTGATTGTTTCGTTTCGTTCTTAATAAGTGCAGTAGCCAGCGAGAAGGAAGAAGGAGAACCGCCCGTTGCGGCAGAATTCCGTTAATCGTCGAACGGATGCCTGTGGTTACTGCCAACGTATTGCCAAGCTGCCAATTGTCGTGGCACTTTACTCATCTCCAGAAAAATCAATCTTGTCTTGGGGCTGTGAACTTCACAGCCTCAGTCCCTTGTGTGAGATTGCAACAAAGGAATCTCGGGTGTTTTTATGTCACAATCTGATTCTCAGTATGAGGTTTGGAGTCTCGTCGGGTTTGCGATTCTGAAGCTGCGCCCATCACCGAGTTTCGGTTTGCGGGACTAAGCGGGTTTGGGAGACTGCGTGGGTCTAGGATGCCTCTTTGCACTGGTAGCATTACTTATTCGTAAAATAGAACTGTAGCATGAATAGAGAAATAGGAAGGAACAATAAGGATGTGACATACAATCACAAATTGTGTCGATAGCCACCTCTCTTCTCAGCACCTACAAGATGGAGTTCTGGATCAATTGAGTTTCAATAACATTCTCGGCCAACATCACAGCATTAGTGTTGGCCTGTTGGCTACGCTACTTTGCACTAACAGCGACCGGTACCGGGGCCAGGCTCTAGAGACTGCCGCCATGGAATCCATTGCCCACAACCCGGCCCTGCTCGTATGGGCCCTGTTCGTCGGGTTGGGCAAAGACCGGAGCCAATCTCGGCTCGACATTGCCGTATGGTGGTAGTATTGAATCGCTAGATGGTGATTACTGTGCAGATAGCAGCCGTGCATTCTGCTTTTTTTTTTCACGAGGCTACCGCTACCCCTGAGCTATGCATAGAATTATGCTTGGGAGCGGGGCCGCACATTCTGCCCCGATTCAGACCCCTTGTGTTCCTATTCCTTCGAGAGGCTAGAGCATGCTGTATCTGTAAGAACATAAAAAGGGGATAATAGGGCAGAAGAAGCTGTGAGAATACTCGTATAGCCGCCGTGCGTGCCGCCCAACCCAAGACTGATTTGCTCAAGCCGAGCACTCATAGTGGGTTCAATTGGGTCTCTTCTCGTTTCAAAGGAGGGTCTTTCGTCTCTGGGCCGCAGGTTCGCCGCACCAAAAAGACGAAAGGAAGAGGATCAGTCATTCACCCAGTCATGGGCTGTCATGCCAGTCTTTAGGCAACCGAATATCACCTTTGGGGGCAGTGCAAGGAAACGAAAACGACCCTTCATTGGAGCGCGGCCGGCGCGGACCAACGCTGCTAGAGCTGCCAAAGAGCTGCCAAAACTGTCAGGGCCGCCAGAGTTGTCACGGACTCACGGTTTGTTCCCCTCTCCCAGAGTGCCATCCCTCCTCAGCTTGACAAGGGGGACGAGAGGTACCGGCATTGGCTGGTCAGGAACGGCCGGCTTGGGCCGTTCTTGGTGCCATGGCGGCCCATGAGCCCCGTATCCCATACGCAGGTACGGCGGCTGGAATGTGATGGGATTGGATGCGTGATCGTCGTGGGCATTCCCATCTCACATCATCTTCAGGTGGAAGAGCCGCCAAGCTGTCACTGGCCAGTGGTTTTGCAGTTCCGCCTCTTCTGAGTTCACCTCCAGGCGCGGTGCTAACTCGTAGGCTGTAGATAGCCCCTGGATCATGACTGACTCCTATTCCAGCCACCGTTGAAAGAGGCGTTGGAGGCGCTGGAACATGGACCAGAACCCCGAGGGAAAGACATTCTGCTGCCGCTACAGATTCTCGGTCTGTCGATTGTTTCCGTACGAGCAGAAGTTCGAGCTTGGCTTGAACTGTTCAGGCCCACAACCAAGCTTGCTTCGCCTCCCCAGCTATGCCGATTATGTACAAAGTGCAACGACGGGGACACGAATAAGGGAGCGGCAATGTCACTGACGGATTGAGGATGTGCACAAACCGAACGGGAAATTGATGCTTGGCAACAAACCACCCTTTTTTCGTACCTCTCTGACTCTCGTCGCCAATCTATCGGGTCTCTCTCTTGTTTAATCTATCCGTAGAAGAGCGACCGTGTGCCCTGTCACCCCCCGTCCGAGTCTCTTCCGATCATGCAACGCTGTTTTCTGTCTTTCCTTTAACCAATTTGACGTCGAAGTTTCAGTAAAGACAACGAGGAACTATTCGACGTTGAAGGGGAAGAATCCTCTCACTCGCTTCGCCTCTTCTTCCCCCCTCCCCACCCTGCCCAGTTGCCCCCTTCCACTCTTTCAGGGGACAACCGTGGAACCTTAATTGGACCCTTTTGAGCTCATCGGATGATTCTGCACCGCGTCCAACTATCGTGAGTAGAGACACACTCTCGCACACGCACATACCGAGGGGACACACGAGGAAGAGACAAGGCTTGAAGCTTCAAACGTCGCCATCGTAGAGTGCTTCCAATCGCAAGCTGACGATGCCTGCGACCAGACACCTTTGACGGGCAAATAACATTACAAACACCACACATTCGTTACTACTAAACATAAAGCAATAATCATGAAGCTCACCCAAGTCGCTCCTTTTCTCATCTACACCCTCCTCGCCGCCCTCCTCCCCTCCTCCGCAAACGCCGACCGCATCCTCCAGTCCTCGTCCCTCAACAACTGCCAAAAGAAATCCGACTTCTCCGCCAGCTTGTTCAATGTCGTCGTCTCCGCCAACAATGGCTCCGTCATGGCAAACATCGCCGCCGTCGTCTCGGTGGAAGGCAAGGCCGTCTTCGACGTCGCCCTGCGCATCTACGGCTACGAATACCTCAAGATGACGATAGACCCGTGCACAATGGACCTCCAGGGCCTCTGCCCGATGAAGCCCGGCAAGATCGACATGGAGTTCTCCTTCGAAATCGGCGACAAGCTCGACCAGGTGCCCGGTATTGCCTACACCATCCCCGACCTCGACGCCACCATCCGCGCCATCGTCAACCTCACCGAGACGAACACCACCGTCGCCTGCGTCGAAGCCGACTTTTCTAACGGCAAAACCGTCGATCTCGTGGGCGTCAAATGGGCCACCGCCGTCATCGCCGGCCTTGGTCTCGGGTCCGCCGGCATCATTTCCGCCATGGGCCATACCGATGCCGCCGCCCATCTCGCAGCCAACGCCCTATCTCTGTTCGGATACTTCCAGGCTCAGGCCTTTGTCGGTCTCTCGGGCGTCGACATGCCGCCCATCGTACAGGCTTGGACGCAGAACTTCCAGTGGTCCATGGGCGTCGTCAGGCTGGGCTGGATGCAGACGCTTTGTACGTGGTACCAGCGCTCGACGGGCGGTGAGGCGGCGCGACTATTCGATTCGTTGAGCGGCATCTCGGTGCAGGTCTCGAAACGCTCTCTCGACATCGTCAACAGCATCGGCCCCGTCAAGCGCGGCATCAACGCCATCGCGAAGCGTGCAAACATCCTCCAGGACAACGGCTCCTACGTCGTCTACGGCATCCAGCGCGTGGCTTTCAAGGCAAAGATCGAATCGACCAACCTGTTCCTCACCGGCCTCATCGTCTACTGCTTCTTCATCATCTTCACCGTCCTCATCATCGCCGCGTTCCGATACGGTACCGAAATCGCCGTGAAGCAGGGATGGTCCAAGAAGGACCGCTTCGTCGAGTTCCGTCGCGACTGGAAGACCACCCTCAAGGGCGTCCTGTTCCGCCTCAACCTCATCGGTTTCCCGCAGATCGCCGTCCTGTGCCTGTGGGAGTTCACGCAGATCGACTCGGCTGCTCTCGTCGTCCTGGCCGTCTTCTTCTTCCTTGGCACCCTCTTCACGCTCATCTGGGCCTCGTGGAAGGTCATCCTCATTGCGAAGCAGTCAATTCTCACCCACCAGAACCCCGCGCATGTTCTTTTCTCGAACCCCCAGATCATCAACAAATGGGGCTTTCTCTATGTTCAGTACCGCGCCTCTGCGTACTACTTCATCATCCCCTTCATCGCCTACATCTTCCTGAAATCCGCCGTCATCGCGTTCGGTCAAAAAGCCGGCGTCGCCCAGGCCATCGCCCTCATCGTCATCGAGGCCGCCGCCCTGATCGCCGTCAGCGTCCTCAAGCCCTTCATGGACAAGAGCACAAATTCCTTCAACATTTCAATCTACGCCATCAACTTCATCAACTCCGTCTTCCTCCTCATCTTCACAAACGTCTTCGACACCCCCGGCATCGTCGTCGGTGTCGTCGGCGTGATCCTCTTCATCGTCAACGTCATCTTCGCCTTTGTCCTCCTCCTCATGGTCCTCATCTCCAGCATCCTCGTCTTCTGGCGCGTAAAGGGCCAACCGACAGGCACCGGCCCCACGCAGCTCAACGACCCCTCCATCCTCGCAAAGGGCGACCGCACCGAGGGCAAGTCGCTCCTCGACCTCGACGAAGACGACAAGGTGAACCCGTACCGCCGCGAGTCGCTGCGCTACGGCGAGGAGAAGGCCACCGAGAGCGGCATGAGCCTGCACGTGTCCACGTCCACATCGAACCTCAACAGCCGAGGCGATACCCACGAAATGTCATATCTGCCCTCGCCGGGCTCCAGGCCCGCCGTGAGCCCGTCGGTGCCCATGTTCCCCGCCGACCGTTCATTACGATCTCAAAGTCCGGCCCCGCCGCGGTCTCCGGCGAGTGACTTCCCGCCGCCGAGTCCGTTTGGGAACGGATCTGCACGCAGTATCCACGAGTTTCGATCCCAAAACAACAATAGGTGAGTTGTCCTTCGCTGAAATCAGTCTCTCGCTATCCTTGCTAACCTTATATGCACAGTCCATGGCAGCGCGGTGCTGGATATGATCATTGAGGATTATAGATAATATGGGCACATTCGCCAGACGTTCATCTTGTCACTCTTTCCTTTTTCTTCTCGTTACCGTTTACATCACACTTTTCCGGGGGCGTTATATAGAGTCTCATCTGGAAACCTGCATCAGCAAGCGTGCATAGAAAAGAACACCATCTACTTTGTATAATCGGGCGTACTTGACGAGATTTTCCCTAGACAGCCATATCTGAGGAACTGCACAGGACCCATTTGCCCTTGTGCCTAGACTTCAGAACGCCTAGGCTAATCAATCGAAAAGGCCCATGAAAATGTAATGTGGGTTTTAACCCTTTACTTGTGCCATGTAATTGAGTGTTCAAGGGCAGGAAAGCTCCAAGTTCTCATCCTATCTTCCCAGAGTACCAACCACGGCGGCACCTGCCAGTCATGATAGTAATTGTTGGAAAATATCGAGAAGAGCATCAGCGATAACGTATATGCTCCGATTACAAACCCCCCGTCGCAGTTCAGCGCGCCGAAATACCCCCCCCCCCCATTAATACCTTCAAGCAGAGTGATATAACGGCTTCGTAGTATTCGACTCCGTGATATGCAGCTAATGCCTGCCTCGCAGTTATGATGGAGCTTGGGAGACTCTTCTCCGGCTCGACGGAGACGTGACCCGCAATCTCGTCAGCAAAATCCGCCCGAGCTGTGATCATTGGCAAGTTGAACGCTGTGATGCGATGGCTGCTCCCGCAAATTTCCACATTTCGACCCAATACTTGACGTCACTATAAACACACGATAAACGCCGCGATAGTGACGCTCGATTTACGCAATGCGCGTAATGATCCCATAGGTTTCGATAGTAGCTGATGAAATCAGGAGATGAACAGTTTTGTCAGTCAGATTTAAATATCATTATCGTACCTCATCATCAATCACTTTCTTCCTATTACTTGACTTCAAGCTCTCGCACGTACTCTTACATACACACAACCAGAACCTTCAACGCTCATTTGAACTCGACAACCTCATTCCTAAGAACGCTCTATCTCCAACATGCCTCAATATCAACCTCAAGCCGACACCTTTAGTATGATAACCTCCTGCCACACTGTTCATGGCCGAGTCCGAATACTGACGTTGAACAGAGGACCCTTCCAGCAAGGCTGAGGCCAAGCACCAGATAGCAGAGCAGAAATACGAGGAGAGGAAAGAGCACTCAAAGAGCGGTGCGAACACGCAGACGGGGCACCATGCGAACATTGTCAAGGAACCTAAGCAAGATTGAAGAATTATCACTGGAGCAATGATCGTACACGTAAAAGCGGCGTTTTGTATTTTTTCGGGCGATCTATTTTCTTCTTCCCGTCTCACATCCGCTTACCACCTCGAATACGTTTGTCGTCAAATATAATCCATCTTCACATTCAATGACCCTGTCACAATTGCATTTGATTGATGTCGTCGAACAATTGATATCATTCACAGTTTAACTTGTATACCTATCACGCCATGTAGTATGTACCTTGGAACTTTTCATCCGCCTGGAAGCGAGCTTAGTCCGAGGTCCTTCCTGTAACAGCTACAACAATCCTATGAGCCTTGGCATTCTCTACCTAAAACTGATATGGCTCGCAGGATTTATCCATGACTGCATCTTATACGTTGTAAACCAGGCTGTGGTTGTGCCAAGCGTAATCATGCAATCCTTCAAGCGCACCTTCCTTGATCAGATAAGCTTCGGGTAAGACCAAGACCCAGACTCAGATTGCAACATCTTGTAAGTATATATGCACGCAGAGCTTTGACTCTATTTTTCTTTCATTAACGAAGGCATCAGTCTTCAACCCATCTCCCAGTACCTCACTCACCTTCACAAACCCTCTCGCGGAAACTAGTCTAGCCCAGCCTTGGCTTTCGCTTGCCGCCTTTTTCCAAATTCTGCATTGTACAAAATCTTGTGAGTGTGGCTTCCAGGTCATCATCGACCTTCCTCCTCGTCTATCGCTAACAGATCAAAAAGCTCAACGGTTAATATGATGAAGATCAGCCTTGCTCTTCTTGTAGCTGTGGCATCGGCTGCCCTCGCCGCTCCTGAGGCTATTGGCGCTCGCCAAGCCGCGGGATGTCAGCCTTCCGAGACCGTTTGCCGTGATGGCTGGGCGTGGTGTTGCAGTGGCTCAACTTGCTACGAGTTCGCTCCTCCTACGGCCTGCTAAGAGAACATAACTACTTATCAAGATGAGATGTTCAAATCAGATAGGATAAAGCTGATGGCATTGAGTGAGATCTTATCTGAGGATGTCGTCGAGACCGGATAAAATGAGACCTCTACTCTTAGATCGAATACAACCTTCTCAATTGTATCAAGTCCCGAAATGCCATCAATTCCGAATGTTACCACAAGTACAAGTAAACATGATAGCTTATCAGTCTTCTTTCATCATAAGGCGGCATCTCATTTTCGTGGATCATATTGGCCCGCGTCTCGAAACTACAAATGACAGACGCCACAAAGCATATAAATAATGATATGATACAAAGGCACATATGCCAGCGAACGAAGTTTCCAGGAATTTCTTTTCCTACATTTCCAACTCACGCAACGGGCCTCTGAGCCATGAAGACGTTCGCTGGGAAAATGCCGCCCTGCTCAGTCATCTCCTTTGTGTATCTCTCCTCCAGGTCGGTATAGATTACCGGATCCATATCAGGAACCAACACTAGGTTTGGTTAGTGAGGGCCGGCTTACGGCAAAGGCAGCTTGCTTCAAGTCGACTCACTTTGGGCGTTCCTAGCGACAAGCGGGATTGTGTGCATGAAGGGCTCGATGGAAGATTTGACGGCGGCCTCATCGCCATGCACTTTACCAATCCCACACTCCACTCGCTCGACCTTGACGCTCTGAAGACCGGCCCTCTTCATTGCCTCTGGAATTTTGGACGCGTATTTGCGATCCATTCCCTGCTTCTCAAACATGGTCCCGATGATGTGAATGAGATCCCTGAGAGATTGGGGCTGGTTCGGCTGGCCTGGACTGATATCCAGCTCCATAATCTGCAGCCAGCCTCCCGGGGCCAATGTATCTTGCGTCAGTTAGACTAGAACACGCGCAATCCGAAAAGTCGCAGCCAGAACCAACATATTTCAACAACCTATGACTTACCGGCGAGGTTTGCGATGGCCTGCTCGACGCCGGACCGGTGGGCGCTGTGGAGAACGTTGCGAACGTGGGTCAGATCGAACTGGCCCTTGAGATCCCCGGCCGGTGGATCACAAACGTCGTGGGTTACGTAGTGGATATTGCCCTGAGCTGACGTGGGCAGGAAAATGGTTGAAACATCGGCGCCGACCATGTGCGCGGATGGTGGAACCTGTTTCTGCAGGTCCCGTAGCAGCGTTCCTGCGAAATCGCGTGTTAGAAGACCCATTTTACAGTGCAGTCAAAGATTGAGATACCGTCGGCGCAGCCCATGTCGAGAATCTTGAGTCCATCTTTGGCAGTATCCACTGGCGAAAACACGACCTTATCTTTGAGGCACATCTGGATCCAACGATGCTGAACTTGAAGGCGCGTCAGCTCGGCTTGGACATCGCCGACCATGGCTAGGTACTGGTTGTCGACTTGGCCATTTTGTCCGCTTTGGCTACTCATACTGAAGTTCGTGCTGAGGATGAATGTATCACAGTGAGATAGATAAATGATTATGATGCTTACCACCCTAAAGCCACCGAGAGCTATACGGAGGTCAAGATGATTAAATGCAATCCCATCGTCCCATCTTCAACCGATCACAAGCTATCTAGTGTCTGCTGAGCATACGTGACCGGTAGGTTCAACAAGCAGGCAAGCTCTTCGTCTACACTAAAACCCAAAGGCTCCTAGTATTCTAGAAGGCGTTTGTAAAGGTGGTATAAGATCTAGATTTCGCAGACTTCCGCATTTGGCTCACTCCGAGTTATGCATAATGTCTAGAAAACTTCGGCATGAACTTGAGTTACTGGCCGACAGCTCGACTCAGCAACAGGTGAAGGCGAATGTTCTACTGGCAAGAGGGGAACAAGGGAAATTGTAAAGGCCGAACAGGCGAGCTTCGCGTATTTATCGCGTGACGATTGCGATAGCGATAGCGATTGTGGACATGTCAAGTTACAGATATCACGAACGCGATGAGATCCGATAATATCAGTAATCCAGAGTCTCCAATGATGAACACGGCTGGACGAACTCGTGCGATTCGAATGTGGCGGCTGATAGATGGATGCAGGGTGGATGACGGCGTCGATATGTTCTGGAACTTGACGTGAGGGAGGGTAAGGACGGAGTTGCGGGTTCTAGGTGCGGGCCATCGCTCATGTTTGCTTCTCCGAGACAGGACAATTAAACATGTATCTGCCAGATTGGGCCACGCAGCATACTACAACCAGTCGCAAGTTGGTCAGAGGCGAAACGTGGAGAACTGCCGAGGTTTGTTTCTTCTTGTATGGATGCCTAGCTGATGCCAGATGGATGGATGGATAGATGATGGATGTTCGACATCCATATCCCCTAATTGACTTCGGGAATAAAGTCCCGCCCAGGCGTGCCCCCACTCGGGACCCTGTAGGCCGTCCGGTGGTCCCCCGGCGAAGATCAGGAACGAGAACAACTGACGATTCGGACATATCGATGTCATTCTTCGGGCGATCCAAGTAAAGTAGTTTCTTCAAGGGCCTCTCATGCAACGCAACTCGATGCTGTGATTTTGGGAGGGAAACAGATGGGTTACAACACTGTGTCACATCGGCCAAGCCAAGCGGGCGATCCATGCTCCTGCGCCGTGCGTATCTGCGTATACTTGAAACAGTTAGGCCCAATCTTGAGTTAAATAAGCAAAGTCACGCCATCCCTGGGCAGTGTGCAAAGAGCCCAGGGTTACAACACCGTAGTCTCCAGTGGGAGATGGGCACATCATTGATGAGAGGAAAGAAGCAGGGCCAAAGAGGCACAGCTGTAAGCCAAGCAAACATTTACTGTAGGGCTGTTTCCATGTCTCTGTTGCAAATCTCTCTGTGCATGGCGAGCTTCCTTAAGCGAGTCAGTCTAGCTGATCCCGCTCACACCTTCCTGCAATGACCGTCCGAAGATCCGAATCTCTCATGCTCATTGGCTCCACTTCAAGACAGTCAAGGTTTGATGATTGATTAAGACTGTCACAATCTTACAGAGTACAGACACAGATCACTCACACAGTCACATCAGTCTGTGGCTGTTGGTGTGCTGTGTCGTGCCGGACCTTTTTAATAACCCTCGGGGACCACTCATCCCGCCATTGTCGGAGTGTTTCGAGTTTCTGTGTTCGTGTCCTTCAGTCCCTACGACATCGAGGAGAGTGTTCGGTTGAGCTGTCCCGCCTCGCCTTCGAGTTGACCTCGACAAACATACACATCCATTCCTTTTGAAAAGACCGCGAGAACGAGAAGAAATCGTCGCATTATTCCACAGTCAAAATGAAGACATCCATCGCTTACATCATCGCCGTGGCCCTCTTCGGAGCTACGCAGGCTGCCATCACCCCGATGAACAACATCATTCGTCACGAGTACAACCTCAACGCCAGAGCCGGCGTTCACGGCAACATTGAGAGAGACGAGCCCGCCCTTGCCCCCGAGGGCGATGTTCTGCAGCCCATTGTCTAAAGAATTGGCGCTTCTATTCACACGACACACCCAAACACGAGCAACTAACGTCGCCCCGTTTTCAATTGTCGGACACGGGTCCGAGACGGTTCACTTTCTACCACGCGGTTCTGGCCCCCAGTCTTCGAGGGCCTTACACCACGAACAACTTTCAACTTCAATTCTACGCATGCTTTCAGACATGCAACCTAGGGTACAGGGACGAGGAGTTTAGGCGGAGACTGAGATGGGAAGTGGGCGTTTGACGGATCCTTTTTGACGGGTATGGAAAACATTTGGAGGACGAGAGCAAGACGAAGGGATCGGAAGGACTGTGGGTTGGGAAGGATATTCCAAGGCAAAGAGAGGAGCGCTGGCTTGACGTATTGAAGCCACGATGAATGCGAACTTTTCAAGCTAGACCCCTACTTCTCTGCGTGCACATTTTGATGATCTTTCGACTCCACGGGCTCGGTAATGAGGCAGTCGATCACTTGGTGAACTCCCACGTGTAGTTCCACACCTGGCGCCCATCAACGATAAGCTCATAGTCTACCGTCCATCGGGTCTCCTCCGACGTGTCAAATGACACCCGACCAAACTTTGAATTCCCCCACGGGTGCGAATACACAGAGATGTCCGTGTCCTCAATCTGCTTGTGGAACCGATCGAAGGGTTCATAGAACTGGTTCAAGGGCGAGGTGGAAAATTCAATCACAGACTTACCACCCTTGTCGCTAGTGGGCGGAAAGATCGTCGTCGCGTGCTCATGCCGGTCCTAGTCAAAAAAGAAGCAAAGAATTAGCTCAAGCAAACTATTGAAATTTTTGGCAGGGCCGATCAAACAGAGACCAGCTTACCCCACTCAAGATGATAACTCCGTCCGTTTGTCTCATCATCTCTAAGATCATGTCTCTCTCCCACAGATATCCCGACCAGCTATCGGCCGAATCGGGACCCCTCCAATTTCGCGTGAACGGGACGCTGCTGACCACGACTTTCCACAACTTTTCTGTCTCAAGCCACTCTCGCAGGTCCGCTAGCTGCGCCGCGCCAAGCATCGTCTTCTCAGGCCCGTCCGCCATGTTTTCAGCCGATCGATAGCGCCGCGTGTCTAGGACGAAAAACGAAACGTCGCCCCGGCGGAAGGTGTAGTGCGTTTTCCCGACGCCATACTGCGAGGGGGGATTCGCGTGCCCTTGATAAGACCAATATGGCCTCATGGCGGACTGGTAGAGACCAGTCTCGTTCGCCGCCCAGTCGTTGATGATCTCGTGGTCGTCGTAGACGTGCAGCCACGGCACGGATCGAAGCGCGGGTGACCAGCTGAGCGAGGCATAGACTTGGCGGTATGCCGTGGTGTAGTGCTCTGGCGTCCAGCCGAGGGCCACGGGCAGGTCGATGTAGATAAAGTCGCCTAGGAAGAGCATCATGTCTGGCTGATTCGCCGAGACATGCTGGTCCAAGTACTCCAGTCCCTTGATGCGTAAGCCATGATCCAAGGGGTTGTAGGGGTAGAAAGGCTTGATGCAGCTTGTAGAGATGAGACTCCATCGCTGTGGCGAGAGGGCTGCTGTCCTGAAAGATCCGGTATGGCTGGCATTCGTGATGTAGGTGTACGACGTATCCGGCTTCAGCCCGTCAAGCAGGAACGTCCCCGTATGATCACTGGAGTCAGCGATGACGATTGTCTGCGACATGGCATCCTGTCCAATTTTCTTGGAAGGCGCCCAACTGATCTTGACGTAATTCGTTGGGAGAGCTGGCGCTCTTACTACGATCCGCGCCGTACTCTCATCCACGTAGCCCATCCGAGAGAAGGAGAGATCGTGACTCTGGTGGAGTACGCTTCCTCTGTATATGAAGTCCCATATGGATCCAAGTGACAGGATATTCAGTAGGACTGTGACCAGAGATGTGACCGGCGATGACCGATCAACCCAACCCAAGAGAAGAAGCAGCCACGGGTGATGTTGCCTAGAGGCCCGCCTCGAATTGGGCAACAGGAGCCTAATCATTAGAGAGAATGCGTACAACCCGCAACTCCCATAGATACGATTGAGATATACCTTTCCGAGAGGATGCTACTTGGTTGTTAGAATGAGGCTCATTGATTCCCAAAAAGGGAAATCATGGGATATGTTAAGACTCACGAATCTTGTGAACAGGATTGTCATCAACCTAAGGCTGAGAGTCGCCACTGCCGAAATGGCGTCTAACACACCAGTGAGGACCATTTTGATGTCTTCGCTGTGAGTAAATGGTAAGTTTGCTAGGTTGACGAGACTCTAGATAAGCTGTGTCCCAGGCCTCCCAAAACTCACGAGACCATGGACCGAGTTTGAAATGACAATCGGCCCCAAAAGCGGACAAAAACGAATGCCCAAGGAAGCCCGCTCAACACTAGGCTTTCCATCTCTTCAATCCACGGACCCGGAAACACGGCCATGGTACTCGAAGTGGGCTGGAAGGATGAACACTTTCCCCATCACTATGTAAAATACTTCCAATGATCAACACACGTGCAATACCATTGCCATCACTCTTGGCCGAAAATAAACAACCTAATAATGGACCCTTTAGGCCGTCATCCCGATTCAAGTGCTTCTTTTCAACCGTGAAATGTTCCTTATCACTTCCCGGATGAGCAGACCCGCCTCCGGGAGCATACCGGTGGGCCGCGGCAACGGAGCCCCACTCCGATGGACGTCTGAGAGGATCGTATTCTACCACGTGGGCGTCCGAGGCCCGTGGGATGACCATTTTTTCCCCCGAAGGCGGAGATCCACCGGGAGGAAAACATGACGGCCAAGCTCCGAGGACAAACTTTCCAAGCTAATCAAAGCTTGTTCCTACAGCGTCAGGCACGTAGGTAGAGAAAATAGCCTGACTAAGGTGAGGCAACTACACCTCGTTCCTTCAGTGAACACCCGGCGGCTCCCGCATCTCGGGCATCGTCCGGGTCTCTTGGCCTTCGCACCCGATTTCGACTGTGGTGTTCATTCCGGGGCACGTGGCTAAGATAGTGTATCGAATGGACGATGGAACTGTTGCCTTTGCTCATAATGCCGATAGTTCGGCAAAATGCTCTTTGACGTAGGAAGGCCTCGACGAAGGATTGCAATAGCTTGGGTTTTTGAGTGGATGACTTCTTGACCCATACGCGTCCGAAGAAGTTGGTTGAAAACAAGGACTCCACGTGGTAGTTTGTGAGGCATCTGGAATCGACGCACATCATGCATCCGTAGTACTTATAGCTAGGAAGATCACACTCGGGGGATGTTTTTGTAGCAGCACATTTCTAAGTCGTTGTCGACCACAAAGTCATCCAACATGGAGTCCACACCAGGTTCAGTATTCGACACGGTTGATGATGCCTTCAACAAGGATGTCGGGGTTATGGTTTCTTCTCAAAGTGACGACTCGTCATCTCGAGACCCTTCTATTCCTGCCAGAACAGCTGGAAAGCTCGATGTGCTGGTCCAAGGTGTCGCATTGTTTTCCGATGGGTACAACATCCAGATCATTGGATACATGAACACCGTTCTGGCTAAGCTGTGAGTTACGCATCTGAGCGATAGTAATGTTGGTGTAGGGAAAGGTCGATTAACAAGTATGAACAGTTATCCGAAGCAGATGACGAATGCTGTGAAGACGAGGCTTTCCAATTCAATCCTCATTGGCGACATCTTTGGCATGCTCATCTTTGGTCTCTGCATTGACAAGTTCGGTCGGCGAGTTGGAATCATTCTGACTACTCTCTTCTTGGTTTTGGTACGTTGACACCTTCGATATGATCGCTTATTGGAAAGTTGTCTTATCGAGAGCTGTTACTGATAGCCAGCCAGGGTATCGTCATTGCCACTGCTGCCCATGGAACCTCCATCGAGGGCATGTTCTGGATGATGGTCATCGGTCGTGGTGTTGCGGGTGTCGGTGCTGGTAAATGATCTCAGCTGACCTGAACAAGAGCCTCAAGACTTACAGCAATGCAGGGGGAGAATACACAGTCTGCACCTCGCAGGCTCTGGAGTGTGCCGACAGTACAGAGGCCATGCGTAGGAGACGCGGAATGCTCGTCGCAGTTTCCACAAACGCCGCAATCATCTCTGGTTTCGTCGGCTCCAGTATCGTCTCTTTGATCGTCATTGCGGCGTATAATGGCCAAGCCAGTGATGGGATTTGGCGCATATGCTTCGGCATCGGGATCTTCGTTAGTCAACCCCCACCGCCGAGAGGACATGAACGTGAGCTTACAATTATTCCAGCTTCCTTTGGCCATCTTCTTTTTCCGGCTACGACTCGTCGATTCACAGCAGTATCAGAAACACGCCATCCAGCGTAACATCCCATACCGCCTCGCTCTCAAATTCTACTGGAAGCCACTTCTTGGATGCTGCAGCGCATGGTTCCTCTATGACGCCGTCGTATATCCTTTCAATCTTCTCGCACCAACTCTTGTCTCCGGCTTCTCCTCCCAGCAGACAATGATCCAGTCAATCGGCTGGTCAGCCCTTATCAACGCCTTTGCCCTCCCCGGCGCCTTCATCGGCGCGCTACTGATGGACCGCATTGGCCGCCGCCAGACTTACGCCCTCGGCTGGGCCATCGTCTGTGTCCTCGGATTCGCCATTGGCGGCAGCATGATCCAGCTCAACAACGTCTTCCCGCTCTTCGTCACCCTTTATGGCCTCTTCCAGACCTTCTTGTCTGTCGGGCCCGGAGACTGCAACTTTTTGGTCTCGAGCGAGTCCTTCCCCACACCCCTGAGAGGTCACTTCCTCGGGTTTGCGGCCGCCGTAGGCAAGGCAGGCGCTGCTATTGGCACGACTGCGTTGAGTGCGGCACTTGCGAGCTTTGATGAGAAACTGAAGGGACAGCAGGCGATCTTCCTCATCGGGAGTGGCATTTCGGTCGTAGGTACCTTGTGCGTGTGGTTCCTGATACCCGACGTAAGTTCCCCCTTGTTATGACTGTTATCTCTTCTGCTGGATCTATCTAACCATTCGCTAGGCTCCGAAGCATCTGGAAGACGAAGACGTTCGTTTTAAGAAGTATCTCGAAGCTAACGGCTACGATACGAGCCAAATGGGTCTCAAGGCATAGTCTCTGACTTTGATTCTGGTGCTTGAGGTAATTTGGTGGGAAAACGGAAGATGCCCGGCTTAAACTAAGATTGGATGAACTGATATCCATCAATTCAGTGTGAAGTAAATTTATCAACTGTGTTAGTATTGCATATTAGGCGACTTGAGAGATTTCTAGCGTAAGCCTTGCACTTTGTTGCTCAGGACTAAGTATTACATGGTCGATTATCCCTTCTGTGGTAATGGCGATGAAAGTTCAATCTAGATTGCATTTCGAATGTTGAACAATCTTCTCTTGGCACGTCTTTGCTGAAATTGATCTGCTGGATCTCCATGTATCTTCAACAATAGACTCACTCCGAGGCCCAGGACGGTGGCCAACTTCTCTCATGATCACTTTAGGCACCGAACCCTTGATCTTGGCCACTGCAACTTAGCCAATGACACCACAAGTTTGTGCTTTTTGGTGGGTAACACCGTTCGATACGATCGGCGCAATGAAGCTAGCCACGGGAATGGCTTCCGTGGTAAGATTAGCGGCGTGGACAAGCGGCATGGGGAAGCTGCATTAGCCTGCGGAGGACCGCCAGCGGCCGCCATCATCTATGGAAGATACAGGGGCAGAAAGCCTCAGTAAGCGAGACGTAGATCCGTCAGCAAAATGACAAGAAAACGATGATGCTTCGACTTGTCGTGCTCTTAGTTCACTTCTTCTTTTACCATTCCACAAAGATGCGTTCTCTGCTGGCGGTAACGAGCTTGGCCATCCTGGCATTCAGCGACAGCTATGCAACGGCATCGGCAACAGTCAGATGCAATGCCACAGACTTGCACACAGTGCCGACCTCGAATGGACCGATTACCGGCCACCCAGCGTCAAACAGCTCCGATATTCTTGAATTTCTCGGGGTTCCTTATGCGAAACCTCCAGTCGGCGACCTGCGGTTCGCTCCACCGCAGAGATTTAGAGGCAATGAGTCGTTTGAAGCATCTCATTTCGGCTTCGACTGCCCACTGTCGCCCTCTCGCCAAGTCGACTACCCGAACATGACAGCCCAAGCGCAGCGCATCATTGGATACTTCGCTTCTGCTGCAGGGACGCCTCAAAGCGAGGACTGCTTGACGTTGAACATCTGGACCAAGCCAACAGCCAAAGCTCTCACCGCTACCAAACCCGTCATTGTCTTCTTCTACGGTGGACGTAAGTAACCGAGATCTGTAATGCTTCGAGTCTTGCATCTCACTAAAGGGATCCCATAGGTTTTGCCATTGGCAACACCAACAGTCCTTTCTACAGTGGCAAGTACTTTGCGGATGCCCAAGATGTTGTCGTAGTTACAGTCAACTACCGCATCAACATCTTCGGGTTTCCGGGTGCCCCGGGCCAGCCCCAGAATCTCGGATTGAGAGACCAACGCGCGGCCGTTGAATGGGTCCGCGACAACATTGCCGGATTTGGGGGCGATCCGACAAAAATTACCATCGCGGGCCAGTCCTCCGGAGGTGTCGCAGTGGACTATTGGTCGTACGCCTACGTCAAGGACCCTATCGTTAATGGCTTCATCGCACCCTCTGGTAATGCCTTCAGCTTCCCGCTCAACAGCCCAAATGTGACTGTGCGAAACTGGAACACCGTGGTGGCGGCTGTGAATTGCACTAATACCACTAATGCTATGGCATGCATGCGAAGTCGGAAATGGGAGGATATCAAAGCTGCGGCCGCTGCCATCAGGCCGGCGTCTTCCAGCAGTGTTCTTCGGGGAATTCCACCGTTCTATCCTTCAGTAGACAACAAAACTGTTTTCCCGGATTATCTCTCCTTGACAATGTCAGGTAAATTTGCCAAGCTGGTGAGTACTTTCCTAGCATCTTGCATTTTGATCCGATCTCCCGAAGCCAGCGGCTAACGCTGAATCCAAAGCCGATCCTCTTTGGGAACAACAACAACGAAGATGGATATTACAGAATTCCGGCGTACGGCAACGGAGTCATCCCGACTCAGGCGCAAGTTGAATCGTTTCTGCTGGAATCCTTCACCTGCTCGAATTCCCATCAGGGTCGAGCTCGTTCAGATAACGATGTCCCGGCGTGGGTCTACCGTTACTTCGGAGATTGGGATAACACAAGACTCTTCCCGACAAGTGGCGCGTACCACGGCGTCGACTTGCACATGATCTTCGGCGCCTCAGGGGACGTGAGTGGAATTCCGCCGTCCGATCCGCAGAAGAAAACCACTGCACTTA